ATGCTACATTTGCTTTCAGTGCCTCTGCCGGGATGTTGTCTGGTCCCGCTGCTTTGCCGCTCTTGATTTGTCTAATGGCCATGCTGGTTTCTTCAATTGTTGGTATGCCAACATCGATTGGGAGGTCCGTGTGTGCTGCTTCGATGTTGGGTGGGTTCAGTGGAGCTGGTCGATTCAAGAGTTCTTTGAAGTGTTCTACCCACCTGTTTCGTTGTTCTTCAATGTCGGTGATTACTTAGCCTTCCTTGCTCTTCACTGACCTTTCTGGCTTACGGTAATTTCTAGCAAGTTTCTTTGTTGTATCATACAGTTGTCTCATTTTTCCCTCTCTTGCAGCCTTTTCCGCTGTCATCGCTAAATCTTCCACATATTTATGTTTGTCCGTTCTGATGCTCCTCTTTACTTGCTTGTTTGCCTCTGTGTATTCGGCTTGTGCCTTGGCTTTTTCCGCTCTGGTTCGGCTGATATATTCATTGCTGCTTTCTTGTTCCTCCTTTCTTCAATTTTATCCAGTGTACCAACAGTGATCCATTCCTTGTGATGGTGCTTCTTTTGGCCCAGAACCTCCTGACATGTTGAAACGATTGCCTCCTTGATACCTTCCCAGTTGCTCCCCATGGTAGTCCCCTTTCCATTGAGTAGATCATGAAAGGCCTCGAACCTGTTGCTGAGGGCTATGTTGAATTTGTTGAGTCTGTCAGAATCTCGAAGAAAGGCCGTATTAAACTTTTGTGGTGTTGTCCGCGCCGTTGTCCACTGCTTCTTGAGTTTTAGTTTCATCCTGGCGACCAGCAAATGATGATCGGATGCTATATCAGCTCCTCTTCTGGTTCTCACATCCTCCATCGTCCTCCTGAACTTTTTGTTGATGCAGATATGGTCGATTTGATTCTGTGTAGTGTGGTCCGGTGAAATCCAAGTGGCTTTGTGTATGTTTTTGTGTGGGAATATGGTGCCACCTATGACCAGTTTATTGAAGGCACATAGGTTTGCAAATCTCTCACCATTTTCGTTCCTTTCTCCCAGTCCATGTTGTCCCATGACGTCTTCATATTCAGTGTTATCCTTTCCAACCTTAGCATTGAGATCTCCCATCAGAATAATCAGGTTCTTGGTTGGGCACTTCTCGAAGATCGATTGCAGCCTATCGTAGAATTGGTCTTTAGCGTCTTCATCGTAGTCGTTGATCGGCGCATAGCATTGGATGACGTTCATTGTAATGCCCTCTCTCTTTGTTCTGAAGGAGGCTTTGATGATCGTTGGTCCATGAGATTCCCATCCAATAAGTGCATTTTGTGCTTTTCTGGACAGCATCAATGCAACTTCTTGTGTATGTGGGGCATTTTCTTCTTCATGACCGGAGTATAACAGAAGTTCTCCTGAAGACAGTCGTTGTTGTCCAAGCTGCGTCCAATGTGTTTCGCTGATTCCAAGCACCTCCAGGTTGTATTTTCTCATTTCTGCAGCAATTTGGAAAACTCTTCCGGTCTCCCACATTGTTCGGACATTCCATGTACCTATAAACATTGTTGCTCTGCTTGTAAGAAGGTGCATCGGCCTCATGACTTTCGAAAGAACTCGGATTTCATCATGAGACGTCATAATTATTCCTTCAAGTGCCAGGGCAGAGTTTTAAAGGTTTGAATGGTTTTTTCTGGTCAGCTTTTTTTAGCGAGTTGATTTTCTACGGGATGGGGTCGCTAACCCCATGCCCAACCCTCCTCCTTTACCCGGGCGTGGGACCGGCAGTAACCCCCAGAGGAGCTACAGGCGGAGTTTCTGGTGAATTAAGTCCCGATATAATTGTTGCCACAGAAACTTGGCTCACCGTAAATATAGGCTGTTCTCACATCATTACAGGCTACATCTGTATTGGAAGTGATAGAGTTATGAGTCACAAGGAAGGAAGTATAGTGTTATTTGTTAGAGTCCACTTTCATATACAATCCGTCATATCGGTGGCGCATGTTAGTGGTAAATGTAGGATAGTTTGTTGTGTAATTAAGTCTAGACTAGTGTTAGTGACTAAAGGAGGAATACACTGTGATCCATGTTGTCTTGCTGATGGCTTCATCTTAAGTCATATCTCTTCTTGGAGTGTGGCCGAATGTTTTCTCATCATTGAAGAATTCAACACGCCGCATATCAACTGAATAGAGCTTAAAACTCCTAGTGGATGTTTCGATAGCAACCTGCTATCAACCATTATTCAGTGTGAACTTGTGCACTGTACCGCAAAACCGACACATATTGGCTTGGAACACGAACAGTCATTGTGGGGCCCTATCTTCATACCTTCTGCCAATAACACATGATGATCACGTTATATTTTACTTTAGGTTTCGGACTCATAGTATACAGTACGTATCTGTTCCACCTGGTCTTGATATCTGGCAAGTTTACATTCTGGGAATCAGAGACTGTGGTGTCTCAACAGACTGGTCGATCGCTGCGGACGGATCGATCGGAGACGAGTCGACTGGGTTAAAATCCACATTCAAATCCGTAACACGACCGTTTATCCCACAATCAACATGTAAGCCATGGCATTGCCCTACATCGATTAATAAAGAAACCTGAAAGCTGTTGAAGCGTAGGAAACCCTTCTGGAACTTTGTCTGGTCAACAGGATACATATCATTTAGGTGTGAATACCGGAAATTCCGTAGCATATGTAAAAAGATAATAACTACATGCCGCACAACTGAAGAAAGACAGATGATAGCCATACTTGTTTGAAACGATTATTTTCGTACGTTAAAGAGAACAAAGAGCAGTGATGGTATTCCCCGATTACTGTCACACGAAAATTTAGATTTACTAGCTGAATCACATCTGGCAAAGGCTGAGACTTTATAAAACTATTTCAACGAAGTATACTCTTCAGGTATTATCGACCATACATGTCATAACCAAACCACTGAGATACCAGCTATAAAATCTGTACATGTGACCTAGAAAACTATCCTTCAATTAATCGCCAAAATCAAAAGTAGTAAGATACAGGGACCTGATGGGTTACGTCCACGTTTACTGTCATCTATCACGGGCATTGCTTCAAGACGACTGACAATGCTCTTCGACATGTCTCAACTCCCTAGAAATTGGAAAGATGCTATATTCATTCCTATATAAAAAGATGATGAGAGACAGATCGTATCTAACTACCGACCTGTCAGTCTAACCAGCTTAGTCGTTGAGTTATTTGAAAAGGTAATCCGGGTTAACTTACTAAGTCACATAGATGCGTAAAATCTGTTGACAACACAGTTCTCGACATAAACATTCTTGCCCAACCAACTTACTTATTACAAGAGAGGATTGGAACAGCAGCCCTAGATAACGGTCTATCTGTCGATGTGATATTCATACACTTTGGCAAAGCTTTTGACAGAGTTTCTCACTTAGGTTTTATGCAGAAGCTCTCGAACTTCAGAATAACAGGTACCGTACGGGAATGGATAAGAAACCTCTTGTGTGGCGGAGGACAATGAGGGTAAATGAGACGCTATCTGAACGAAAGTCAGTCAAAAGTAGTGTGCCCCTAAGCACCATCTTAGGTCCGCTGCTTTTCCTTCCCAACGTCAATGAATTTCCGAGGCTGCTCAAATCGCCGACATTGTTGTTTGCAGATGATGTTAAAATCTGGAGAACAATAAGAAGTGATCTTCAAGCTGACCTAGACGAAATAGCTAGATGGTCTTAATGTTGAGGCTGAGAAGTCAATTCTAGGAAGAATGTGCTCATGCACATCAGGTACGGCAATAGTTATCAGTATACTATTGGTGAAGGAAACGTGAAATACGTAAATAGTTTAATAGTTTAATAATTGTGTTTGTAAACACAGAACAATAATAAACTATTATGTATATATCGCCAACAGTGTTATAAACAGGGAAAAGATACAAAAACAACATACCGTACAGTAACTTAAGGACAGGGAAAATGAGTCAACTAACTTAATTCCATCCATGATAAAAATAAAGTTATAATTAGTGAATAAACAAAGCATAGTCATTCAAGATCAAAGAAAGTTAATATGGTGGTGGGCGTTTCATGTTATCATTGATGTGTTCGTTTATCGATCATACTTTACATATATATTAGGATTCAGAGTACAGCTTGATGTTAATATAAACTTTTGTGTAGTAGTAATTTAGAATGATGCTATATCCGATACCGGCAGTTTAAAACTCGTTTGTGATTTGAAGCTGTGAATTGTAAAGTTAACTAGTTCGATATCAGTATCAAGCGCAGAAACTTCTGTTACCTTCGTCAACGACCCAATAACATGTTGATTTTGCGATTACTCTCCGCATTACGAATGAGGATAAAAGGAACTCAAATAGACTGTTTAAACAAACTATTGTCATTGACATTGATTTGTTTCTACACCAAAATGTCAGGCATCTAACCGCAAAAACCTTCTGCACAAAACCAATAAACTAACCACATTTATCAATAAATTGTCCCTCTAATAGTGTCGTCATTCTACCACTTAGTACTGTCATTTAGCGTTTACGCTTTAAAAACAAAAGTTTGCATAAGCTCACTAATCCCAAAGCTCATTTTTAACGGTTTGAACTAAAACCACAATAGCGTGAGCTAGCTATGATACCGTTCCGGAATTATTGTGTTGTTTAATTTCAAATCCAGTGTGGAATAATGTAAGAGTGGATGATTGATTGACTGAAAATAGTTCATGCATAAAGTATCAAAATATTTGCTTCAAAGTCTTATTGTACAGTTTGCATATGGAGTGTGGTGGACCTCAGCAAAAGAGCTTAGTTAAAATATAAATGGTATTTTTCTACAGAACAAATGCCAGTACCCTCGAATGATACATGAATATGGCTACCTGACAGGTATAAAATTTACCAAGATTAAACTGCGATTTCTGATACTTTTCCATCCTTTTCTTAACACTCAGTTTTGAAGATTGAGTACTGAGTTAGACCTGGTTACGAAACTACGAGTACGCGCACTTTACGAAAAACTAAATGGCTTCAAGGTAGCTTCCCTCGTGTTTTCATATTAGTTTGGGATTACGTTTTTAAATTGTTTTAAAACGTTTATTTGTATTTAGAGATAACCGTCTATCCGTTTATGTTGGTAATCTTCCTCCGAATACTATACAAGGGCATTTCGATTACATATTTTCTGGTTGTGATGTAGGTTCGCCTAATTTTTTTTCCATTTATAGTGTAGATAGAGAGTGTTAGATTAGTGAGAGACAAACAGACAGACGAATTTAAAGGGTATGCCTATGTAGATTTTAAAAATGAACAATCCCTCCAGAAAGCATTAACTGTCGACGGTGCGGTATGTCACTGGTTCTCATTTTACTTCTCTGTTTAGATTGTTGATGGACGCTCTCTGCGAGTAAATCTAGCAGGTGAAAGACCTGGACGTGGTATGTTAATGTCTCCGTATTTATGAAAGCTTTATGTTGTTCATGTAAATCTTTGTGGTTGACAGTTATAAGCAAGATACCATAGGTAAACATTTAATGACTTAGTGTCTTGGTCAGCTGATTTTTAAACCCCAAACTCATAAGTCTCTATTAACACAAATCGGTTCCATGCAGCGAACACAATATCTGCACATTGCTAGTAAGTTTTCAAAGCTTTCCAGATGAACATTCCTGTCTGGGATGTGCAGGTGTTCTCAAATTGTGGTAGACATATTCATGTATTATTGTTATGACTCTGTAATAGAAGTTAACGAAACAGTAAAACGGTAACTCTTTGCAAGCTAATGTTCATAACTAATGAGATTCAATAGCTAAGGGTTTTTCCTAATTGTGGAGTTAATTTACGTTGCACTGCATTTGATTTGCAGTTCTTCACTAATGTGGACACAGTCAACTTGCAGTTTAAGGTATGATTGGATTTCCACTACCTAAAATGCTACAGGGCATCGAGTTTTCTCTGATTTATTTACAACAAGTAACCGTAGTATGCGTTTTCAATACCTAGTTGAACTAGACTTTCTGCGGTTGGTTCTCAGTTACAGCCGATTTGCGTATACACAATAAACAGGTTAGATGGGACACTACCCAATATCCTGAAATCCCAAAAGAGTTAAGTGGCTGGAAGAGATAACAGTTAACGTCTATTATTAATATGGCTCCCTTAACCATATTAGTGAGTCAGTATATGCCTGTCTTCTGTGACCAGAAATTTAATCAGCAGTTTTTTCATGGCACACTGTCATATGCCTTGCTGTTTCTCTATTATTATGCTTTCACTGTCTGAAGGTGGTGGTCATGGTCAATGGGGTATGAACAATGGATATGGAAATCAAGGACGTGGTGGTTTCGGAAATCAAGGACGTGGTGGCTTTGGAAATCAAGGACGTGGTAGACCTAGCATGGGTGGTGGACGGATGGGTGAGCATACTGTAGTTTTCTTGACTTTTTGTCTCCTTCGATTACTAAGTTTATCCTTCTGACTCACTGTACAGACCAACTTATGGCCCCCAAATGCCCTGGTATGGCCGGGAGTGGGGAGAGCCCACTCTCCTCGAAATGCTCTCACATGGCCAGCGAATATATAGCCTCTGCCAGGGAAGTCCTACTCACTGCCTTCTCGTGCCACAGGTGTTGTTCACGAAAGTGAGAGGACGAGAAGAGAATGTCTGGCCCTTTAACTGCGTTGGTGGAGACGGAGAATCCACCTAGAGGAATTGGAAAACCCTGATTCCAAACCAATGGTGCACATGGGCTCCAGTATCCTGATGGAACGAATGGCGAATGAACCTGCTGCTGGTCAACGGCTACCATGGGACTGCATCTCCTCACGATGCTCCACTGCCTTGTGGATCAGACCTTTAGGTCAAAGGCTCCGGGTGTGGCCTTCTAAGAAGACCACCTGCTTCGGTTTGGACAGCCGGGCAGTATCACAGCCCTCAAGCAAATCGGATGAGATTTGTGAGGCGCATATTTATCTGGTGCTTCCTTGTACCAATATTTATGTGTTTAAATAAATAAATAAATAAATAGTAACCAGGATCGAGCTTTCTGGGTTTGTCAGCTATAAATATTCCGAAAGTTCTTAGTAGTTTGGTTAGAATCTCAGACATTTTTCTTATAGAATATGACTCCATTACTTTGTTTTCACCACATGATTTTGTAATTACTGGTGACTTTATAAGCTTAATTTGATTGATTCACATGGATGATCATTTTACCTAAAACCTTCGCTGGATATTTTTAACCTTTCTGCATGGTTTTATCGTATTGAAAACGTGCCCTCGAGTAACTTAACTGACATACCGAAGTTCGATTAGGGTGTATTTTCTGGTTCTAAGGTTTTTACATTCAAACAAAGAATATAAGAGACGTACATTGAAGGCCCCAATGTGTAGTTTGGAACGAGGTTTTAGTACACCTGGGGCAGTGTTTTGCGCACTAGAATCGTCGGCCATAGTGATACTTGAGGAGGAAGCCGAAAGAGGAAGTTTAGTGTTCAAAGTCGAGGTGGAAGGTGAAATAGTAATTGAAGAGGGAGATTGATTATGAATACAGTAATCTTGAGTGCCGTTGGAGTTATGAGGACAGTGATCATTTCCCGGTTGCTCGCACCGTGGAAGATATAAGAGAACCACAGAATATAACAGTGAAAACCATAAGTAATTTTCAAGTGTAATGTTAGGTAGGATTGTTTAGTCCACATTGTGTTATGCATAAAATGGATGTATATTGTTTAACAAACGTGTTTGATAGAATTAATGATGTAAATCTCTGCAAACTGAATAGTTTGTTACTGATTCGTTTATTGATAGCTTAAAAATATCTACCAGCACGAAAGTAATGGACACAATCTGTGGGATGTCTTGATTAAACATGTTGAGGTTTTTTTAAAGGGACACGTTAGACCGTTAACACCAGTTCTTTACAACTAGTAAAATAATATAACCCATTTAACATATACATACTTATATATTCGGCTGTCAACCCCATTTTATTTGACGCTACCTGGCGGCTCAAACCGAGCCAGTTTACTCAGGTTTCTGACTTGCAATCTAATGTCTATTGATCTACCTGATGAGGTAGGGGTCGTGAAGGAATCCCAAATCCTGAAGCGCTATAAATCATCAGCCCCAGATGGCTTGCCTTCGACCCCTTTTAAAGATGAGGACGACGTCCTAGTTTCAAAACTGAATGGGTTGTTTGCAAACGCTTGACAGTTAGGGTGTTCCAACGTCGTGGAATAAGGCGACAGTTTTCCTTATCTTTAGGAATCGTTTACGTCACATGCAAAAATTATCGGGGGCTAATTATACTTTTGATTGCACCCAGATTATTAATAGTAATGGTTTTATACGATATATTTTTGGTACAATATAGAATTCTCAGCACAGAGTATTTCATCAAATTTCCTTTTCTTGTTTCTTCATCGATCCTGACTATAAATATTGAGTGGTCGTCAGTTACACATTAATAGTTCGGAAATTGACATGTGAACAATATTCATTCTTTTTGCTGCATATTATCAGCAATCACAACATCTCTGATTGTACTTGCTTGTAACTTGTACAGCGAAAGGTTATACACTTTTAATAAACGCACTTGAATAGGTTATGAGATTGATAGACATAATGATGTGTTGGGATAAACGAAAACATAACTTGTTGAAATATCTTGATGGGAAAAACAGGTAGTCTAGATATTCTAACGAGCGGCCTTTAATGGCTTTCGTCGCACTCCGAAGATTGTTTAAAACATGTGGAACAATGACTCTTGGAAAGCAGGTTAGTGTCAATCGCCCTGGTACGACCGAGGATGGGGTGAGTTCGCTCTTCCTCTCAAAAATCTCTCGTTTGGTCACGCGTATATACCCTCTGCCAGGGAAGTCCTACTCACTGCCTTCTCGTGGCATTACTGTTGTTTACGAAACTAAGAGGACGAAAACCGAATGTCCGGCGCTTTAACCGGGTTGGTGGATGTGGAGTGTCCACCTAGAGCAGTTGGAAAACCCTCATTCCAAACCAATGATGCACATGGGTTCCAGTATCCTGAAGGAACAAATGGCGTGTGAATCAATCGTTGGTCTACGGCTACCATGGGACTGCATCTCCTCACGATGCTCCACTGCTTTGCGGATCAGACCTTTAGATCAATGGCTCTGAATGTGGCCCCCTAAGAAAACCACCTGCTTCGGTTTGGACAGCCGGGCAGTATCACAGCCCTAACACAAATCAAATACGATTTGTGTGGCGCATATGTATCTGGCGCCCCTTTGTTATGTTTAAATAAATCACCCTTCGCAAAATGTTAGGACTCCTCCATTTTATAGCAGGCCAACAATCGTTGTGTTTTTTGATATATAGGCCGCCTTCGATCTGTCAGAGTAATTGGTATTAAGTAAGGATGGGAATTCGATCGGTCGGGTAGTAAATCGTCATCAAGTGAGGTAGGTGGGACAGTTGTTACGTATGCCCAACCACCACTTATCTCGATTGGGGAGTAGGCCGGAAGAAAGTTAGGGGCGGCCGAACCGGAAACATGACATCACTACATGGAGTCATTGACAGTTGGACTAATTCATGTTAAATAGGGGTAGACAATCTTGTGGTTGGGTGATTATTGTAGCCAATCGCTAGAGACTTCCAAAGTCATGGCTCAAAATCGTTGACGATTGCTCATGTGCATCCATTTCTTTGTCTTCCCCTAAATTTTGACATTCTGGATTCCTCATGAGTTTTTGAGTATTTTTACTTCACTAATTTAAAAATTACTTGAATCGTATCTTGGATGCTTAATCTTTCCTAATACCACTAATACTGTCACTACCTTTACTATTTTGGGATTTGTCCTGACAATCTCATCTGTCTGTGTTAATGGGTTATGGCAACTTGGACTGATGTACATACGTTCCAGGTTCTACCTTGTGACTGACTAGATTGAATTCAGGACCTTGAAGTCTCACCACAAATATTTATGCATTTAGACCACTTATTTTGAATTTTGTGGCTTAGTTTATTGATTTTAATATCGTCTGGATAAATTTCACAAGCTAACGTAAAAGCATCTTAATTCAACCCACTGACCAAACAGTAATGAATTTATTAGTTCTGCTTGTGCAACTGATTTTCATATCTTCATTATTTGTTTCCTTCCGTAAATTAATTATATTACCTATTAATACGCAGAGATGGTTGGTGATTGGCAGTGGAATCTAGGACGTGTGTTTCGTCCTATTTGGGACTGGCCAGCCGGACATACCTGCATCCCAGAATTGACGTCCACTCAGTCACTCGAACTTAGTACCGTTCGCTTCGAACGCTATCTCGTTATCTATTTAGCTACTTAGTCTAGATGGCCACTAGGTTGTGCAATGTGGTGAAGTGTAATTCTTTTTTGTATTATTTGTTTGAATCTTCCCATTGATGTTTAAAACTACAAATGTTCAGTCTCATATTGGCATATATGCGTCCTGTATAGATTGCCTCGTTATTTCCTTAAGTTAAAATCATAATCAGTGCTAGATGGTGGCTAGCAATGGAGATGTACTACGATTTTCGTTCCTGCTCATTCCACGTTGTACATTATTTGCCGATACTGGGACTGGTTGGAAAAAGTGGAGAAATAGTCAGCTTACGACACAGTGTCAGGGTGTGGAGGAAAGCTGTATAGGACTGGGATATATCGGTTCATCGTAACTTTCTGATTGGGATCCTAGAGATAGTGTAACTTAGTGCCTTGAGATGTTATCAACCATGTTTTAAAAGTAGAAGCAAGTGGCCACCCTGATGTGATTTTCTTTTAATTCATATAAGCTAGGGAAAATTCTTTAACTAAAAGAGTATTTTACAGTTGTTTAATATATAGTTAAATAATCAATTCAATGGAAATTTATCGATTTATTGGTTTTTGATTTATTATTGTTGCTAATTTTTCAGTAGAACAATAACACTGTTTTATTGATAGTTTTTCAAAGTGATTTAACACTTTAGTGATATTTGGCTTGTCAGTTGTCATTACCTTTTTTTGGCTCATAAATTCGTTATATTCACTGTTATTTTAAGTAACTAGATTATATAAAATATAGCTAATATACTGTTTGTTTATACTCAACACTAATACTCCTTCTTCTTCTTCAACAAGTTGAATTTGAGAAATTTTTATTTGTTGTTTCTGTTTTTATTATTAGAAAGTTATGGGCGTCCAAATAGAGGTGGAATGGGTGGATTCGGTGGACAACGACAAAGTTACCATCCCCCAGGATTGTCACGAGAGCAATTAAATGAACCTATTTCCAAGAATCCTCAGTCAAATTCCACTGATTCAACTAGTAGTGGTTCGGGTGGTGATCGACCTAAACTAAACCTTAAAATTAGAGAGGTCCCTGTAAATACAAATGATGATCGACAATTGTCGGAGCGTGCCCGTGCGATATTCGGAGTTGGACGTCCTCGAGAAGCTAGTCCAATTCGAGAAAAAAAGTAATTAAAGTGTGCATCTGAATTTAGTACTTATTAAGTTTTGATTCTGATGGCGCATATGACTTCCATTCTCATATTTCAATTTTACGAAATTTTGAAATATACCCCGTTTGGTAAGCGTCCTAGAATTAGTCAGTCGATCATATGCAACGTACAACCTATCATATGTGAGTCATTTCAATTGGCTACATCATATTAGCATCGTTCGAATGCCCAACTCAAAAGACAGTGGTTTCAAACCTTTGACTCAAAATATGTTAAATGTGTAAATTACCTTTAATCGATTTCGTCGCCACACTTCTGCCGATTTTCTAATTTCATCTTAGGCTTACTAATTATTTCGTATTTCATTTGTAACTTTGTTACAGGTTGAATTCTGAAGAAAATGCAATCGGCTCTAGCCAATGAGAGAAAATCATTTATAATCAACCAAATCAACTTGATAATTGTTTTTCAACAACACTTCTACCAATATGTTTTTTTTTCTTGTTTCATTCAAACATTCCCCCCCCCCCTTGTTTTTCCTTACATTATTTTAGTCATTAAACTTCATCGTCTTTTCAGATCAAAATGTTTAACTGTACAGGTTGTTCTAAGGCTTTTCCATTAGTGTTACTATTTGGTTACACTATTTTTCAAACAATAATTCTATCTGTTGTTGTGCTAATTGTCATTTTTTGTTTGATTGTAAAAAAAAGAAAGCTAGTCTTCTTGCTATTTGTTAACAATGTGCCCATCTTTGTTTTCTATTTGTCTTCATATATATATGTGTGTGTGTGTTTGTGTATACATCCTTCTCATTGAACAATTCATATCCATATATATACCAACATTCGATTATCCTTCTTAGGTTACTGAATTCTGGTTTACGAAAGCATTTGTAAAAATAAGAGAACACAATAATCTGCTTTCAGATGTTAAAAGTAAAAGAAAAAAAAATTTCTTTTGATAATAGACTTTGTTTTACTAGAAAATAGGCTGTTTGTTGTAGACTTTTATTTTGATGGAGTTTTGTTCTTTGAGCTGAATGATTTAGTCGTGGAACTTTCATCATCTTTCTGAACGACGACATCATCAGCACAAACTTTGACCCCCAAATGCCTTGGTACGGCCGAGAGTGGAAAGAGTCCGCTCTCCCTCTCAAAATGCTCTTACATGGTCACGCATATATAGCCTCTGACAGGGAAGTCCTACTCACTGCCTTCTCGTGCCTTTCCTGTTTGGGATATGCAGGTGTTCTCAATTTGTGGTAGATATATTTATGTACTATTATTATGACCCTGTAATAGAAGTTAAAGAAACAGCCAAACGGTAACTCTTAGCAAAATAATGTTCTTAACTAATGAGATTCAATAGCTAAGGGCTTTTCCTAATTGTGAAGTTAATGTACATTGCAGTGTATTTGATTTGCAGTTCTTCACCACTCTCCTTCTCGAAATGCTCTCACATGGCCACGCGTATATAGCCTCTATCAGGGGGTGTTGTTTACAAAATTGAGAGGACGAAAGGCGAATGACCGGAGCTTTAACCGGGTTGGTGGATACGGAAAGTAGACCTAGGAGAGTTGGAAAACCCTGATCCCAAACCAATGGTGTAGATGGGCTCCAGTATCCTGAAGGGACAAATGACGTATGAACCGATTGTTGGTCACTGGCTACCATGTGGCTACATCTCACGATGCTCCACTGTCTTATGGGTTAGACCTTTAGGTCAAAGGCTCGGGGTGTGGTCCCCTAAGAAAACCACCTGCTTCGGTTTGGACAGCCGGGCAGTATCACAGCTGTCACATAAATCAAATGAGATTTGTGTAGTGCGTATATATATCTGGTGTACCTTTGTACTAATATTTATGTGTTTAAATAAATAAATAAGCACAAACTTCGTGTAGAAGTGAAGTGTTTAAACTTCTCCACATGTGATTCACAGCTTGTCCTATGCACCTCGATGTTGATTATTGGTTCTTATTGACCTTAGATCTGTCTCTCCATGATCTCAAAATTAGACTTTTATTTCAAATCTTTTTTGTTTACAAAGTGTATTATCATTGTTTTATAGGTGAAGTTTATGTAATGGGTAGACGTTTTATCTGTGATTATTGTGATAAGTCATTTCCAGATAATCCAATTAATCGACGAAATCATCTTAAAGGTGTACAACATCAACAAGCTCGAAAATTACATTATGATAAATTTCTTGGTAGATTATGTAATATGATTTCATCTTATGATTATAGATCCTAAAGAGAAGCTTAATATAGAGAAATCAAAGAAGCCATGTATAACATTTCGTAATACAGGTTGGTGTTATTTAGTTATTTGTTTCTTCGAACTATGAATATTTCCATTTAGGTACATGCACTTATGGTCCATTATGCAAATATTCTCATTTAACCATTGAAGACATTCATATTTTAGAAGAAAGATCTAGTAAGATAAATGATTTGTTTTATTTATTCATTCAATGATAGATGCTGAACTACTTGCTTCATCTTATTTGAATCATCTAGCTTCTGAAGTTAATATTAATCATCAAATTAAATTATTAGAATCAAAGCTAATATCCAAACGAGAGAAACAGACAAATTGTGGATCAATTCAACGATTTCATATACCAGAAGGCATACAATTACTATATCTACCTCCTTCATTGTCTTTACATTAAAACTTTCAGAGGCCTGATTTTTTATTTTTCAAAAGATTTGTGTATATCGAAAATTTATTTGAAAATTTTTCAAGTTTCTTGGTTAAGGCTTTAATTTTTCAACAAAGTAATCAAGTTTAAAATAATGAGTTATGGATTTCGGTGTGAAATTCATCAAACCACATAGCTGAATAGTATTTTGGCATCAAAAACTTAACTTCTGACTTTAAATCCTAATCCTGACTTCTCGCATTAATTTATAACCCTTGTGAATTTTCTCAAAATCAATGTAATATCTCTCAAAGGTCGTCCATAAATTTCAGTTTTGCCACTTCTGGAACTTCTCTGACGGTAAAACGATTTTTGTATATTTGTGCTATGCAAAATAAAATGCCCATTAGTCTTTAGGCTATTTGGCGTATTCTATTTGTTCGGGTTCTTTTAGTCGACCGAGGGAAGATTTAGTCGTGAACAAGATTATCTTGGTTGCTCCTAAAAGTATAAGAGGCACCAAACACCTATGCGCCACACAAATCTCAATTGACTTGTGTTAGGGCTGTGATACTACCGAGGTGCCCAAACTGAAACAGGTATTTTTCTTAGAAGGCCACACCCGGAGCCTTTGACCTAAAGGTCTGATCCACAAGGCAGTGGAGCATCGTAAGGAGATGTAGTCCCATGGTAGCCGGTGACCAACAATAGGTTCATAAGCCATTCGTTCCATCAAGATCCTGGAGCCCATGTACACCACAGGTTTGGAATCAGGGTTTTCCAACTCCCCTAGGTGGACTATCCGTGTCCACCAACCTGGTTAAAGCTCCGGTCATTCGCCTTTCGTCCTCTCACTTTTGTGAACAACACCTGTGGCACGAGTAGGCAGTGAGTAGGATTTCCCTGTTAGAGGCTATATACGCTTGGCCATGTGAGATCATTTCGAAAGGGAAGGCGTACTCTCCCTATTCTCGACCTTACCAGGGCATTTGGGGGATCCAGCTTGACTGGTCCTGATTATTGTAGCTAAGAGGTATATTAAGATAAATCATAGTTAGCTTTTGTCACATTATAATCAACTGGGAAACTATTAAAATCCCTGAAAATAGTGAATCTCTATTTTCTAACTTGAGTTCTTAACTGTGCACTTCATTTATGATCTGTAAACATAGGTCATGATCATCTTGTTAACACTAACCGGCTAGTTTGACTGTCATTACTGAAAGTTCATAAATTGTAGATTATTTTTATAATCAATAACTAATAAACTCTTAAAAAATGTCTGCCAAATCTCAACATACTTCATTTCTTTGTAATGAGCACAAATCAACCAATAGTAGTTACATTATTATGTAATATGAAAAAATCTTCAACATGTATCATCTACATAACTTGAGAACTAATCATTGGTTAATATTTGCATAATTATTATTGATTGGATATCGATTATCGATAATTTATTTTTAAAAGGTGCACTTATTACAATTCCATTTGAAACACTTAGAGAAATCTATATCAAACTCTTCAAAATGATCATTGTGGTGCATCACTTATATAAAGTGAAATATTAAACACTGCTCTCTGTGTCTAAATCGTTCTTATATAGTTGAGATCATGTGACAATTAAAGCTAGACCACCATAGAAAACCTGAAAGTGCTGGATGGCCGTTTCGTCCTATTGTGATACTCATCAGCTGTGCGCATCCACGACCGTTGGATGCCGGCTCAGTGGTCTATTGGTTAGGCGCTCTGGCGCAAGACTGGTAGATCCTGGGTTCCAATCTCGTGAGGTGGGATCGTGGATGCGCACTGATGAGAAGTCCCACAACAGGATGAAACGGCCGTTCAGTGTTTTCGGGTTTTACATGGTGGTCTAGCTTCAATTGACTCATGATTTCAACTATATAAAAAATTACTAAAATTTCCACAAAACCCGTTTCTGATAAATCGTTCTTAGTCTAGTGATAAAGTGATATAATCGTTATTAGTGGTGTCTGTTTGTTGGAAAAATGTATCTGACGGGTAAAATAAATACAAATCAGCTTTCATTTAGCAATTTTGTTTGCAGAATACACTTTAAACTATAACTCCAAATTTTTGTTCAATGAAGGTACCTTTTTAGTGTAAACGGTGATTTTCCTCACAAAAAGATCTTAATTAAAAAACCAGAGAGCACGTAGTATCAAGTACATGTCACTTCTCAACAGTGAACGAGAAATTTCATAGAAGAATGTTGGTTTCTCTACCATTGAATGCTCAACAAATCCGTTTCTCGTAGATCGGCAGCTTAGTCGCTTGAACGTTTAGCTTTCGGTCATAAGGTGCCTTATTCGAACCCCGCTCCACTTTAATATGATCCAATGAATGTTATCATTACATCTCAAACTTACTGTGTGGCCCTTACTCAATTGCCTGGTAAACTATTTGGTATAGTTATTTTATTTGTTTTCTCGTGAAATAAATAAAACCACAAATTTGGGTCACGTTTTTTCCTTATAGAAAGTAATCTCTGGAAAGTAGTTTTTTTAAATTTTCTAGTCCTCTTTTCAGAGTTTAGATTATAAATATTATGATCCTGTAGAAGTAGTGGTTGTTAATGAGTTATCACTTTGAAAATCAATAACGAAACGATTCTAATGCCTCAAATGGTGAATGTTCCGTTTTTTAAATCAACTCCTCCTTTAGCTCCTCCGGGGGGCTAGTGCCGGTCCCAAGCACGGGTAAAGGATGAGGGTTGGGCATGGGGTTAGCGACCCCATCCCGTAGAAAACCAACTCGCTAAAAAAACGCTAACAATGTTTATCCAAACTATGCAATGATCAGATTTGTTTACCTTTATCACACCGGTTCTTTGGTTAAATTGTTAAATGCTTGGCAACAGTTCAATATAGAACCACAGTAGTAGGTAGTAGAACATTCTTGTGTTGTCCGAAGAAGACTATATCTATCTATCTATCTATCTATCTATCTATCTATCTATCTATCTATCTATCTATCTATCTATCTATCTATCTATCTATCTATCTATCTATCTATCTATCTATCTATCTATCTATCTATCTATCTATCTATCTATCTATCTATCTATCTATCTATCTATCTATCTATCTATCTATCTATCTATCTATCTATCTATCTATCTATCTATCTATCTATCTATCTATCTATCTATCTATCTATCTATCTATCTATCTATCTATCTATCTATCTATCTATCTATCTATCTATCTATCTATCTATCTATCTATCTATCTATCTATCTATCTATCTATCTATCTATCTATCTATCTATCTATCTATCTATCTATCTATCTATCTATCTATCTATCTATCTATCTATCTATATATATAATACACTTAGTATGTAACTAGATTGTATATGCTTATGTTCCTTTTTTATCATAAACTTTCATTTGACCTACTAACGACTATTATGCAATTTATTATTCTTAATATATTCGCATTCTTTTATTTACAGTCACCCCCGTACTTACAACCACTTTTTACTTGGCCTTGTATGGTTATTATTTTTCATTTTATAATGTGACGCGGTTTGGTCCGCTTGTGTATGAATTACGTATGTTTGAAATATATTGTTTATACAGTAGAAGTCGATTATTTTGTTCCAGACTTAAGGGAGGGGGGCGGGCAAAGTGTGCTGTTGTTAGATCGAGAACCGATTGGCATCCAGAGTTGACCAGAGGCTACGAGTCCTGGTTGATGTGTCATTGGTTGGCTGAGAGACAAGATTATAGAGATCAGTATTCTGATTGGTGGTGTTGTCACGTCATATTTAACAGGGCTATAAATCATAACCATTCGGCTTTACACAATGACTTATTGAGAACTTTCTCGCATACAACTATGAGTAAGACAATGTAACACTGGAATTACTATGGGAATTTATTATCTTATGCTTTCACTGGTTAGCGTTATTTTAGCGAGTTGGTTTTCTACGGGATGGGGTCGCTAACCCCATGCCCAACCCTTCTCCTTAACCCGGGCTTAGGACCGGCAGTAGCTCCGAAGGAGCTACAGGCAGAGTTATCCTATACTTTGTTGGACATAAAAAAAGATTTTAGCCGAACAATGTCACACTAGTTTTTTCTTTACCTATGCAAATTATCATGTTTGACATATAAAACATAATTAAAATCGATATCATTGGTGTTCATTCTTTTCCATTTGATTTGTAATAGCACCATCACATATACTTCAATTTGTACATGTTTAAATTTATTAAGCCCTTCAATGAACTTGTTCACAAGACATTCTCATTTCTATCTGTAACAATTTACTTATGTGTTCACGCAATGAACTCTATGCTTCTATGTTCATGTATCCTTGTTCACGTGTTACAACCTACACATGTTGTATTCTTACTAGCCTAAATGCTAATTACTTGATTCACTTAAAGACTCCTTGTTTGGTTTTATTTATTTATTTAAACACATAAATATTGGTACAAAAAGCACCAGATAAATATGCGCCTCACAAATCTCATTTGATTTGTATGAGGGCTGTGATACTGCCAAGGTGCCCAGATTAAAGCAGGTGGTTTTCTCAAGGGGCTACACCCGGAGCCTTTGACCTAAAGGTCTGATCCACAAGGCAGTGGAGCATCGTGAGGAGATGCAGTCCCATGGTAGCCGTTGACCAGCAGCAGGTTCATTCGCTATTTGTTCCCTCAGGATACTGGAGCCTATGTACACCATTGGTTTGGAATCAGGGTTTTCCAACTCCCCTAGATGGACTTTCGTGTCCTCCAACCCGGTTATGGCACCGGACATTCGGTTTTCGTCCTCTCACTTTCGTAAACAACACCTGTGGTACGAGAAGTCGGTGATTAGGACTTTCCTGTCAGAGGCTATATATTCGTGTGGCCATGTGAGATCATTTCGAGAGGGAGAGCTGACTCTCCTCACTCTCGACCGTACCAGGGCATTTGGGGGCTCTTTGTTTGGTTATATATATATGTGCTTCTTATGTCATATTCATTCATTCATTCGTATTCACATTCGCATTTTTGTTTTTGTGTGCTTGGTGTCTTTGTAGTCTGTCCTGTACAACAATAAACCGTAGCTAACGCTTAATATTATCTACCGGCATTAATACACCGTTAGAAGTTATCTAAAAAACGGTTATCAGAATGAATGATATACGAAGCACAAGAAATATCTAGAAGAGAATCCATCACAATCGATCATCCATTGTAGTAATCAGTATTGTAGCACTAATTGGAACTTCGTCAATCAAATCGCGATGCTTCGATTAGACTTAGTGACATTGTCATAAGGGTGCAATTTTTAATTTTGCAGATAAATAATTCAATCAAAGATCAGTAATTGACTCTATTAGTGTGAATGTCTTAATATAATAGTAGATTAGCGATAGACTGAGTGATGCAAACTTTAATCTTGGTTAAAGAGTATCTTTTATCTCGACATTGCGGATACGTGCTTCTTATTAAGATTAAGACTCAGTTAACTGTACTTTGTCAATTACTTTTAACTAAATAATTCATAAGACTTCATGACTGTGTACAAGATCTTTTTGGTAAGTTGTGATGATGAAGTATCTAACGAAAGCACTTAGCATCAACATACAATATAATAATGCTAACTGACTAACTGAGATACCCTTTCAGTTTTACAACTTCAGATTTATATTTTTATTGAAACTAAGAATTACATGGAATGTATTTCCTGAAGAAGTTTTTATGAACTTCAATTTGAAACTGATAGCTGATTTATCAAACAAGATTGGACGGATCACCTGTTATCTCATTGCCATATAATAGATAAGAGATCCAATGTGGTCCGTTCTGGGCCATGTTTCACAGAGTCTCCAACCACTGTTTACGGTAGTCACTTTAAATCCAACCAAACAGTCTGCATCTATGAACATGGCTCAGACCAGAAGTTAGTGAATTTTTAAACTTGTGCCACGTTTTGGTTTGGCCGCCCCTAGCTTTGTTCCAACCGTCTCGAACACTGGTCAACATTACGCGTCGTGGTAATCGGTGTTCAGGCATACATAACACGTGGCCCAACCATCTCAGTCGATGAAGATTCATGGCATAATCAAATGATTTACCATCACTCTCTAATACTCTGTGTCTAACTACACTATTACCCGGTGATCCCAACAGATGTGAGTAATATTGCTAAGACATTTGTGATCATATACTAGTAAGAGTATTTTCTACTCTAAATCGTCACGTTTCGCAGCCGTATGAGTAGAACAGGACGGACTACTGCGTGGTATACTCGTCCTTTTATCGACTGGTAGATGTCTCGCCTTCGTCATAGCTGACGTAAGTTTTCAAAAACCAAACGAACTCTTTGAATCTGTGCTGAGATTTCGTTCGCCAGAGCTCACTTATTTGACTGTGGATAATTTTGAAAGATAATTTTTATTGAATATAAATATTAGTATTTTCCTTGGATCTTTTAAGACTATTACGCAACCTTCTTGTAATGGTAAACAAAGATGAATAGTGGCTGGCAGTGGAATCCAGTTTGACGCGCGTTTCGTCCTATTTGGGATTCGTCAGCTGGATGCATCTGCATCTCAGAGTTGATGTTCACTCTGGGACTCGAACACAATATCTTCCGCTTCAAACGCCATCGCGTTATCCACTCGGCCACTGAGTCCTGACAGCCACTTGCTTGTGCTAGCCACTATCCATCTTCGCTTACCATGCTTGTTAATTTAGTCTATATCGAGGCAATATGCACAGTATGCATATATGCCAATTAGAGACTGATCAGTTGCAATCCTAAAAACATCAATGGGAAGATTCAAAACACACAATACTTCTTGTAATGCTTCAAATTTCTGCAAATATTATGATGTAATCCATCTTTGCTTCCCAACAAACGATTGTATTTTTTAATTCATTATAAGAACAATTGTACATCATTAATACATAATATCAATGAAAAGAAAATATTCTTTCTCAAACGAAAGAAGAAGAAAACGTCATAATCAGTCAGTTGGCACTTCCATGCTGAGAGTCAAGCCCAGGCTGCCTGGGTGGAAAGATTTTTCTTTATCGTGAAAGTTGTTGAATTTCTTGTGTTAAACTATTAATCTCTTCACTTTGTAATTTAACTAATTGACCAAGTTGTTTTAATTGTTTATGATCAACAATTCCTGGGGAACTTTGAATGGTTCCAATCTATAAGTGGAGGAAAAAATTATATGAGGGCTAAGTAACAACAGCAAATGATAATACTTTTCGAATTTTATAGAGTTGAGACCATGAGTCAATTGAAGCTAGACCACCATAGAAAACCTGAAAGCACTGGACGGGCGTTTCGTCTTATTGTGGGACTCCTCAGTGGCAGTGCGCATCCACGATCCCGGATCCATGACCTACCAGTCTCGCGCCAGAGCACTTAACCGATAAACCACTGAGCCGGCCGGCATCCAACGGTGTTAATGTCTAACTTCAACCAATCATCAATGTCTTCAGTTAGTTAATATCTCCCAACAGACCTGGTTGAACTCCACTGGTCACTGCTTCTCACTAGAACTACAGGATATACCTCATGGAGCCAGTCACTAGTGAGCATATGATCATTATCAGAAGGGGTTTTGTGGAAATTTTAGTAATTTTATAGAGTTGAGATCATCAGTCATTTGAAGCTAGACCATCATGGAAAACCTGAAAGCACTTGACGACCGTTTCGTCCCATTGTGGGACTCTTGAGTAGCAGTGCTCGTGCGCAATCCTGTCTAGCTTCAACTGACTCATGATCTCAAGTATATAAAATTACTGAAATCTCCACGAAATCCCCTTCTGATAGATTAAATAAAGCTTTAATAGATATCTTTGTATGAATATATAGAAATGAGAAATTTTTGGAAGCTCTTTCACTGAACCTATTCACTTCTTTTCAGCCTTAGATTGTTGCTAGTTAATTCTTAATTTATAATTCAGACTTTGGTATCAAGAAGACTTTAATTTCGTACGTCCTGAGATATGTATACGATGATGTGATTGTTTTTAGTTGAGTAATAACAAAGTACTTTACTGACTTATCAATACTTTGATTGACAAATTGGCAATGAATGAAAACCTCTGAATAGGGAATCGATAAATAACCATGAACAGTATCTGAATTAGCCAACTCTAAACAGATGGAACATTAAAATAAAAAATAAAATCTTTGTAGATGTTTTAATCAAGAATAAGGAACAGTTGAAGAGTTTTTGAAGATCAACAAGCACTAAATAAATACCTCGGTCTATTTTGAAAGTCATTAACTTCAAAAATGGGGATGATTTTGCAACCTTCAAATTTCACAGTTCTTTGAGTCTTAATCTCATAATCTATATTATCTAATTTTGGTCAAAATCATTCAATATAATCAATTACTTTCTGTTTCACTCGAAAATTCATAGGTTCCAATTAAAGAGAGGAACTTTGAAAAATCCATGTCGAAGGTATTCACTAAATAAAATATGATTACTGTTCAGTTAGGTGATTTTATAGGGGATTTATGCAGATCGTAGACTACAGGGGATTTTCAATAGTGATATAATAAAGTAGATATAAACTCCGCCTGTAGGTCTTCTAGAGTTACTGCCGGTTCCAAGCCCAAGTAAAAGAGGAGGGTTGAGCATGGGGTTAGTGGCCCCATGGTGCTACGCGAGATAAATATTAAGCAAAATAGAACTTTCTCAATGGTTTCATCTGAATACTTTTGTCGTATAATTATTAATGATTACTTAAAATACTATATTCTTGTATTCCTCTACATGTAAGCTTTTGTTTGACACAGAATTGACCGTTGTGTGTTTTACTTTTCCAAAATTATTGGTAATTTATTACCGTTCCATCACTCAGTTTTATTTCACTTATGCTGGCACAGTTGCCTCTCTTCTTCTGTTGTAACTTCCTTATTCTGTTAACATTTGATCAAGATTTAGCTCTATATTATTGTATTAGTGATTCATAACTTTGAATTGTATGATTAGAAGTTATCTACTTACTAATTTGTTCTCTGTTCTGGCTATCCGGTGAACAAGCATCGGAAACTGTGTTTTGGACAAATAGTCATTTAGTGTTACACTAGGCTGTTATCTCACAATTTATCGTCCAATCAGTTAACCGAAGGTCATTAGGACTGGGTAAGATAACCAGTAGTCGGAATAGATGAATACAGCTTCTCTCCTGCCTTTATGTATGATCTCACGGGCCCCGAATAACCAAACAGTAAAATCTGTTTATTTATTTGGCTGATTGTAAGCTATTGGCTGATATATAAATTATGGTTATGATATCTTCAAGCTATGACTGATTCGTTACTGTTCTATTACTTATTTTCTATTTCATCTAGGATATAGCTATGCGTACACTGTAATTTCTTATTTGTTACAACGTAGTCAGGAATATACCTAATACCTTTGTGATCGATAATAAAACCTGGAAAATAGAAATCCTAGCTTCATGCTATATTTTCTCATTATATTGAAGACTGAGAGTACAGAGGAAAGTGCATGGAAGATCAATAGGCGTCAAAATCAGCTCGTCTCTACTCAACGTTAATTTTTAGTGGACGAAGTATGATATTTTGGCAGAGTTTCGTTATTTGAGCAGAAAGGTTTGTTTGTAGAGATTTCATTGTTCTTCTGAACATCAACATCATCCTAAACTTCAAGTAGGAGTGAATTCTTCCAATTTCTCAACATATATAGTACAAAACTTATTATTTATATTAAACTAACTAATCCTTCAATAGATATAATCAGCAACAGCCTACTGTAGGAGAGAACAAACCAGCTTCCAACTGAAGTGAAAATAAGGAAAAGATCTTGGAAGTGGATCGAACATACATTGAGGAAATCACCAAACTGCATCACGAGGCAATCCCTAACTCCGAATCCTGAAGGTAAACGGAAAGGTGAGAGATCGAAGAATACACTACGTTGGGAATCGGATGCAAACATCAAAAGATAAACAATATTCACTTACTTTTGTACTATTTATTTGATTTAAATCATTTTGTAATTGTTGATTTTCATTAAAAAGTGTTAATAATTTTTTTAAATAAACCGTATTTTGACGTATTTGTTCCATACATGAATCTCGTACATCACGTATTTTAGACTGAATTTATTATTTCCGACCCCACCCCCCAGATTGATTAGAAAGAGAATCATAGAGAAAAAGAAATAAAAAGCAAAACAATTTTTTTTATCAACGTTCATTGAATACAATAAATAAGGCATCAGGACTCAGTAGCTAAGTGGATAATGCGATGGCGTTTGAAGCGGAAGGTACTGGGTTCGATTCCCTGTAGTGAACATCAACTCTGAGATGTAATACATCCAGCTGACGAGTCCCAAAATAGGACATAACGTGCGTCAAACTGGATTCCACTGCTAGCCACTAACTATATTTGCTTATAATGCTTGTGAATTAAGGCAATATCGAGGCAATCTGTGCAGGATGCACATATGCCATCAAGAGACTGATCCAGTCCAAAATAACAATGGGAAAATACAAGTAAACAACAACAAGTGAATGCATCATAATTTTGTTTAATTTTATCAAAAATAATGGCCCAATAATGTACCTGAATGAAATGATTGATATCTGATATAGACGAGATTATTTATTGATCAAATATTTTAACATGCTACTTTAAATAGTAGCTCGACTGTTGTCAATTCTTGAGGAACACCATATATCAGCAGTGGTTTTGTAGATACTATGATAATTTCAATAGTTGAGATCATGAGTCACTTGAAGCTAGACAATCACAGAAAACCTGGAAGCACTGGACGACCGCTTCGTCTTATTGCGGGACTCCTCAGTGGCAGCCCGCATCCACGATCCAATCTCGCGAGATTCGAACCAAGGATCTATCATTATCGCATGTGATCTATTGACACCTAGAATCACTAGGCCAGCATCCAAAGATGTTAATGTCTAACTTCAACCAATTCATGAAATTGAGCAACCGGTCACCATCGTCTTCAGTCAGTTACTATCTCACAACAGACCCGGTTTATATAAAAGTTTGATAATATTGTTCAAAACGACAATAAAAACTTCATAATTAACTCAAACAGTTATAAGAACATAATACAGTTAAAATAATTGTAAAACAAGAAGATACTGTAGTGTGGGTTGCTTGCATCCACATAAATAGTATATAACGATGGTCAGACAGAGGATGTATTTCAGGTGAAGATCGATAAGCAAAGAACCGAAACGAAACGCAATTGGAATGAAAATGTATGAACAATGAAATCAGAGAAGATGGACTGATATCTGCAGAAGGAACAGTCAAGATTGAGACAATTGATTGATAGTTTGCAAATTAACTGTTTTGTTGTATGATTGTCAGATTTGAGTGAGATCGTCTGTAATTTTATATTCGGATACATTCGATTGTCTCCATTCGTCTTGTTCACTACAATACTATGAGATCATAATTAACTATCACGAATTCTTATTAATTAAAATGCCCCACAAAAGCCCTGGTACGGTCGAGAGTGAGGAGAGAACGCTCTCCCTCACATGGCCACGCGTATATAACCTCAAACAGGGAAGTCGTACTCACTGCCTTCTCGTGCCACAGGTGTTGTTTACGAAGTTGAGAGGACGAAAGGCGAATGTCCGGCGCTTTAACCGGATTGGTGGATACGGAAAGTAAACCTAGGAGAGTTCGAAAACCCTGATTCCAAACCAATGGTGCACATGGGCTCCAGTATCCCGAGGGATCAATTGGGGTATGAATCAATTGTTGGTCACCGGCTACCATGGGACTGCATCTCCTCACGATGCTCCACTGCCTTGTGTATCAGACCTTTAGGTCAAAGGCTCTGGGTGTGGCCCCCTAAGAAAACCACCTGTTTCAGTTTGGGCACCTGGGCAGTATCATAGCCGTCACACAAATCGAATGAGATTTGTGCGGTGCATATATATGTGGTGCTTCCTTGTACCGATATTTATGTGTTTAAATAAAAATAAAAAACAATTAAATTTATTAAATACAATAGATGACAATAATTAAGGTCAAATAAATTAACTAAACATATTGACTAGATTCAGTCAACATAGTAGGAGATTGTATCATTGAATGAAAGAGTACACTAAGAGAATAAGGACAAGGTAACACTTCCGTAGAAAAGAAAAATACACAGAGTAAATGATGAGTTCTATGATAAAGGGGGTAAAGATTTATTCGAGACATCTAGAAAGTTTATTGTACTATTAAAATATAAAATAAATACACTTTCGAAGGATCATATAACTAAGAACAATTAACCTTTATGATTTTTTTGTTAGGTTGAATTGCCATAAACAGAAGTTGTTTTGTAATGAACGAGAACATAAGTGGCACGACGCGCTATACTGACCAGTATTGGGGATAGTCTGAAGAGAGTTAGGGGTGGTCAAACCAAAATGTCGCATCAGAGCTTGAAGTCACGAACTTCTAGTCTGGGCCGTGTTGGCAAATACAGACTATTTAGTTGGGGTCCGCGCGACTATCGTAACCAATTGTTGGAGACACTAGTGATATGGCTAGAATCGATCACAATGACACAGGTGTATACACACTTTATCTTCCCCTAAACCTTAAGATTAAAATTGCTTCATAACTTTCTTCATATACTATATCATTATATACAACCTTTCTTTTATATATTACCATCACTAAATTAAGTAATTCTATGAATCCTTTGTTGATCTTGTTGTGCTAATAAAGTATGGCAACTTGGACCGATGCATATGTGTGCCAGGTCCTACGTTGTAGCCGACTGACAATTGAATAGCATTCCAATACAAAATTACAGAATCTCTTGGTAAAATCTGAGAACCATACAGTAAATAATTCATTTGCAAAATATCAATGAATCGTCTCAGACTTTATTATTATTCCTTTATCTCTACACCAATCACTCTATGTTCTCTTCCTCTTTTCTTTGATCTCCTTAACCTAATGCCTCTAGGCATTTCACTTTCGACTGATGATGCATACTACTTATATCTGTCGATATCAGTAGCATATACCACAGTATTCAGTTTAGTTACAATTCCAGATCACACAAGGAGGCTTCCTTATCAACTTCCTCTACACTGTAAAATTTTTATCCAATTTTAAACAAGAGATCTGTGTACAAAAATAATTTGAACAATATCTAATCTTTACCATAAGTCAATCAGTCAGTCAGATACAACGTAGGACTAGGTACATATCTGTGTAGAGGTTAATTCCTTTATATCTAACTTTAGTAAATTGTATCCTGTTAAAATTGAGTCAGTCAGTCAGTCAAAACGTAAAACTTCATATGTAGTTCGAGTTGCCATACCACATTAGCACAGAGATGCAGTTGTCGATTCAAAACCCATAGTGGTAGAAGTAGTAAGAGTATAAGCAGTAATCCGAAGAAGATGTCATTCAAGGAGTATAATCCAATGAAATAAATTTAGAAAGAGAACTAGAGATCTACTCGAGGTTATTCAGAAGCCCTAACACCAGTTATAGAGATAGTTTATTGTTGAAGATCGATAACAATCGCAAGAGTACAGATAGAAAGCACATAGGGAAACGAGTAAGAGTGTGTGAATGTTAAAAATCCATATGCATTTATGGGTGTTGATTGTTTGTGGATAACTTGGGACAATAGACTAAAGATTAATGTGTAAACACACGCGCTCAATTAGACTCACACGTAAATTTACATAGCGAGTTAAGTGTCTAATTTACAGTGAGTAGACAAATAATACAATGGTGGGATGAGCTACTACATATGCATCAGTCCAAGTCACCATACCTTATCAGCACAACAAGATGAACACCGAATTCATAGGGGTAGTCAGCTCAATAACAGTAATATATAAAAGAAAGGTTACATATAAGAATATAATACAGGAAGAAAGAATTAGTTGCTAGAAAAAAAGATATAAAGTAATTTTAATCTCACGATTTAAAGGAAGACAAAGAGTGTATACACCTACGCTATTATGATTGGTTCGAAGACATGTCATCCAGAGTGTCCAACCATTACTAGTTACGATAGTCGCGTGGACCCCAACCAAGTGGTCTGCATCTACCAACATGGCTCCGATTAGAAGTTAGTGACTTTGTGGACTAATGCGACATTTTGGTTTGGCCGATCCTAACTTAATCTTTACCATAATCCTAAATTTATCATATTTTGGTTCCTAAGTAACATTCGAAAATCTGTTCCCAGTTATCCTTTAATTTTATATAGTTATACAAATTATATGGATATCGTGTTGAGTTTTGAGTTAATAAACCACAGAACTATTCTAGTTACTCCTAATGTCATGCGCTTCACAAATTTCTTCCCCTATAACTATCATTCTTTTATTTTAAACTATTTACAGTTTAAACGCAAGAATATCGGAGGTGATATATGTAACAATGGCTCGTTAGCAAACTCAAGGAATTCTCAAGAAGCCCAGAAAGAGCCGAAGACATTCCATTCAATCACCTCTAGAGGAACATTCTAGAATGTCGACGTGTAGCTCTCCTATTGGTTGAATAAGAAGGCCCCCCCTATGTGCCTATTGGCTATCCAAAATGATGATTTACTTTCAGTCGAAAAGCTATAAATACGTGAGATTTTTGTACTATATCTGATACTGTTTTGAGAATAACATTCCTACTTACTAGTCTGCTGTCTTCTCATTTTACGACTTGGGAGGGTTCTAGCATTCGAGTGCTCAAGTATTACACAACATACTAAGAATCTAAGTTCGAGATATAACAATATACATTAAACAACTGTACGTCTCTATAGATATTAGTTCGTCTATAAGGAGATTCCAATTGCTGAAGAATATGAAACATAGATTTTCAAGTGAAATTTCTACAATCTGAATGTCAGCTGAAGTGATCTAATGTCTTATCATCTTAAACCTCATTATTCATACCTTAAATAAGTAGTATGAACTAAAACACATTTCAGTTGAAATAATAAAACGATTAATTGACATTATGAGTAGTAGATTCAGTTGCATCAAATAATGTGATTCGGATTTATACTACTTACTAAGTAGTATTGTGGTGTGGTCTACTTATATCCATATAAGTAGTATATGATGTTAGTCAGACATAGAATGTATTTTGGCAGAAGACCGATGAGGAAAGAACTGAAACGAAGCGCAATCGGTAGGAAAATACACGAACAATGGAATTAAAGAAGAAACAGTAAAGATTGAGACTATGATCATTATTTCTTCAACTGACAGAACATACACATGAATGTGACGATTTAGTAAAACGGATAATTTATAGAATTAATAATTAAAGGGTTTCGTGAAGATAATTTACATTAGTAGGTATTTCAACAAGTTTTGGTTTCTTACTTCTTAGTCGATCTTCACAATAAATATTGAGTGATCGCCAGTTAGAAGTTAGCTGTCCAGTCAATCGACATCTAATTAATGCACATTCTTTTCCCTGTATATTGCCAGCAACCACAATACATCTGATTGGGCATTTTGTAACTGGTACAACAAAAGGTTGTACACTTCAGAAACGCACCTGAATAGGTTATGCGATTAATAGCCATATTGATGCAATAAAACAAACAAAATTAGATAAGTTATTAAAAAATCTAAATGACAGGAACAGGTAACCCCGATGTTTAAGCAGACCTCCTTTTCCATTTTACATGCGAATGAAACTTTAACTTATGTCAGACGAATATCTACACTAGATTCCCTCCCAGTGTCTACTCTAAAGGACTTCAACACAACTGAGATCAAGAACGCGTGATTAGCATGACTAGAACGTAAGATATACTTCCACATCAAAACCCAACACAATCCAACAATTAATCAAAAATAATAAATAATAAAGATAGGAGAATATATAAGTCATCTGACACCTGTCAGACTATCTACATGTTCGACTTAGCAGACAACCAATGATTATCATTCTCGCCCACACATCAATGTTTGAAGCTCAACTCCTAGAGTGACGTTAAATACACACGATGGACGACTCCCTTGATTGTTCCCGGAACTCAAAATATGATCAATATTTGATAAGTATTATCTAGAATGTAACTAACCTCTATTTTTGCTTCTTCTTTTGCGAATTCCTCTTGTAGTACTAACATCTTTGTTGTTAAATCTTCTAATTTAGGATTTACCATAATATTTTCCATTTTTTCAATATCATCTATTCTACCAAATTTATCATTCATTTCTTTATCACATAAAGTGGATAATTTTTCTATTTCTTTCTATATGAAGAAAATCAGAATTTTTAGAAAGGTTTAAGTATATTACTAATAAGTTATACTATAAGTAGTAATGATAATTCTATTTAGAAAATATGCTAAAATGTATGCATTTTCCGATAGATAGTATAGATAGTTGACTAACAGACTCAACCATAATGAGAAACAAATTATTAGCCATTTCAATTGCATGAGGAACGGATATATATTATGGTGTGGGTTACTTATATCCATATAAGTAGTATATAACGATGATCAGGTAGAGAATGTATTTCAGTTGAAGATCGATAAGGAAAGAACAGGAACGGAACGTGATTGGTATGAAAATGCATGAATAATGAAATCAGAGACAACGGACTGATATTTGCCAAAGGAACGGTCAAGTTTGAAACAATAGATTGTTATTTTGCAAATTAACTTTTTACTATAGAGTTGTCAGATTTTCTTGGGATATTCTGTACACAAAAGCAAACAAGCAAGTGAAGAGGAGCATCAGAACCGACAAATGTAAATATCTGGAAAATTTAGCAATGACAGCGAAAAAGGCTGCAAGAGAAGGAAAAATGAGACAATTGTAGGATAAAACAAAGAAACTTGCTGGAAATTACCGTAAACCAGAAAGACCAGTGGAAAGCAAGGAAGGCAAAGTAATCACCGACATTGAAGAACAGCAAAACAGGTGAGTAGAGCACTTTAATGAACTACTGAATTGACCAGCTCCACTGAACCCACCCAACGTCGAAGCAGCACCCACGGACCTCCCAATCGATATTGGCCCACCATCAATTGAAGAGACCAGCATGGCCATCAGACAAATCAAGAGCGGCCAAGCAGCAGGAACGGACAACATTCAGGCAGAGGCACTGAAAGCAGATGAAGCAGCGACTGAAAAGATACTCCACATTCTCTTCACTAAGATTTGGGATGGAGAACAAGTACCAACAGGCTGGAAAGAAGGACTTCTGATCAAAATACCAAAGAAGGGCGATATCAACAAGTGTGATAACTACAGGGGCATCACTCTTCTCTCAATACCAGGAAAATTCTTCAACAGCGTATTGTTAAACAGAATGAAGGATTCCGTAGACGCCCAACTTCGAGATCAACAGGCTAGATTCCGTATGCATCGATCGTGTACTGACCAAATCGCCACTCTACGTATCATTGTGGAACAATCAATTGAATGGAATTCATCACTCTACATCAACTTCATTGAATACGAAAAGGCATTTGATAGCGTGGACAGGAAAAGACTATGGACGCTCCTTAGACACTAAGGCGTGCCTGAGAAGATAATCAATATCATAAAGAATTCCCATGATGGACTAAACTGACAAATCGTCCACGAAGGACAACTCACTGACTCATGCGAAGTAAAGAGCGGTGTTAGGCAAAGTTGCTTACTCTCACCCTTTCTCTTTCTCCTGATGATCGACTGAAACATGAAGACGTCAACATCTGGAGGGAAGCACGGGATACAGTGGACAGGAAGGATGCAGCTGGACAATTTAGACTTCGCAGATGATCTGGCTCTTCTATCACACATGCAACAACAAGTGCAGGAGAAGACGACCAGTGTAGCAGCAACCTCAGCAACAGTAGTTTCCAATATAAACAAAGGAAAAAGCAAGATTCTCCGATACAATACATCATGCACCAATCGAATTACACTTGGCGGAGAAGCTTTGGAGGATGTGGAAACCTTTACATATCTGGGAAGTATGATTGATGAACACGGTGGATCAGATGTAGATGTGAGTGTGCGGATCGGCAAAGCAAGAGCAGCATATTTACAACTGAAGAACAACTGGAACTCAAAACAATTGTCAACCAACACCAAGGTTAGAATTTTCAATACAAATGTCTAGACAGTTCTACTGTATGGGGCGGAAACTTGTAGAACTACGAAAGCCATCATTCAGAAGATATAATTGTTTATTAACAGTTTTCTATGCAAAATACTTCAGATCCGTTAATCGGACACTATCAACAACAAGTTATTGTGGGAGACAACATACCAGATTCCAGTAGAGGAAGAAATCAGGAAGTAGCACTGTAAGTGGATTGGATACACTTTGAGTAAATCACCTAACTGCATCACAAGATAAACCCTCACATAGAATCCTGAACGCCAAAAGAGAAGAGAAAAACCAAAGAACACATTATACCGAAAAATAGAGATAGACATGAAAAGAATGAACAAGAATTGATTAGAACTAGAAAGATCTAGAATAGAGTAGGTTGAAGAATACTGGTCGGTGGCCTATGCTCCATCGGAGGTATTAGATGTAAGTAAACAAGTAAAGTAATATATATATATATAAACTAACCTGAAATAACTTTTTATATTTTTGTAACATTAAATGATGTAGTTTAGCTTGTTTTCTTTCAATTCTTTGTTGTTTTTGTTCTATTTCTAATTCATGGATACGTTTTTGTAATTTATGCAAATTATTCTTTAAAAATATTAAACTATTTGTCATATCTGATGGTACAGAATCATTAACAAAATGGTTTATTTGATTTAAACGTATTATCACAATAATTTCTAATTCATTTAATTTACGTTGTTTTTCTAACTGAAATGAGACAAAAAAACAAATGAATTTGAAACTATTAAACAATAGAAAGAAGCAAAAAAATGGATAGTGGATAGAAGTGGAATCTAGGATGTACCACTTCGTCCTATTTACGACTGGTCAGTTGGATGTACCTACATCTCAGAGTTGATGTTCACTCTGAGACTTGAATCAAGTACCTTTCGATACAAACGTTTTTGCATTTTCCACTCAGCTATTAAGTTCTGATAATTAATTACTTGTGCAATGGGATGAAGTTTAAATTCATTAGGTATTGTTTGCTTATATCTTCCTATTGATGTTTTAGGACGGCAACTTGTCAGACTTTAATTGGCATATGTGCATACTGTGGGAAGATTCAAACAAAACAATACTAAGTGAATTTAAACTTGCACAAGCAAGTGGCTATCAGGACTCAGTAGTTGAGGGGATAACGCAATGGCGTTTGAAGCGAACGGTACTGGGTTCGAGTCACACAGTTAATATCAACTCTGAGATACAGGTACATCCAGTTGATGAGTCCCAAATACGAAGAAACACGCTTCAAACTGGATTCCATCGCTAGCCATTATTCATCTTTACTTATGTGTTGATATATTTGAGCAATACATTTCGAACAATCTGATCACACATATAATTGTTAAGAACTTTTATAGATAAAAATAAAATGTCAACTAGACTAGAATTGGGGTGGGGGCAAGAGTAGACAAGGATAATAATAATAATAGTTGAAACCTTCGAAAAATCCCTTCTGATTATAATCATATACTCACTAGCGACTGACTTTTAGAGATATTTCCTGGAGTTCTAGTGGGAAGCAGTGAGAAGTGGAGTTCAAACTACGTCTGTTGTGAGATATCAACTCACTGAAGACAATTGGTGAATAGTTGCTCAAACATCGTGGATTGGTTGAAGTTAGACAATAACACCATCGGATGTGGGCTTAGTGGTCTATTGGTTGAGCGCACTGGTGCGAGACTGATAGGTCCTGGGTTCGAATCTAGCAAGGCAGGATTGTGGATGTGCACTGCTACTGAAGAGTCCCACAATAGGACAAAATGGCCATTCAGTGCTTTCAGGTTTTCCATAGTGCTCTAGCTTCAATTGACTCATGATTTCAACTATGAAAATACTGAAATCTCCAAAACACTCAGTCTGATTATCATCAGAACTATGTGATGATATATTAGCGCAATACATTTCGAACAATCTGATCACACATAATATACTTGTTAAGAACATTTATATATAGAAATAAGAAGTCAACAAGATTGGGAGTGGGGTGTAAAAGGAGACAAGGATAATAATAATAATAATGTGAAAACAATTTGAAACCTAATCACTCTGATATAAGAACTTTTGTCTAAATTAGAACGTATAGTTTCACAGTATTTGGGTGTCGAGTTGATGCGAGACATTAAATAAGAAGAATACATTCGTGGAAATCTCAGCGAATGAATTTGAATTAAATCCAACGTTTGACCTGGCAATCTGGTCCAAACTTTTTCAAGGAAATATAATCAAACATAAAATTTATCGAATATAAATAGGTACATGGTTCTCCCGTTCATGGTATACTGAATAGGTCATCCACTATGAAGAATAAGATGATATTACCAGAGTAGCTATAAGGTGAGAACAAACTGTTTTTGAATATACAAAGAGGGTTTGAATTTTCGCGTAGCTATGACTTCAATAAACCTTATTATACACCCTTTTACACTTTTTACAACACCACAAAAGCCGAGTTAAAAATCAATCTTATAACCTGTTTCAATTATGTGTTTGGTAATAGAGGATGATGGATGTTTATCTTCTACTCCTATTGGATTATTTGATTCCATTTGTTACTGAAACCATTTTGGTACATGTTCACACACACCCTAATTTTTAGATCACGATTGCTCCTCTTTATGTATATGTGACTACACACACATTTAAATTGGTAGAAAGAAGGCAAGAGATATAGTAAGTGTGTATTATAGACTAAGCAGAATTTGGATTTTATACAGTTGAGATCATGAGTCGATTAAAGTTAGACCACCATAGAAAACCTGGAAGCACTAGATGGCCGTTTCGTCCTATTGTGGGACTTCTCAGCAGTGCGCATCCACGATCCCGTCTCTCGAGCGAGATTCAAATCCAGGACCTACCCGTCTCGCTCCAGATCACTTAACCTCTAGACAACTGAGCCGGCCGACATCCAACAGTGTTAATGTCTAACTTCAACCAACTAATCAACTGACTGATGATCTCAACTATATAAAATTACTAAAATCTCCACAAAACCTCTTTCTAGGAATTTGGATTGTTCACAAATCCAGATTAATAAAGCAATCTAGAATGACGTATCTGAAGAATGGATGTTCTGTTTGATTATTTCTAACATTTCTAGCAGTATATACATACTCTAGTCAATATTACTTAGCACTATTAACTAACAATAAACATTAGTTATACACTTTTGAACCATATTACATAATAAAAAGGGAAAATTTTCTACTTCTTCTAGTTAAAAGACAATAAATCATACCTTGAACAAGAGACCAGAATAGATTTAAAGTTTGACAATTTAGTTACACTTCAGTAAATATACATCAGTTTCCCTAAACTTAGCATATATTAGCTATCGTTAGTTTTCCAAGAGTGACTGTTTTTCTGGTTAGAGTTTTCTCGAAAATGTTATTTTCTACAGGATGAGGTTACTGATTAAGTGCCCAAAACTCTTCCTTTACCGAGGCTTGGGACCTTCAGTAACTGGTGGATTACAGTATAATGTCGTGCATGGAGGATAGCTCACGGATGTATTCCAAGTAAGGTTCGGTGTCAGACAAGGCTGCTTAATTTCATCCTTTCCTTTTCTTATGGTGGTTGACTAGATTATGAAGGCTTCCACATCTGAAAGGAAGCATGGAATACAATGAACAGCTTGCATTCAACTAGACGATATAGACTTCGAAGATGACTTACCTTCAATATATCTTCTGTTAATGTTCTAAGAATTTTTCGTATTAAGAGACAACTGACTGATAAGTATGAATTAAGAATTTAAGCTTGTTGGTATTCTTTGGGTAGATAGTTTTCAAAATCATTTGACGACTAATATTTCTTCAAAGACATTGATGTCGAAAAGCCTAGTATCACCATTGTACAACTAACATTTGATGGATACAAGTTGCATAAGTAATTGTTGAGATAGTGAAGAAGATTTATAATTTAAAGTAAGAATTTTGATTATGTTGTTCATCAACAAAGATCTCACTTTGAAATACCTATAATTATTAATAAATTTCAATAGTTGGTACTGAGCTACACCGCCTGTAGCTCCTCCGGGGGCTACTGCCGGTCTCAAGCTCGGGTAAAGGAGGAGGGTTGGCCATGGGGTTAACGACCCCATCCCGTAGAAAATGAACTCGCTAAAAAAAACGTTACCCGAAAAAAAATTCAAACAAAAATTGGATAGAACTAGAAAGAAAGGCTCAGGACAGAGTGGGTTGGACAATCCTGGTCGGCGGCCTATGCTCCATTGGGAGTAACAGGCGTAAGTAAGTAAGTAAGTAATTACTGAGATACACATTTCATTACATAAAGGTTAATAACACCAATAAGGAGTCAAAACCGAAGTTCGTGTAACAGAATTCCAGTCCGAGAATAAACGGTTAGAAATCTACTGCTTTAATCGCGAAAACATCAAACAGCCTATGGGTCACAGCCCAGCAAAAGAATCGTCATTGCAAGGACCACCCTGTATTCAAAAGATATTCTGTGAGGATGGTCCATAGGTGAAGTCAAAGAAGCTCTAAGAAGCCCAGAAGGAGCCGGACTTGTCCCATCCAATCAGCTGTGAGAAAAATATTCTAGAATCACTACGTGTAGCTTCCCTATTAGACAATGCTGATAACTCCCATTGTGCCGATCGGATAACTATTAAAAACTATAAATACCTGACAATTTTTGTACCATAATCGATACTGTTTGGAATAACACTTCTTCTACTTGTCTTCTAGCCTTCTGATTTGTGACTTGGGAAGGTTCTAGCGTTCGAGTGCTCAAGTATTGTACGATAGACTAAGAAATCTAAGTTCGGGATCTAACATATTCTTAAGGTTAATATATAAAAGACATTGATGTGCTTAAATTTACTCTTTACCTGAAAAGCTTCTAATTCATTTTGAGCTTGTTTCAATGTTGTTTCAACAATACGTTGTTTTTTAGTAAAGATTTCTAAATCTTTACGTAAAATATCTAATGTTTTCTTTTCTTCAGTCATTTCTTCTTCCACATCTAGACGTTTCTCTCTAATTAAACAAGTACGTTCAAAATCTTCCATTGGACAACCTGGTGGACATGTATCTAAATCCATAATAATAACATCTTCATTCTCGCTTTCATCATCCATCTCTTCGTAACTGGAATCATCTGATGAAGATGATGATGATGTGGATTCTTCTGATTCATCTTCATTACCTTGAAATGTTTGGAAAAAGTTGAAAACATGAAAGAATAAATCTGATGGTATCTAAATTTTAGTCAGATGACTGTTAGTATCGTTATATTTAACTATGGATCATAAAGATTTCACTGTTGAATCCTTCAGTCTTTATAAACTTACCTCTCCATTGAGTAGATCAAGAAAGGCCTGTAACATATTGTTGAGGGCTATCTTGAATTCGTTGAATCTGTTAGTATCCCGAAGAAAAGCCGCATTACATTTTTGTGATGTTATCCGCCCCATTGTCCAGTGCTTCTTAAGTTTAAATTTCATCTTGGCGATCAGCAAGTGATGATCTGATGCTATATCGGCTCCTCTCCCGGTTCTCACAGCCTCAATCGTCCTCCTGAACTTTGTATTGATACATATATGGTCAATTTGGTTATGTGTAGTGTGATCCTGTGAAGTCCATATGGCTTTGTGTATGCTTTTGTGTGGGAATAAAGTGCAGCCTATGACCAATCTATTTAAGGCACATATGTTAGCAAATCTCTCACCATTTTCGTTCATTCCTCTCAGTCTATGTTGTCTCATGATGTCTTCGTATCCGGTATTGTCCATTCGAACCTTGGCATTTAAATCTCACATCAGAATGGTCAGGTCCTTTATTATGCATTTCTCGACGATTGACTGAAGCCTATCGTAGAATTGATCTTTAACGTCTTCATTGTAGTCGTTTGTAGGCGCATAGCATTGGATGACTTTCACTGTAATACCCTCTTCCTTTGTTTTGGAGGAGACTTTGGTGATCCTAGGTCCATCGGATTCCTATCCTATAAGCGCATTTTGTGCTTGTTTGGATATCATCGGTGCAACACCTTGTGTACGTGGAGTGTTTTCTTCACCATGGTTGGAGTATAAGAGAAGCTCTCCTGAAGCTAGTCTTTGTTGTGCAACCTGCGTCCAATGTGTTTCATTAATTCCATGCACCTCCAGGTTATATCTTTTCATTTCTGCAGCAACGTGGATGACTCCCCAAAATTGTGTGAGCATTCCATGTACCTAGATAAATTGTTGCTCTGGTAGTTAGAAGGAGTATCACCCTCGTGACTTCCGAAGGAATTCGGCTTACAGCATGAGACTTCAAAAACTCTTCTAAATGAAGACCTCCTACTCCCAGGACAGAGTTTGAATGGTTTGAATTATTTATTCTGGGTAACGTTTTTTTGCGAGTTACTTTTGTAGGGTATGGAGTCACTTACCCCATGCACAACCATCCTCCTTTATCCATATTTTGGGACCAGTAGTAATCGCAGAGGCGTCTAGGCTTTAGTGATAAGTAAATAAATAAATGCGTATATTCACTACTTCAACTTGAACTAACATATTTACACTAAATTATCATTGACGCGTGATCAATGTTATTTTGTTGATTCTTTAGACTGTTGGATACATCCCAACTCGATTGACAGCATTTGATGAGCTTCAAAAATAACTTAAATGGTGATAGTAATTAGTACAAAATGATGCATTAATGTTATCTCTTTTCATAAAAACATCTCGTTTTTTTAGTGACCATTGAACTTACTACTGTTCAGCGTTTGTTTACTGATTGAACTTTATTTCAACTAAAGAGTTTAAACGTTTTTTTAATTCACTTAGTATTGATTGTTTTATTCTTCCCATTGATGTTTAGGACTGCAACTGGTCAGTCTCTGAGCTAAAGGTACTGAATTCGAGTCCCAGAGTGAACATCAACTCTGAGATGCAGGTACATCCAGATGACGAGTCACAAATAGGACGAAACGCGCGTCAAACTGGATTCCACTGCTAACTACTATCCATCTTTGCTTACAATGTTTTCTTTGTTTATATAGAGTATACATTTACGTCAGGTTATCATAATGAGTAAATACAAATGTGTGACCAAAAGTTTAATTTGGTAGCAGTCTAAAGATAAGATAAAATAACACTGATCACAACTCAGTGATCAACTGATATATAGTCCTATAAGAGTTCAGTCGACTCTCGTAAAACTCAACGGTAAAGACTTTGACTACGATAATATACGGCATCGATCGAAATCCCCCATTCGGGAGCATTGGCTTTTTTCAACATTGACTACATAACTTCCACTAATAAAAAAACCTTGCCTTTTCTTCGATTATAACACTATTTTAAGAAGATATTAGAATGCACAACTTCTTTCCCACGAATGCTCTGGTACGGCCGAGAGTAGGGAGAGTAAGCTCTTCCTCTCGAAACGCTCTTACATGGCCACGCGTATGCAACCACTGCCAGAGAAGTCCTACTCACTTCTTTCTTGCTTCAGGGGTGTTGTTTACGAAATTGAGAAGATGAAAAGCGAATGTATGGAGCTTTAACCGAATTGGTAAACACGGAGGATCCACCTAGAGTTGAAAAACCCTGATTCTAAACCAATGGTGCACATGGGCTCCAGTATCCTGAGAGAAAAAATGACGTATGAATCAATCGTTGGTCACCGGTTACCATGGGATTACATCTCTCACGATGCCCCACTGCCTTGTGGATCAAACCATTAGGTCAAAGGCTCTGAGTGTGGCCCCCAAAAGAAAATCACCTGCTTCTGTTTAAATAAAATAAAATAATACTATAATTTACCTGAACGAAGTAATTCTTGTTTCTTTCGTTTAATACGTTTTTTAAATACTTTTGTTAGAAATTCTATAAATTTATGTGAATCATCTAAACTTGTTTTAAATTCTTCATGTATTTGATGTTCACGTTGTGAAAGATGTTCCAAATCTTTCTTCTTTTGTTCAAGTTTCAATGTTAATTCATTAACCTTTTAAAAGAAAACAAAAGAAACAGAAATGGGTGTTTTTGGTGGATATTATAGTCATTTTAATAGTTGAGTTGATGAGTCAAGTGAAGCTAGACCATCATGGATAACCTGGAAGCGCTGAATGACTGTTTCGTTTTAGTATGGGACTCCTCAGCAGTGCGCAGCCACGATCTTGCCTCGCGGGATTTGAACCCGGGACCTAACGGTCTCGCACACGAACTCTTAACCTCTAGACCACTGAGCCGCGATCCAACGCGTGTTAGTGTTCAGTCACCGTCCACTATTGTCTTCTGTGAAATTGTTGGGGATAGTTCTTTCCAACAAAAAATTGGTTGAAGTTAGACATTAACACCATTGGATGCCAGCTCAGTGGTTTATCGGTTATGGGCTTCGGCTCGAGACTGGTAGGTCCTGGGTTCGAATCTCGCGGGTGCGGGTTCGTGGATGCGCACTGCTGAGGAATCCCATAATGGGACGAAACGGCTGTCCAGTGCTTCCAGGTTCTCGATAGTGGTCTAGCTTCAATTGACTCATGATTTCAACTGTGAAAAAAACTAGTTGAAATTTTATTTTGAGCTGATCTATACTTCAATTGAAACGGTCACTTTTTAAAATAGAATATTAAGATACAAGTCTTTATTACTAGTGTAGTGAATGAGAAAAGAAGTGGGGACAATCAAATGTATTTGAACGGCTTAATAAAATCGGAGAACCATAGAGTAAATACTTCGTTTCCGAAATGTCAATCAATCGTCTAAGACTTCATTGTTCTTTCTTTTTTACACCAATCATTCTCTGTTCTCCTTTTCTTTACTTCGATCTTCTTAACCATCTACCGCCAGACATTTCAATTTCGATTGATGGTACATGCTACTTATATCTATCGACATCAGTAGCATATACCAAACTAGGAGGTATTCATTCATTAACACAAATTCTAGTCTTTAAGCTTCATTATACTATTATTTAAACTCATAAACGTTGGTACAATGAGGCACCAAATAGATATTCGCCACATAAATCATTCGATTTGTGTGAGGACTGTGATAATGCCTGGGTGAGCGAACCGAAACAGATGATTCTTTTAGTGGGCCAAACCCGAAGCCTTCGACCTAATGGTCTAATCCTCAAGATAGTGGAGCAACGTCAGAAGATGCAGTTCCATGGTAGCCTGTGACCAACGATTGAATCATACGCCATTTGTTCCTTCAGAATACTAGAGCCCGCGTACACCATTGATTCGGAATCAGCGTTTTTTTAACAACCACAGGTGGATCCTCCGTGTCCACCAACCCGGTTAAAGCACTGGACATTGGCTTTTCGTCCTCTCAATTTCGTAAACATCATCTCCGTCACTAGAAGACAGTGAGTAAGAATTCCTTGGTAGTGGGTGTATGCACGTGACCATGTGAGAGTAATTCAAGAGGGTGAACGGACTCTTCTCACTCTCGATCACACAAGGGCATTTAGAGGCTTCATAGTGAACCAATAACACTCAGATTATTATATCAAAGTCCAGTTAGCCATATTTCTAATTGAATTCAACATGTGACATAACTCAACTATCTGTTGGATTATTAATAAATACTACTGAATAATCTAATCTATTCTATTAAATTTTACCTTATTAGTAATATATTGTTTTTCTTCTAATCTATTTTTCATTTTTTCCATTAAAACATATTCAGATTTTTCAAATTCTTTTAATAAACAATATTCATTATATAATGTATATTGATATAATTCAGATCGTTTCAGTAATACACCTAGTTGAGAACGTTTTTGACGTAGTAGACGAACTTCAATATCAAAACAACGAATAAATCGACTAGCTAATTGTAATAGATGGTTACGATAATAAATAGCTTTGATGTGCTTTTGTCGGTTGTATTCTATTTCTAATGATGTTAAAGATGATGGTGATGATATTGTAGTACTTTGATTGATTGAATTATCTTCACTGAAAATACCAAAACAAAAATTGAAAGAAAAATGTTATATACATGAAAATACTGAAATCTCTACAAAACTCCTTCTGATCTATAATCAACATATGCTCACTAGTGACTAATTTCAAGAGATGTTTCCTGGAGTTCTAGTGAGAAGCAGTAACCAGTGGAGTTTAACCACGTCTGGTGTGAGATAGGAACTTATTGAAGACAATTGGTGAATAGTTGTTCAAACATCGTGGATTGGTTGAAGTTAGACATTAACACCATCGGATGCCGGCCGGCTTAGTGGTCTAGTGGTTAAGCAGTCTGGCGCGAGACTGGTAGATCCTGGGTTCGAATCTCGCGAGGTATGATCGTGGATGAGCATTGCTGAGGAAACCCAAAATGGGATGGAACGGCCGTCCAGTGCTTCCAGGTTTTCGATAGTGGTCTAGCTTCAACTGACTCATGATTTCAACTATAAAAATACTGAAATCTCTACAAAACCGCTTCTGAAAAATGTTATATCCCGTAGAGATTTATGAATGGCAACAATTGAGAACTATTTATGAACCAATATGATGCGTATATTTCCTATTGTATAATTGTTAAGTAACTAAACTATTCATATTCGTGTCCCTCTTATCATAAGCTTTATTTTTACCTATAGACTATTATTATACGATTTACCAAGCTTGAGTTATATCCAGTCTATTAATTGCTGTCCCCCCTGTTCACAGCCACATTTGGCTAAATCTTGTGCCAATGCTATTTTATATTCATGGTACAATGCGGTCTGTCTGGTTGGTATGTAAACATAGTATACTTGAAATAAAAGATTCACACCGCAGAGGTTGTTATTGGTGTTCTGGACTGAACTGGATGGGCTAGGGCAGATAGCAAGATCGACAAGTGCTTTAGACTGCTCGTACAGGGTTTTCTGTATCATTGATCTAATCGACAATTCACTGCTCTCTAATAGGCAAATATAGAATAAACAAACTTACTTTAAATTTATATCTTCAATTTTATTATTCTTATCCATGATATACGAATTGATTTTATCAGGTCTTATTGGATGAACTATGGGTATCTTTATTCTACCATCAGTATCTTGTTGTCTATTCCCCTGATGATCTTCTTCCACTGTTCCATTATTGCTTATTGACATTTCATCAATCATAGAACATAATGATGATTTTAATAAAGAATACTTTTGATCTGTATTCTTTAATATAGTTATATAATAATGATCTGAAGCTAAACAATGTAATGGAAACCATATAACATCTATAGTATTGGTTACATCATTAGAACTACTGTTATTGGTATTGCAGAATTCTTTCATAATTTTTGGTTCTTTCCAATCATATCGTTCTTCAGGTAAAATACATTCAGTAAATGAAAGTATTCTATTGGATGATTTCTATATGAAGAAGATCAGAAAATTCAAGAAAAAAGAATAGTTCTTTAAAGTAAATGTAATGAATCTATTAAAAACTATGAAATTAATATAAACATAAATGATTGATAAGTGAATGTTGATTATAAACAAAGATGGATAGTGGCTAGCAGTGGAATCCAGGAAATGCATTTCGTCCTATTTGGGGCTCGTCAGTTGGGTGTACCTGAATCTCATCGTTGATGTTCACTCTGGGACTCGAACCTAGTATCGTTCTCTTCAAATGCCGTCGCGTTATCCACTCGGCCACTGAGTGCTGATAGCCACTTGCTTGTGCAATAAATACATTCGATTGTCCACAGTCGTGTTCTGTTCACTACATTTGGTGTCGCTGCCAACCAGGAGGAGGAAGGGTGCTGTTCTGCGGACGCCGCTGCGGATCTGGAGTTGAGGTGCTGGTTGGAGCAGTCTGGTGCGGAGAGGTGGCGTCGAATGGAGTGTTCTGGCGGGGCGGCGTTGGCTGTAGCGGGTGCTGTCGACGGAGAGGAGCAGTGGGACGTGCGGCTGCTGGACAGACATCGGATGTAGATGGCTCAGCAGGCCGGTGGAGCACGGGTGTTGAACGTCCTAGGTGCCGGGTGGATGCGGATGTTGGTGCCCCGGCAGGTCGACGGAGCTATGGAGGTCGGCGCTCCGCAGACTCGACATTCTGAAGGAGAGTTTGGCATAGACTACAGTGAAAGAAGATAGTGGCATGGCGAGCAGAACCACCGCATGGTGTGGTCTACTTATATTTATATAAGTAGTATATGGTGTTGGTCAGACATAGAATGTATTTTGGCAGAAGACCGATGAGGAAAGAACTGAAACGAAGCGCAATCGGTAGGAAATTGCATGAACAATGAAATCAGAGAAGAAACGGTGAAGATTGAGATAATTGCTTGTTAATTTGCAAATTGACTGTTCATTGTTTGGTTATCAGAATTTACTGAGATAGTCTGTAATTTTAGCTTAAATACATTCGATTTTCGACAACCAGTGTTCTGTATTATTCTAAACTCATTGTTGTTAAGCTCCTACCACCTGAATCTTATCTGATGTGACTATCACTGTTGTATATGATCTGCCAATTCAATAACATTATTATTAGTGTGACTAACTCCGTCTGGATCGCCTCTAAGGCTACTGCCGGTCCTAAGTCCGGATAAAGGAGAAGGGTTGGGCATGGGGTTAGCGACCCCATCCCATAGAAAAATAACTGGCTAAACAAAACGCTAACCAGAAAAGTTATTAATGTAACTCATTATTTTCATTCATTTCGATAAGACACACAATACTGGTCGATATGTTTATTACTATAATTCCTTTAATTATATCTTACTAACCAAATTGTGGTTCTTACATCTAGAAATAGATAAAGTTTCCAAGCTAAGTTGTCTTTGTTCTAACTATAGCTTAATTCACATAGACTCTGGGGTCCGTCATCAGTATCATATTTACAGTCCTAGTAGTATACCTGTAAGACAAATTAAATCCTATATAGGTATACACTAATTTGCTTTTTCTCGTTTGCGTTCGGTTTAACAGGTTAGTTTTCTACGGGATGAGTGTTGGGGCGATCCTGAAAATTTCTTGCAATAAACAAAAAAGGCTCAGGAAACATTAAGAATCATTTTATCCAATCAGATAGTAACATCACGAAAGTAAAAAGTCACATGTAGAGTTTCTGATTGGTTGATTATTACACTGCTACTATATTTAATAGTATTCTAGAATTTTCAGGAAGACCAAAAGACTTCTAAAATACTATAAAACCTTATATTTTGTGTACGTAAATGAATCTTTGAAGTGAAGTGCTTCTCGGATATTTTATGCCTTTCCTCTCGTGTTCAAGTCGCTGTGTAGTCCTAACTTAGTGGGGGGGGGATTACGAGACTAGCTTAGGATCCGAGTATAGCGTTCAATTACCAAAACTTATGAATGGGGTCGCTAACCCCATGCCAAACCCTCCTCCATTATCCTAGCTTGAGACCGGCAATAGTTCCTGGAGGGTCTACAGGCTCAGCTGTACACTAACATAATATTTAAAATACAATTTGTCAACAAATAATCATGTTTACCTTCATTGTTGTTGATGTGGTAAAATCAGTTTGTTCCATTTGCTTATTACTTTCTAATTTATCCTTAAAATTCATTAGAATCTCATTGTTGTATATGAATTTTCTTTTCAGAAATAGTTTCATTTTGAAAAAAGAATAATTTGTTTGTTTGTTTTTTCAACAAAAAAAAAGGAAAAAAAGAAAACGTTGACATTGTGCTATTTGCATTTATTGCAATAGAAGTTTGTTTACAGACTGTAAGATGAATAGTAGCTAGCAGTGGAATCTTGGACATACGTTTCGTCCTATTTGGGGCTCGTCAGTTGGGTGTACCTGAATCTCATCGTTGATGTTCACTCTGGGACTCGAACCCAATACCATTCACTTTAAACGCCATCGCGTTTTCCACTCAGCTACTGAGTTCTGATAGCCACTTGCTTGTGCAATGGGGTTTAGTGATATTCACTTGTTGTTGTTTACTTTTATCTTCCCATTGTTATTTTGGACTGCGATTGAACAGTCAATAGCGAGGCGGTCCGCATAGGATGCACATATTCCAAGAATAGACCGATTAATTACAGTCCTAAATAACAATGGGAAGGTACAAGTAAACAACAACAACAAGTGAAAGTATTAAATCTTTTTTAACTGATTTGTGATTCTCTTTTTTTAACTATTTGGTAACATTATAAGCAAAGATGGATAGTGGCTAGCAGTGAAATCCAGTTTGACGCGCGTTTCGTCTTATTTGAGACTAGTCAGCTGGATGTACCTGCTTGTGAAATAAGGCTATATCGAGGCAATACGCACAGTATGCATATATGCCAATTAGAGACTGACCAGTTGCAGTCCTAAAAATCTTCAGTCAGTCAGTCTTCAGTTTTCAGTAATAAGGATAGTAGGTTGATGAACCTGTGTTAATCCTGACAGATTTCATTCCAGTGAAGATCCAGCTTCTTCTTGAAAATGTTCACTGATGGTGCTAATACCACTTGTTCTAGTAATGTATTCCAGTCACTGACCACTCGATGAGAAAAACGGGACCTTACCTTTAGTTTATTAGATCGCAGTTTCTGAACCTTCTTGCTATGACCTTAGAGATTATTTTTATTAATCATATAGTTTGAGAATGTCAATAAGTCAGCTTATAATTTACATTAGATACTCATTCTTACCTTTCAGGATATTCATCATCATCAAGTTCTTCAATATATAAACGTATACCATATTCATTTAATGGTAAATTACCATTAATATGATCTAATTGTTTATCAATTTTTTTTAAATTTTCTATTATTTTCATTTTTTTATTACGTAATTCTAATAATGAAACATTGAATTCATGACTTAATTTAAACACCTAAAATTTAAAAACAAACAAAAATTTTTATAATTAATTAAGTTTAGAATAGTTGAATTCATAAATCGATTAAAACTAGACCATCATGGAAAAATTGAAAGAACTGGATGGCTGCTTCGTCACAGTATGGAACTCTTCACAATCCCATCCCATGGGATTTGAACTCAGGACCTATCGGTCTTAGGCTCACTTACTTACTTTCTCCTGTTACTCCCAATGGAGCATAGGCCGCCGACAATCATTCTCCAATCCACTCTGTCCTCCACCTTTCTTTCTAGTTCTATCCAGTTCTTGTTCATTCTTCTCATGTCTGTCTCTATTTCTCGGTGTAATGTGTTCTGTGGTCTTCCTCTTCTCCTTTGACCTTCAAGATTCCATGTGATGGCTCGTCTTGTGATGCAATTGGGTGATTTCCTCAAAGTGTCCTATTCACTTTCAGTGCTTCTTCCTGATTTCTTCCTCCGCTTGAATCTGGTTTGTTCTCTCCTACAGTAACATATTGCTGATAGTATCTGGCCAACGGTTCTTGCGCGAATGCTTAATTTCTAGACTACTGAGTCGGTTAATATTAAAAATAATATTTCACTTATGGTTAGTTAATAGGAGCTTTCATTGTTTAAGGTGGTAAATTTTTAAAGCTTAGACGTAATGTAGGTTATTGACGGTTCTATGATTCGAAAGATGAACTTAAGCTCATTTGTGATTAGATTGAAGCACAATTTAATTCAGAAGCAATAACGAGAGGAGTTCAATTATCCCGCAACTGAAAGAATGTCATTTATGCTACTACAAGTTATTTATAGGATAAACTGAAGCAATAAGTTATTGAAATTTGAGCTTCTACCTGACAACTCACTGATTCTGTGATGGATTCAAAAATGCATGGAGTCAGGAATGAGTACTGCTGGTATCTTTTACGTTATCGGCAGCTTCTCAAATACGTCACTGATAACGTTACATAATGTGAAGTTGAGTGATATGCATTTGAATTAAACGGGAGACCAGTTACCATAAGTTGGAGGCAGATCTTGCTTGTGACTGCTAAACAGAACAAATCTTAAGTGGAGTACGGTTTCCTGTCAATTATGTCAAATCATTTAAAATGTACACATGTTGCACATATTGATTCATTTGAAATAGCAACCACTTGGCAACTTGATCTATAGAATTTGATCTAAACTAAGGAACTAGACAAACATGACTGTGGTAACTGTTCAGTCGACAATCATTTATCAACTACTGAGATATTCTAAACTTTGAAGAAGTACCCACTTGTGAACATCTAATTTCGAATAGTTACCCACCTGATTTTATCTTGTAAATTCTCTTTTCGGTAAGATCATTCTTATGCTTTAGCTTACTATGTGCCTATATCCATATACTGTCTCAAGAAAAACAACTTAGTCAATCAGTCCGTCGCAACACATAACTTGGCACCTATGTATATTGATTCAATTTGCCATAATCTATTAACACAGACGGATGAAATTGTCAGCAAAAATACCAAAATAGAAGAGGTCGTAACAAATCTAAACACAATTGTCCAATGATACCCAGTTTTCAATAGCCCCCGAATGCCCTGATACGGCCGAGAGTGGGGAGAGTCAGCTCTCCCTCTCCAAATGCTCTCACATGGCCACGCGTATATAGCCTCTACCACTGAAGTCATACTCACTGCCTTCTTGTGACACAGGAGTTGTTTACGAAAGTGAGAGGACGAAAAGCGAATGTCCGGTGCTTTATCCGGGTTGGTGAACACAGAAAGTCCATCTAGGGGAGTTGGAAAACCCTGATTCCAAACCAATGGTGTACATGGAATTAGGAAAATATTTTTATACCTTTTAAACTGCATACTGACTTACATGATCCACAAGATTAAGAAGTTTATGTTTAACTTCTGAAGTATTCAATTTCATACTTTCAGGTATTACATAATTAGTTGCTGATTTCAATTTGTAATCACCTATTTTTTCTTTAGCCAATTGAATTTCTTGAATATCTCTTGGATCTTCATAATCGTCAGCTGGTCTCATAGCTTCTAATTGTTTCCACTTAAATGTAAACAGTATATAAAGAAAATTGTATATTCCATATAAACAATTCAAAATATAAATCAGAAGGAATTTTTGTGGAGATTTCAGTAATTTTATGGTTGAAGTCATTAGTCAATTGAAGCTAGACCACCATGGAAAACCTGGAAGCACTGGACGGCCATTTCGTCCAATTGTGGGACTCCTCAGATTTAGTGTGCATTCACAATGCCGCCTCACGAGATTGGAATCTGGTACCCATCAGTCTCACTCGTGAGCGCTTAACCGCTAGACCACTGAGGCGACCGCCATCCAACGGTATTAATTTCTGACTTCAACCAATCCATGAAATTTAACAACCATTCACCATTGTCTTCAGTGAGTTATTATCTCACAACAGACCTGTTTTAACTCCACTGGTCACTACTTCACACTAGAACTCTTGGAAATACCTCATGGAGCCAGTCTAGTGGTTAAGCGCTAGTGCGCGAGACTGATAAATCTTGGATTCGAATCTCGTGAGGCGGAATCGTGGATGCGCATTGCTGAGGAGTCCCACAATAGGATGAAATTGCCTTCCAGTGCTTCCAAGTTTTCCGTGGTGGTCTAGCTCCAATTGATTTATGACTTCAACTATATAAAAAAGTTACTGAAATCTCCACAAAACCCCCTTTTAATAGCTATATGAATTTATTAGAAAGTTTCAATCAAATCAAATATATAAATTTACTTGAGCTCGACGAACATCTCGTTTTCGTTTAGATTCTTCAAGTAAATTTAACTTTTGTGCAATTCTTAAGCCACGTGCTCCTTTTATTGACACATTAACTTGATTAGTAACATTTTTAATTTTATCAGATTCATATTCCAATGTATTAGTTACATCTAAATATCAAGATAAGAAAAAAAAGTTTACTTTAACTAATAAACTTTATCATGTAGAACTAACCATTAGATTGTCATATATCTTAAAATGAGGAGGCAAAACCTGACTCACATGTCCTGGTCGAGGCTCCTGGGTCATGGGACTGTTTCCATGAACCAACGTGAGTGGTAATCTGGGTGGTGGTGGAGATTGGCCTAATCAACCACTCTACCTATAACCTCAAATGATTACGAAGGCTACAAAGAATCATTGCATGATTACTGTTGGTTCAAAAAGAAAGAATGAGTCTGCCCAAAAAATAAAATAAAACTTCAAACCCCACTATCCCTGAGACAGCATGTCCAAACAGTGACTTCTTCAGTTCTCATCAAGACGATGTCATGTTTAATGCTCATGAAATTGTCGCAGCAACCGCCTACGAAGAAACGGGGAACCAATCAAGCAGTACACCGAATGCAGCTGCGCCAAGTGAAGCTCATTATTCTTCAGAAGTTTCTGGCGAACTTAATGATCGAGATTCTCACATTTTACCGGAAGATATGTCACATGTATCAAATGATAATCTAGGACCTATTGTAATTCTGATGGATGCTGATTATCATAATGATCCACTATCTACCAGTGATGTTCCCACTAAATTTAATGACTACATTTCGGCAGAATCAAACTCTGACCTCACATCAAGTGTTGTCAATCCTCACCATCCAGTCAGTTCTAGCAGATTCGCCATGGAATGCAGGAAATTTGTTATAAATAGAGTCACAATAAATGTAACTTTGGAGTATGAGGATCCAACGTTATTTCGTCGGGGAGGATATGTCTGAGAAATTTAACATCCGGATATCAACTCCGGATTTTTCAAAAAAAGGGAATGTGTTATGTCCCAATAACAATAGCGAATGGTAACTTCTAGAACTATTTATGGGCCAATATGATATGTATACTTTCTATTATATAAACCACGTCTCTTGTGAGATAGGAACTCAATGAAGACAATTGGTGAATGGTTGCTCAACTTCGTGGATCAGTTGAAGTTAGACATTAACACCGTTGGATGCCAGCTCAGTGGTCTATCGGTTAAGAGCTTCGGCTCGAGACTGGTAGGTCATGGATTCGAATCTCGCGAGAGCGGGTTCGCGGATGCGCACTGCTGAGGAGTCCCATAATAGGACGAAACGGCCGTCTAGTGTTTCCAGGTTTTCCATGGTGGTCTAGCTTCAATTGGCTCACACTTTCAACTATGATAAATATTATATAATTGTTAAGTAACTTAGCTATTCATAATCATGTTCCCCTTATCATAAGCTTTGTTTTGACTCATAGACTGTTATTATACGGTTTACCATTCTTGAGTTATCCCTAATCTATTAATTGCTGTCTCCCACATTCACAGCCACATTTGGCTAAATCTTGTATAAATGTTATTTTCTATTTTATTGTACGATGTGGTTTGTCTGGCTGCTATATGAATCCAGCATGTCCTGGACTTAACTGGCTGGGCTAGGCAGAAAGCAGGACCGATACGTACTCTAGACTGCTCGTACAGTTTTCGCGTGTCATTGTTCCAATCAATAACTCGCTGCTCTCTCATTGGCGGTTTGATCACGTCATACAATAACCGGTTGTTTTCAGATTTTGATACTTGGTCAAATATGTGAATCAAGTAGATCATGTGATCGAGTACTATCGTCTATTGAATCAATTGATCTAGTATTCAGTACCCATTCTAGTGTCCGTAATTTCTCATGAACCCAATTTCTTTTCCATTTTAATGAAAGTCTATTAGTATCAACTTACCTAATTGTGTAGAATGCTTTGCTGTTTCTCCTTTTTCTTCGCTCATTGACTTCTCTCGAATACTCATTATTTCATCATATACTTTCATATGTTCTTCACTTAATTTGTTCATACGTATTGAAGTTACACAATGAGCACTACAAAATGCTTTGACAGTTATACGATCACAATCTAAAGGTTTTATAAATCTGTTAAAGTAAAATGGTAATGATACGGTAATTAAAAACTCATATGGAATTAGAAACTTAATAATCAGATAGAGATGGTGGTTAGCAATGTAATACAGGGCGTGCGCTTCGCCCTATTTAGAACTCGTCAGCTGACTGGAGCTGCATCTCAACGTTGACGTTTACTTCAGAACTCCAAGACATTACCGTTCACTTCAAACACCGTTGTGTCACTAACTTTGCTATTGATTCCAGATAGCTTTGGAAGCGAGTCTCGGAGTGAATATCAACCCTGAGATGTAAGTACATCTAGCTGACGAGTCGTAAACAGGATTAGATGCATGTCCTGAATCTCACTGTTAGACACCATCCATTTCTGCTTTTATTGCTCATGATCTATAGCAATATTGAGGCAATTTGCACAGGAAGCACATACGCCAAAAAGGACTGATCAATTTCAGTCTAAGACATAAATATAAAGATTTGGGAAACCAATACAAGTGAATGTAATCAGAGAGATGTTTTGTGAAGATGTGTTAAATTTCAAGAAAATCTTCATTATCTTATCGACACCAACTGGGTGAGTACACTGTAAACTAGACAGTATTTGATAACTATTTTTTCTTAATGTAAAACTATTCATAAATGTACATTTTTCTACCACACTTAAGATCCAATTTGTAAAGTCCATGCTCCAATGAGGAAATGATATGTACATAAAATTTATTCAAAATTCAAAAGTTTAATTTTGCTATCTTTATCCAGTAATGCTATAGTTCAACTATCATTCACTTTCACGGTATTAGGATACTAACATAACTCTGTAAGTGATTAAGTATACTATTGAAATACTAATGGTAATAATTACGACTACCATGTTCGAGTGGTTCAGTATTACTGAGTATTCTTAAGAACAGGTAAGTTGATAGTTTTTTCTCGATTATTAACTAAATAATCATCTTTAATAATATGTTTTAAGCCTTATAATTGATGTCCAATCTATGTCACATGTGAGACAGTTATTCACCACAGATAATGAATAAAGGGTTGCGTAAGATCATGAATCGATTGAAATAAGACGTTAAGACCGTTGGATTGCGTTTCAGTGTTCTAGAGGTTAAGCATCCGCTCGCCGGACTGAGGCTCCTTGGGTTCAAGTCCTGTGTGCGGGATCGTAGATATGCACTGCTGAGGCGTCCCATACTAAGACGAAACGGCCGTCCAGTGCTTTCAGGTTTTCAATGGTGGTCTAGCTTCAATTGACTCATGATTTCAATTTTAATATTTTTAGAAATCTCTACAAAACCCCTTCTGATTTAGTGTTTTTCACAAAAAAGGAACTGTAGACGATTAATTCCTCTATATCTGACTCCAATAAATAAATAATATCCCGCTAACTGATATTTTACTGCAGGCTAAATCTCCTAGTAGAATTACGGGTTTACTCGAGATTATTCAAAAGCCTGAACACCAGTTATAGAGATAGTTTATTGATGAAGCTCGGTAAAATCCGCAAGCGTACAGATAGCAAGCACACAGGGAAAGCAAGTGAGTGTGTGTGTGTGAGTGTTAAAAATCCATATATATTTTTGAGTGTTAATGGATTGTGGATAAATTATTGATTGTCTTTGTTTACAACCAATGAGAGAATAGATTAAAGATTGATGTGCAGACATGCGCTCAATCAGACTCACACATAAATTTACAATGGGTTAAATGTTAGAATTACAGAGAGCACATAAAAAATACAGTAGTTTAATGGGCTTGCTACATAAGCTCCCATCCAGAACGTAGATGTTTTTTCTATAAAAAAGATTTTTTTTTTATTAACATCTATGTTCGACAAAGTGATAAAAAAAAATTGTTTATGAAATAAATGTACAATCCGATGTGATGAGTAAGCGTTAAGTTGTAATAACAGTTTGTAGTGTATAAGGATTTCATGAAGTTAAAAGTAAGTATAATGAAAATCCGTGGGGCCGATAAAGAACAGTTAATATAAAAATAGAGAACAATTTGTAGCATTTGGGCTAGATAAGTATGGTTGTAGCTACGTACCTATCCGGAAAGTGTACTCTCCTACCTGATCTTGTAGTAGTTTCTGTAGCCATTGAACTTTGATATGAAGTATTGATTGTTACAGGTAGTTTGTGTAGTGCTTGCTTTGATGCGGATTTGGATGGTTTCGTTGTTTGCTTCTTGATGTGCTCTGAAAATGCTGGTTTTATTCTGTCGATGCTAACAGTAGCATGTTTGCCAGCTTTTTCTATCGTAACTGTTTTGTTGTCTCTTCGGACAATTTTAAAAGAGCCGTCGTAAGGGGTCTGTAAAGGCTGTCTTGGACGTGCAAATACTGGTGGTCCCTCTGTCTTAGTGTGGTGTACGACAGTATGTGTCCGTTTGTCACCTTTGAAACACGGTTTGCCATTCTCGCGATGAGGTTTGACCAATAAATGTATAGACTTCTCATTAGATAGAATTCCTTTGATTACGCTGCTGTGATCGGCAAGTACCAGTTTCCGGTTTCTAACGTCTACAAGTATTTTATGTGATTGCAGGAAATCAACACCGATTATGGGAACAAGAACATCAGCTATGATGAAGTTCCATGAGAAGTTGGATTTGGGACCGAAATGCAATCGTAAATGTCTTTTACCGTATGTCTTGATCTCGGATCTATTCGCGGCTCTTAGTTTCAGTATGGGGTCAGGTGTCTTTTTCTTGAGTGCAGTAGGTGGTACTACACTAACCTCTGCCCCTGTGTCGACTAAGAACTGTGTTCCGGTTCTTCTGTCCGTGACATATAACAAACGGCTTTCGTGTGAGTTGTGGCCGGTGACCGCAGTCGTCACTAATTGTCGGCCTTGATGTTCCCTTTTCCGTGTGCTTGCAAAATTACAGGGAGGAATACACTTTCTAGCTTGTTTACCGAACGTTTTATGGTACCAGCAAATGTTATGTCGGATGGTGCTTGGACTACGACGTGTACGACTTCTGGACCTTCCTCTACACTTGCAGTGGTGCGCATTCGAAAGTTGTAGCTGAGCTATCTGTTTAGTGAGGGCGTCGACTGTCTGTCGTAACTCGGCAACCTCGTCGGTTGAGTTTGTTTGTACGTGTGATACCGAGTGAGTCCTCGTCCGCTCGTAAATTCGATCGGCTATGTCTGCCAGCTTGTCAAAATCGACATCCTCGTCTCCAATTGCGAGTATCTGCTGTATGTTTTGTGGGAGGCGTCTGAGCCACAATTGATATAATAGACGTTTATCAACTATACGATTCCCTAAAACACTTGTCATATGGCGTTTTAATTGGGAAGGTGTGTAATCACCTAGCTCTACATTGGCTAAAAGTTGATCGATAGTCTGCTGGTCAGTGAGAGATGTAACACGTATGACCTCTCTTTTTAGGCAATCATATGGTGAGTCAGGATCCGGTTTAAAAATGACGTCAGGCACTAGTTCAATAACGTCATCCGGCAGCAACGAATTTGCGTAACTAAATTTCGTGATCTGGCTTGTGATTTTGTTTGTAACAAAAAAGCTTTCTAAGCGTGCAAACCAGAGTTCTGCCTTTCGGGAATTAAAAACAGGTAAAGGTACAGAGATGGCACCCACGGAAATAGACTTAGATGAAAGGCTAAGTGAATTATCGAGTGACATGATACCAGGAAATAATAACAGTAGCAATAATAATAGGCTGTTGATTGAGGTATACAATATGAAAAAATAATCAATAACAAGAAATATATGAGAGACTCACCGAATAAAAAAAACTGTCACCTTGGGTACAAATATGTGAATATATCAATATAATTCCAAAGGGACAATGTTATGAATGAATATATTATGACTGTCAATGAATTGTTAATAATTGTAACAGTAATTCCAATGTGAAGTTCTTTATGATTTGATTAGAGAATGTTCAGCAGACTTGTAGAGAGATGGTACGCGTTCAAAAAGCGGATTACCAACTTTGTAGAAGAATGGTGCGTGTTCAAAATGCGGCTCACCAATTTTGTAGACGATTAATTCCTCTATATCTGACTCCAATAAATAAATAATATCCCGCTAACTGATATTTTACTGCAGGCTAAATCTCCTAGTAGAATTACGGGTTTACTCGAGATTATTCAAAAGCCTGAACACCAGTTATAGAGATAGTTTATTGATGAAGCTCGGTAAAATCCGCAAGCGTACAGATAGCAAGCACACAGGGAAAGCAAGTGAGTGTGTGTGTGTGAGTGTTAAAAATCCATATATATTTTTGAGTGTTAATGGATTGTGGATAAATTATTGATTGTCTTTGTTTACAACCAATGAGAGAATAGATTAAAGATTGATGTGCAGACATGCGCTCAATCAGACTCACACATAAATTTACAATGGGTTAAATGTTAGGATTACAGAGAGCACACAAAAAATACAGTAGTTTAATGGGCTTGCTACAGAACCTCCAGAAATAAATTCATAATATAACTTGATTAGGAGGATCATCAAGAGAATTATACCTTGGATTTCATTATCTTTAATAAGTTTAGTTTAGGTCATATGTAGTTGCTCTACTGTTACTTTAAACTATAACCTCTTTACATAATCGTCATTACTATAAAATGAATTATTGGAATTGTGTTATTTCATGTAGGTTGTTTTTACTAAATTGAATTAGTTGTATCTTAGTGAAGACGTAAATACAGGTAACTCCCGGGACCTATTAATGGTCTACTATGCTACATATATTCTTATTCTTTAACTATTGAGTAATTAGATTGTGTATATCTGTATTCATCTTAGGGTGTTTGTCTCTTATATAAACCGAGTATGCTTGAAATAAATGATTTACATAGTAGAAGTTGAAATTGATGTTCTGGACTCAGTTGGAAGGGCTAGGCGGACAAAAGATCAATTTGGACACTAGACTGCTTATACTGGTCAAACGTCATTGATTTGGCACAGTGTTAAGATTAAACAAGTCGTATTCAGATTGGTGGATAAATCAAATGATAAAAAGCCGAGCGAATTGGCATACGGCCTGACTAACATTGGTCACCTGACGATTTTTTCCCGAACAAATTTTTATACTACTCATAAAGAATTCCAATGGTAATGATACAATAAAAAAGTCTATAAAACGTTTATATATGAAAACTTTATTCAATTTACGCTTACGTCTTTTCTAATTTTTCAAGTGCCAATTTATATTTTTCAGTTTCCCAAGCTGTTTCTTTATAGACTAAATCAATTTCAGCTTGACGATCTTTAAATAGATCATATCGAATTTGTGGAACTAAATTGAATGCCTATTGTAATCAGTTAGAATATAAATCAGAGATGGATGATATAAGATTAATTGAAGGTAATCAATAGAAAACTGAAAAGGTGTTGAAAGCTTCTAAGACATATTACATCAATCTTAAATTTTGAATCCACCTTAATTAATTTGTTTGAATTATTATTTTCTGGTTATTGTTTTTTGGCGAGTTAGTTTTTCTACGGGATGGGGAATAGCTAACCCCATGCCCAACCCTCCTCCTTTACTCGGGCTTGGGAAGTGCTACAGGCAGCGTTTATATCCGCTTCATTATATCAATATTGAAAATCCCCTGTAGTCTACTATCTGCATAAATCCCCTAGAAAATCACCTAACTAAACAGTAATCATATTTTATTTAGTGAATACCTTAGAGGTAGATTTTTCAAAGTTTCTCTCTTTAATCGAAACCTATGAATTTCCGAGTGAGACAGAAAGTAATTGATTATATTGAATGATTTTGACCAAAATTAGACAATACAGATCGGATCGGCAGTAACTCTAGAAGATCTATAGGTGGAGTTGTTTACGCAAAATACTCAACATTCACTGGCCCGATACTATCAACAACAGGCTTGCACGGGAGAGGACAAACCAACTTCCAGATGAAGAGGAAAATAAGGAAAAGACGTTGGAAGTGGATAGGACATACATTAAGGAAATCACCGAACTTCATCACGAGGTAATCCCTAACTTGTAATCCGGAAGGGAAGAGGAAAAGAGGAAGGCCAAAGAACACATTACGCCGAGAAATAGAAGCATATATGAAAAGGATGAATTTTAACTGGAAAGAAGTGGAAAGAATTGCCCAGGACGGGGTTGGATGGAGAATGCTGGTGAGCGGCCTGTGCTCCTCCACGAGGGGTAACAGGCACATGTAATTAAGTAGGTTCATTAATTAGTATTGTTAGAAACTTGATGACTAGATAAAAAGAAATCAGCCCGTGGTAACGTATGTAGTTACAGATATGGAATAAACGTGTTTGAATATTTGAATAATGACTACCAAATTATGTTGAATATTCTTACATGCTTGAAGAATGCTGATATGTAAAATATTAAGGGTTTGAAGTTCCTTGTTGATTATCTTCTGTTGTTCATCATTGAATGTACTTTTTAACATACACCTTCAGATAATGTCATTTACCAGTTGTGTTATGGACATTATAAAATTTCCATAGATTTTAGATCATCTACTGGTCATAGATTACTATTGAAAGGTTGAAAGTAATAAACAACCAATTCGTCATAGTGTGTAACGTTTCAGGAGTGAGCATCCACAACCCATCATCCGGCAATCGAATTCAGGGCCTCCAACTCGCGCGCAAGTGCTTAGCCACTAGGCCGGTGAACACGTGGCATAGGTTACTTATATCTATACGAGTAGTATATAACGATGGTCGGGTATTTAATGTATTTTAGTAGAAGATCGATAAAGAAAGAACGGGAACAAAGCGCAACTACTATGAAAATGCATGAACAATGAAGTCAGAGACGATGGATTGATATTTACAGAAGGAACAGTCAAGAATGAGACAATTGATTGATAGTTTGCTAATTAACTGTTTACTGTATGGTTGTCAGATTTTAGTTAGATAGTTTGTAATTTGTGCTTAAATACATCCGATTGTCGCCACTCGTGTTCTCCTTCACTACACCTTCATCTCAGATTTGGTGTTCACTCTGGGACACGAATGCTGTACCGTTCACTTCAAACGCCATCGCATTATCCACTCAGCTACTGTGTCATGATAGCTGCTTGATTGTGCGATGGGGTGAATTTTAAATTCACTTTGTTCTTTTGCTCGTGTCTTCCCATTGTTGTTTAGAATTGTAATTGTCCCCACTCGTGTTCTTATTTACTACAAACAGACATCCATCAGTGTTAATGTACAACTTTAATCAGTTCTGAATATTGAACAATCCCCATCCATCGCTTGCAGTGAATAACTGAATCATACCGAACATGGTTAAAATCCACTGGACATGACTTCTCACGAAAACTTCAGGAATTACACTTTGAAGCTGGTCACTAGTGAGCAGAGTTTGGTGCTTAAAAGTTTCCAGTGGTGCTTGATTAGTTTGTCATTTAAACTATGAAACTCAAAGAATTATCAAAGTGATATTCTTACTCGTAATCTACATTCTTAAGAAGATAATGTTTACTGAACATGATGAAGTAACTGTTGTTCGCATGAAGTTTTATTTAGGTAAATCTAAACAGAATGAATAATAATCACTGATATTAGATTTATAGCATTTAACCAACAACTAGAGGGTTGATACGCATTGAATGCCATTTATATTATGAAAGCCAATTTTCAATTCCATAAATCAGTTCTTAATGTAAGCTTATCTTTGCACAGATATCTCAAGTGATATCATGATTAAAATACTTGCGTTTCATGTGCAAACATAACAACCTACTGTGGGCGAGAACAAACCAGATTTCAGTGGAGGAAGAAGTCAGGTAGAAGCTCTGGGATAGGATAAGACACACATTGAGGAAATCACCCAACTACGTCACAAGACAATCCCTTATATGGAATCCTGAAGGTCAAAGGGGAAGAGGAAAACCAAAGAACACATTACACCGAGAAATTGAGACAGACATGAGTAGAATGAACAAAAACTGGATAGAATTAGAAAAGAAGGCCCAGAACAGAGTGGATTGGAGAATGCTAGTCGGTGGTCAATGCTCCAATGAAGGTAACAGATGTAAGTATATATGTATATATATTACAGTTAAACTTAAAATGTATTCATCAGTTTATCTTACCTCTGTTGGTAGACGAATTCTTTCTGGTAGACGATTGTTTTGTTCTTTTAATTTTTTTAAACGATCTTTCAATTCTGCTACTTTTTTTCTAGTTTCTGTTTTCTTTCGTTCTGCTAATTCTACAAGACGATCATGTTCTGATTTTTGTTTTGTTTCTTCAATACTATAAGCTTTTGGATCAATAATATCATCTACTTTTACACTCGTATCCTGTAAAGTATTCAAAGTATTAAGTAAGACATTTTTTGTAATTTATCCAAGTTCAACTACACTATAATAGTTAAATGAAAGTATGATATAATACAAAGATCAATAACAACCACGAGTCTCAATACGTTATTCAGATATAGTGGTGAATTCAAAAAACATTTTCGTAGATGAACAAGTTAAAAATCGACAGCAGAGTATGAAAGCCAGTCAGACACAACGTAGAACTTCGTGTGTACATCACTTCGGGTTGCCATACCACATAAGCATAGAGATTTAGTTGTCCATTCAAATCACATAGTGGTAGAAGTAGAAAGAGGCTAAGCAGTAATCGAAAAGATTAGGGTTTGAAGATCTCATTCAAGGAGTATAATACAGTGAAATAAATTTGGAAATAGAAAAAGGATAGGGACATGAGGAATTCAGAAGATTAGAATTTGGCAGAACACAGAGAGTGGATGCACCTGCGTGATTGAAAACGATTTTGAGCCATGTCATTCAAGGTCTCTAACTATCGATTGCTATCATCTCACGAATCCCAACCAGATAGTCTACACCTACCAGCATGGCTCAGTCCAATTGTCAGTGACTTCATGAATTTATGCCACGTTTTGGTCTGGCCGCCCCATAGCTTTCTTTCAACCTACTCCTACACCATAAAACATTGCACGTCGAGGCAATAGGTGGTTGGTGATATGATCAGCGAAATTAAACATATTGTACAATATCTCATGATAGGTGATATACAATTGTTTATAGGTTAGTATGATTGAATGAATTATCTATGTAACCAAGGTCAACGTTTACATTGTTATCCGAGCCAATTCATCAACCTACGGCATATCAACATAATTATTCAGCTTTAAGTGATAGAGGACCTTAATCCGTCTTAAGTTTTTTCCTTCTTATAGCTAAATTGATGAAGAGCTTACAGTATGGTTTCATGGACTGAATCAGACTGACTACTATTAAATTTAATGAAGTAAAAGTCGTTTTGGTAAAACGTTTCCATGACATCATCATAATCAGGGGGCTTGAGGAAAATGACTTAAAATTATTCACTTATCGACTTTTCATCTCATTGAATTCTCGTTTCTTCTTTTATCTTTATGATGTGAAGAAAGCTAACTGATATTCATTTGGATTAGGTAGTTAGATGATTCTATAACTGTGTTTACCCATTTTTCTGTAATAATTAAAGAAATTGATTAATTGTCAATTCTGAATATCAACTCTGAAATGCAAGTACATCCAGTTAACGAGTCCCAAATAGGACAAAACGAGCGTCCTGGATTCCACTGATAGCCACTATCCATCTTTGTTATTAATTGTCGATTCAGTTTACTTTATGGATATTATGAATTCGTCCTTACAGTATAGATGATTATCATGGAATTGTGACCTTCGAATATCTGACTATAGGTTGATCGTGTAAATGATTGTTATTTAGAAAGTTTTCATTTATTATCTGATATGATTTCATTAATTGTTAGGCTATGTTGGCTAGATACCATAAGTAACAACCTACTGATTGAGAGGTCAAACCTGCTTCCAGCTGAGGAGGAAATTAGAAAAAGACTTTGGAAGTGAATAGGACATACATTACGGAAATCATCAAACTGCATCATGAGGCAATCGCTAACTCAGAATCCTGAAGAGAAACAGAAAAGAGAAAGATCAAGGAACACACTGTGCCGAGAATTGGAAGCAGACATGAAATGGATAAATAGGAACTGGAAACAAGTGGAAAGGATCGCTCAGGACAGAGTTCTATAGAGAATGCTGATGATCGACCTATGTTCCTTAACAAAGGGTAACAGACATAAGTAAGTAATTGTTAGGTTATAAATATAAGCTAAAATGACAGCCAAATTTAACCTATCACTTCTTGTGGATGAAATTTCGAACAGAATATTTTATAATTTACTAGTCACTAAGGTAAATGAACAACTTTACATTGTTTACTCATCAATATACACGTATGACAGAAGCATTCAGAATTGTTTATCATATGGCTGAATGAAATAACTACCAACTAATTGCTTTTCATAAAAGTTCTTTCTATCATGAACTATCACTTACAGAAAAATATCTGAAAATAAGGCGCGAGACTGATAAGTCCTGGGTTCGAACCTCGTGAGGTGGGATCGTGGATGCGCGCTGCCACTGAAGAGTCCCATATTGGGACGAAACGGCCGTCCAGTGCTTCCACGTTTTCCATGATGGTCTAGCTTTAATTGACTCATGATTTCAACTATGAAAATACTTAAATCTCCACAAAAACTCTTCTGATTTTTTATCATACTCTGAAAATTAGCAACGTCTTGAAAACTCACAAATCAAAGGTTCTCATGAGGGGTGAGACTATAATTTATGGACAAACCAATCAAATTTAGAGCAACGGGTCTTATATTTTTGCGTGAAATTCATTCATTCATTTGGCTAAATAGCGTTTTGGAATCTTAGCACATGTCAGTTTGTGATGAAAACCCTAAATCCAATTCCTAACCTTAACCATCAATTATAAATCATGATCCTTCATTTAGCCCTAGTAAATAAGTGACCATTCTCAAGGTCATTTTAGAGTCTCTCAAAAGTCGTCCATAAATTGTGATCTCACCCCTAAACGTTATTTTTATTTTGATGGATTGATGTTAGCTAGAGGATCGATAACAATCATAAAATACTATGTAGCTATTTAGCGTCAGTATACGATTCTTCAACAGTACACAATCAAGAAATTATCTTCAGATGATGTCAATTCTCCATAAAATACAAATAGTTCAATTCTGGAATAGACGGAGTGTACAATTTTTTTAGGTTCATAAGGCAACTTACAAATGTAGACGGAATTCGTGCACGATATTCTTTAATTTCTTTATCTTGCATTTCTTCTGTCATAAGTTCACAGACAAACAATGTTCCATCACTTCCAGCGCTTAAAAGAAATCTATCAAAAAGCAATAGAATAAACATAGAAAGACAAATGTTCAGTATACCTGGTTATACATGGTTAAAGTCTAATGAGTATATATTTACAGACAGATCTAGTCTGGATGAAACATCAATGGTGGAATATTAACTTTCATAAGAAACAGTTTAATAGGTACTGATCTCTACTGATTTAACTGACTGAAAGCATATGATCCAACATTCATGATCAATTCTTGGAGCTTCATTGCTTTTATACTATACTTTTATCTGTCTAGAAGTAAGTGAAGAAACTCAGAACAATAGAAATGAATGACAAAAAATCAATTAATGACAGAATATTATATCTTCATGGAATTTAAGAACTAGAACAGACGTTGGGTCGGTAGCCTAACTTATAGCTTAAATTGCAGAAAAAACTCAGCTTCATGTGTGTGTGACCAGACCTTATAATGTATTTCTTTAATTGTACATGATTAAAATATAATTGGTTGCTTATGAAATGATAAATTATGAACAAATAATAAAATAGTTTAAGTCATAAGTTAATTGAAGCTAGGCCACCATGGAAAACCTGAAAGCACTGGATGGATGTTTCGTCCTATTGTAGGACTCTTCAACAGTGCGCATCAACGATCTCGCCTCGTGAGATTCGAACCCAGGACCTATCAGTTAGACATGAGCACCGTTGGATGCCAGCTCAGTGGTCTAGTGGTTAAGCGCTCACGCGAATGACTGGGTTGGAATCTCGCAATGCGGAATCGTGGATGCGCGATGCCACTTAAGAGTCCCATAATAAGACTAATTAATTAGAAAGACAAATATTTCCTCCCTATCATAATGTAATTTCGTTAAAAAGGAACTTACTTTTCATCATATGTAAGCGCTATTCGATTAACACATCCACGTTGATTATCATGTAAACGATACATCCAATATCCTTTAAATTTTGTTAAATCAAATGGTTTCTCTAATAGTTGTACACATATTACACCATCATTAAAACCAATTAATAAACGATAACCAGAATTACTAAATGTCCAATATGTAATAGATGCATCCTTCTTATCCGTTATACAAATTGCTTGATTTGGTTCTGTTGGAAGAATACGATCTGTTAGGGTAATACTATATGGATCAATCTTTTCTAAGCTTTCTCCTTTTTCACCACTTGTTATTGTACTATCTTGTGATTGATCTGAATCGGTTACATCGGTAACTATATGATGTAATTCATAGTGTTTATCTGATTGTTCTTTTGTTTTATGAATTCTTTCAATTGCATCGTCTATGGTTAATAATGGACCACCTAATTCACATTTATATAAATATCCTTTATCGAAATCACCCTTAAGAATGAGAAAGTAATAAACAGAAAACATCATTATTGTTTATTTATAAACATTAGACTTCAGAATGTAACATCTCTAAGAGTACAAATCACTTAAGTAACATTTTAATTTATGGACGATCTTCGAGGGACGGTAAAGTGACTTAAAGACTATTCACTTACTCGCTAGTGTCAAGAGAAACTTACTTACGCCTGTTACCCCTCGTGGAGGAGCATAGGCCACATGTAGCTCTTCTAGAGTTACTGACGGTTTCAAGCCTGGGTAAAAGAGGACGGTTGGGCATGGAGTTAGCTCCATTTAAAGTTTTCATTACTAACTGATATCATCTATAATTGCATAATGCCAATTAATTATGTGAATGAATGAATTTCACGCCTGAATCCAAAACTTGTTATCCTTAATTTGATTGGTTAATCTATAGATTACAGTTTCGCCATCATTTAATTAATGAATGTTAAAAGAGAAGCTGAACTTATAAATGTGGCTTTCAATTTATAATCATTTAAAATTGTCATTGTTATAAGAATGGGCTTTCAAGAACACTTTCGTATCTCCACTTCGATGATTAACTCTTAATCATTTTCCTACAAAGAGATGACAAACAGTGTAACTTCACACTACAGTGAATAAACTCAATTCAAAGCAACATAATATACATTAAAACTACTTCATGAGGAAAGTTGAGCTTTGGTAATAAAAAAAAGAAAAATTTGATCAATCAAATGAATATGAATCGACTTCTTTTGATTTAAGTAATGTCACGTATTTTTTTTTGTTTTTAGAGTCGTTATCCACATATATAATATATGTACCGCCATGCTGGCAGGTGCAGACTATTTGGTTGGAGTCTGAGTGACTATGGTAACCAATGGTTGGAGATTCTAGGTGACATGGCTCAGAATCGATCACAATGGCATAGGTGTATTCACTATTTATCTTCCATTAAACCTTGAAATTAAAATTGGTTCATGTCTTTCTTCCTTCCTATACTATATTCTTATAAACAACCTATCTTTTATATACTAACACCACTAAATTAACTACTTCTATGAATTCGGTGCTCATATTGTTGTGCTAACGAGGTATGACAACTTGGACCGATGCATATTTGTGCCTGGTCCTATGTTGTAGCTGACTGACTGACTAACTATCCACATATATTTTGACATTATCAGTTATTCTCTAATATCTAATATTCTCTAAGTATCTATGTGTACTACTTACTCAATTCATCACATGTCTCTAGTTTATTTTTCTGACTATAAATAACGAGTCACACTTTATTAAATCGAGTGGGCACATTTGCCTTCTCCCTTTCATTTCACGTCAATCAATCTATTATTTGTCTAAGTAAACGAATGTCGAAAATATGTATTCCTCAAATAATTTCATACTGTACTTCCCATATGTACGTTGTTAGTAATGTGATTAGTCAAAAAAGAAGTATATATGAAGTATATGGGATATACATTTCATTAACATCATTATATCATCAGGTTATGCGATCGAATTGAAGTCAGACGATGGGCCATAATAGTCTGAATCTGTTACAGGTAAAAGAAAATTATTGTTTGTATATCCTTTTTTATATGATTGAAATCATGAGTTAGTTGAAGCTAGACCACCATGGAAAACCTGAAAGCACTGGACGGCCATGTCGTCTTATTGTGGGACTCCTCAATGGCAGTGCGTATCCACGATTCCGCTTCCCGAGATAACTCATCATGTGACTATTAAGTCATTTTTACCATGTTAATATTCCAATTATCTTGCGAAGGAATTGTGACACTCACTACATAAACCACTTATATTCATTTCCTACATTCATCTCTGCTTATGAGTATATATGTACTCTTCTTATTTTATCTAATGCAAGTTACCCTGCTGCACTATTCATTAACAGTTTTGAATAATATTAAGTATTGTAGGCTTGCGACAGACTTTTACCTTACCCATTCTTCGTCTGTCCGCCGAAGTGAACGCATGAAATATCAACATTCATAGCAGTCGTATTGAACTTTCCTTTATCCATGTCATTACTAAATGGATTTGTTTACAGTACCTGTACGACGTACGTAAGTTGTATATTTTCTTTATATAACTAACAATTTAATCATACTACAGTCTAACCGTGAGCATGTAACATTTATAGAAAAAAGCTTACTAAAGACACCCAAAATTGATTTGGTTCATTTCTATCCAAACATCCATATAGTAATGGTGATGGATTTGACGGATAGGTAGGTGTCCAGTCAGCAATTTCAGATAGTACACCTTGATAAATAGCCTCCTCAGCTAAAAGAAATGAAATAAATATATGATAGTTATTGATTTTATTTATCATAATGATGAAGAAATCAGAAATTTTCCAATTGAGTATCTATTGAATCTCACGAGGCGGGATCGTGGATGCGCACTGCCAATAAGGAGCCCCACATTAGAACGAGGCGGCCATCTAGTGATTTCAGATTTTCCATGGTGGTCTAGCTTCAATTAACTCATGATTTCAACTATACAAAAAGGTTACTAAAATCTCCACAAAACGCCCCTCTAATAAGTATCTATATGACAAAGTTATTACTTATATACAATTAAGATCATCCTATTACCATGAAAACTATTAATTTCAATACAATGCAAAATATAGATCGTCATTATATGATAAGAGAAAAGTGTTTCTTGAATTAAATATATAGAGATTATTTACAAATCATACGACAGGCCATATAACAGATAATAGCTGTGTCCAATTTTTTTCTGGTTAGCGTTCTTTCACCGAGTTTGTTTTCTACGGGATAAGGTCGCTAACGCCATGCCCAACCCTCCTCCTTTATCCACGCTTGGGACCGGCAGTAGCCCTAGGAGGAGATACAGGAAGGCCCAGGACAAAGTGGGTTGGAGAATGCTGGTCGGCGGCCTATGCTCCATTAGGAGTAACAGGCGAATGTAAGTAAGTTAGCTGTGTCCAAAAGCACAATAACAAAGAATACTCGACTTTGGGAATAGTAACACAAAACCTACGGTAACTTTTACCATTAAATACTGGTCTAATGAATATATGAAAATAGAAAGTAACTGTTAAATGTATTAAAAAGCCGAAATTACGATAATTATCCATTAAAACAATGATGGTGTCATACGTCATATCCTGAAAATGATCGGGAATAGAGTTATTTGGTGAATATTATTAAGTACTTCATTTTTGTATTAGCTGTTTGAATCTTCATATTGATGTTTAGGACTGTCATAGACCAGTCTCTTATTGACATATGTGAGTCCTGTGAGGATTGCCTCGATATTGTCTTTAGTCGAAAACATTCTAAGTAGAGATGGATGGTAACTAGTAGTGGAATTCAAGACTCTCGTCTCGTCCTATTTGAGACTCATCAGCTAGATCTGCCTGCATCCCAGAGTTGATGTCCAATCCGGGACTCCACTGCTAGCCAACATCCATCTCTGCTTATTAATAAGTAGTATGATTAATTTACGGAAGGAAACAAATAATGAAGATATGAAAATCAGTTGCACAAGCAGAATAAATATATACATTACTGTTTGGTCAGTGGGTTGAATTAAGATGCTTTTACGTTAGCTTGTGAAATTTATCCAGACGATATTAAAATCAATAAACTAAGCCACAAAATTAAAAATAAGTGGTTCAAATTTTTATGTTGGTTTGTTCTCTGAGCTAGATGGTTTGATCGTGGAGCTTTCATCGTCCTTCTGAACGACATCATCAGCACTAACTTCAGGTAGAAGTGAAGAGTTTGAATTTCTCCACATGTGATTCACAGCTTGTCCTCTGCACCTCGATGTTGATTGGTTCTTATTGACCTTAAATCTGTCATTGTTTATTTCTTTGTTTTGGTTGTATCTCCTATTGTTTTGATTTTTGTTCCTATGTTCCTGCATAATTTTCTTGTGTTAGTGGTTGCTTTGATAGGTTGACCACGCTGTTGTTTGTGTTTTCTTCTATAGTTGGTTTGGAGATTTTGATTATTTTCTTTTTAAGGATGTTTCTTCTTTTTTCTCTGTGTCGTTTGCATAATGTTTCGATGGCTGTTGTCAAGGTTTCGAAGTGTTCTGGTGTGAGTGTCTGTTGTAGCTTCCTCTTTTGGTCCTCTATGACATGTTGGTATTTGCGGATCCTGTAATGTGCGTCCGTTATCATTGGATGAACCATTTTTCTTCCACTTTGCTCAGCTATTTTCTATCCTAATGGGCAGTTGATTGGAGGTCTGTATCTTACACTTGTTGGCAGAACATGCTGACGAATGCACTCGTGGAGAAAATATAGTTGTTCTCGAGTGGAAGCTTGCCTTTGGCGAAATTCTCCACCATCTCAAGTGCTCTAAATGCATAAATATTTGTGGTGAGACCTCAAGGTCCTGAATTCAATCCAGTCAGTCACAAGGTAGAACATGGAACGTATGTGCATCAGTCCAAGTTGCCATAACCCATTAACATAGACAGATGAAACTGTCAGGACAAATCCCAAAATAGTAAAGTTAGTGACAGTATCAGTGGTATTAAGAAAGATTACGCATCCAAGATACGATTCAAGTAATTTTTAAATTAGTGAACTAAAAGTATTCAAAAACTCATGAGGAATTCAGAATGTTAGAATTTAGGGAAGGACAAGGAATAGATGCACCTCATCAATCGCCAACGATTTTGAGCCATGACTTTTAAAGTCTCTAGACATTGGCTACGATAATCACCTCAACCACTACCAGGTTGTCAACCACCATTAACATGGATTAGTGAAAGTTTCAATGACTCGATAGAGTTTTCAGTCTGGCCGCCCCTAACATTCTTCCGGCCTACTCCTACACCACAAAACAAGCCAATTCACCTATTCATCATGAGTCATGTTTTCACCTTGTTAATTATTCACCTATTAATCCTGACCATGTTTATATGAGCGTAGGTATGTGTGCACCTCTTATCCTATTCATCGCATGTCTGTAACTTATTCTTGTCTGGCTATAAATATTGATCAACGCTTGGTTAAAGCGAATTGGCTTACCCGCCATCTCCAATGCGTGTGATTTTTGTTTCGCTCGCTGATGCTTACTCATATGCTTAAAACTTTCTGACCTACGTTATTTGTCAATAAAACTGTAGCTGCCGCTTCTCTTTACCTTCTGATTTTATGCACCGTTAAGACGGGAATTATAACAGTTATCATGATGAACGATTAACAAAGCATGGCACTAAACTACTTACCCTTATCAAATTTCTGTTTATCTTCATCTGTTTCCGGTTGTAATCTTGTATTGATTCGACGAATCTCTTCTCTATTCTCTTTAGCTTTTTTATATTCAGCTAATTTATTGGCAGCATCTTCATCATGATCTAAACGTGATTTAATACTCTGTAATTGATATGATTTAGTAATTTTAATATTAGATAATGAAAAGGTTTTAGAATGATCAAATTTTTCATTTTCTGTTGGACATTCTACCTAGAAATAAAAGTAAATTTCAATATTTTTGAATAATAAGTCCAACTACAAATGGATATGATCGAATGTATATTGCACTACCTACTTACTTACGCCTGTTATTCCTCGTGGAGGAGCATAGGATTGTACAGATAACACACAAAGATGAGACTGTTATGTGGGCTACTTATATCGATATAAGTAGTATATATCGTGAGTCAGAAATAGAATATCTAGAAGAAGAATATTGAAAAGATCGAGAAAGGAGGAACAGAAGTAGAAAGCAATTGGTATTACATACGATCATAAAAAAAGGGATTGTACAGATAATACATAATGGTGAGACTGTGATGTGGGCTACTTATATCGATATAAGTAGTATATATCGTGAGTCAGGAATACAATATTGAGAAGATCGAGGAGGGAACAACATAAACAAAAAGCAATTGATGTGGAAATCCAGGAATAATGAATCCTGAGACAAATAATGAACATTTTGCAAATGAAGTATCAGAGTATGGTTCTTCTATTTTATCAAGGAACTTTATAATTTGTGTCAAGTACATGATCGGTTGTCTTTAACAGTGTTTTCCTTCACTACAGGAGTATAAATTACGGATGAATCTATCAGGCATAAGATATCAGGTCTCGGATTTTGGTGAGAAATTCATTCATCCATTTGCATAAATACAGTTTTGGCATTATAGCTGATGTCAGATCGTAATGAAAAAACCACAAATCTAATTCCTAACCTTAATCATCAACTGTAAATCATAATTCTAATTCCCCACACAGGTTTATAACCCTCATTTGGTCCTACTTACTAGGTGGACACTCTCAAGGTCACTTCAGCGTTGCTCAAAGGTCGTCCATATATTGTAGCATAACCCACACGAATAAAGTGAAAATAATTAAATATCAAGCGACAAACATCAAGCATCCTGAGTTAGAATCCAGCGAGAAGGATAATGGATGAGCACTGCTGGGTAGTCCCATACTAGGAAAAAACGGCTGTCCAGTTCCTCCAAATTTTCAATGGTGGTCTAACATCAATCGATTCGTGATCTTAATCAAAAACTTAACAATCTCCACAACCCCATACTGATGATTTCTCAATTCAACAACTTCCTATCATATGTGTCCTTTTAAATAAATAAATAAATAGTGATTTCGTTAGATAATTCAGTCAATTTTATATCTAGCAAGCAAATATTGAAGGTTATGGCATTAAGTCTGATCACTTGATAGCTCTTAGCGTTTTACACTTGGATAATTGAAAATTTGTAACTCGTATAAATATTTTGAACAAGTAGATGTGTTATCAGAAGGGACTTTTGTGGAGATTTCAGTAATTTTGTAGTTAAAATCATGAGTCGATTGAAGCTATACCACCATGGAAAACCTGGAAGCACTCACTAGTGACTGACTTCAAGTGATATTTCCTGGAGTTCTAGTGAGAATCAGTGACAAGAGGAGTTCAACCAGGTCTGTTGTGAGATACCAACTCATTGAAGGCAATGGTGGACTTGTCGCTCAATTTTGTGGATCAGTTGAAGTTAGACCTCAACACCGGTCGGCTAAAAAGTCTAGTGGTTAAGCTCTCGCTCGCGAGACTGATAGGTCCTGGGTTCGAAACTCTCGGGGCGCGATCGTGGATGCGCACTGCCACTGAGGAGTCCCACAATTGGACAAAACGACCGTCCAGTGCTTCCAGGTTTTCCATGGTGGTCTAGCTTCAATTGACTCATGATTTCAACTATAAAATAGATGTATTGTTTCTTCATTACCTTTTCAAAAATAAACCTGTTTATCTCCCTATTGTGTGTATTCAAATGTTAAGCAGAATACTTACATTATCAAACTGGAAAACCAGATGATTGATCTAAAGTCATAACTTCTTTTTTTGAACTCAAAAAGATCGCCTTTCATCAAGTGAAAAGTTGACACATTTTTGACAAAAAGGTGAGTAACGGATTTTATAGTTCATTCACAGTAACTTATAAAGAATGTGAAAGCAAGGGCAGCATTTCTACAATTAAAGAACATATGGAACTCAAAACAACTGTCAACTAACTTCAAAGCGAGAATCTTCAATACGAATATCAAGACAGTCAGTTCTACTGTACGGAGCTAAAATGTGGAGAACTACTACATCCATCGTCAAGAAGGTATAAGTATCTATAAACAGTTGCCTACGCAAAATACTCAACATTCACTGGTCTGATAATATCAGCAACAGCGTTTTATGGGAGAGGACAAACTAGCTTCCAACTGAAGAGGAAATTAGGAAAAGACATTGGAAGTGGATAAAACATACATTTCGTAAATCGCCAAACTGCATCACGAGGCAATCCCTAACTCGGAATGCTGAAGGGAAGCGGTAAAGAGGAAGGCCTAAGAACATATTACGCCGGGAAAAAGAAGCAGATATGAAAAGGATGAATGTTAACTGGAAAAAACTGGAAACAATTGCCCAGGACAGGGTTGGATGGAGAATGCTGGTGTGCGGTCTATGCTCCTCTACGAGGGGTAACAGACGTAGGTAAGTAAGTAAGTAAGTAGTGAAGATTAAATTACGGATAACTACTGAGGACTATTAATGGATTAATATATATATATATATATATATATATATATATTCTTACTGTATAACCATTCACTAACTAGATTATGTATCTATCTATATTCTCCATATTATAAGCTTGACTTTGATCTATAGGCTATTATTCATAGGATTTACTACTCTTAAATTGTGCTCGGTTTATTAATTACAGTCTCCCACGATCACAGTCATTTTTTGGCTTGATCTTGTACAAATGTTACTCCCAACTTTATAATGTGATACCGTCTGTTTAGCTAGTATATAATCCAAGTATGTTTGCAATAAATGATTCATATAGTGGGAGCTAGAGTTGATGTTCTAGACTCAACTGGAAAGGTTAGAAGGGAAAGGACCAATAAGGATGCTAGACTGCTCATATGGGTCAATACGTCATTGGTTTGGCACAGTACTAATGTAGTGAACAAGAACACTAGTTGGGGACAATCGAATTTATTTAGACACAAATTACACACTATCTCACTGAATTTTGATAAAGATACAGCAAACAGTTAATTTGCAAATTAACAACCGATTGTCTCAATCTTCACTGTTATTTCTCTAAATATCAGTCACTCATCTTCTCTAATTTCATTGTTTATGCATTTTCCTACCAATTGCGCTTCATTCTTGTTCTTTCTTTATCGGTCTTCTGCCAAAATACATTTTATGTCTAACCATCACCATATACTACTTATTTAGATATAAGTAAACCATGCCACACTAAGATTGTATAAGTCATATTCCGATTGTCGGATAAGTTACATGATTATTAATCAGCTTCAAAGTTACAATAGATTAGATCATTCTAAGTAACAAGGTCATTGATGAACACGGTGGATCAGATGAAGATGTGAGGGCGAGGATCGGCAAAGCAAGAGCAGTATATCTGCAACTGAAGAACATCTGGAACTCAAAACAATTGTCAACCAAAACCAAGGTTAGAATTTTCAATACAAATATCAAGACAGTTCTACTGTATGGGGCGGAGACGTGAAGAACTACAAAAGTCATTATCCAGAAGATACAAGTGTTTATCAACAGCTCTCTACGCAAGATGCTTCGGATCCGATGGCCAGACACTATCAGCAACAATTTACTGTGGGAGACAACAAACCAGATTCCAGTGGAGGAAGAAATCAGGAAGAAGCGCTGGAAGTGGATTGGGCACACTTTGAGGAAATCACCCAATTGTGTCACAAGACAAGCCCTCACATGGAATGCTGAAGGTCAAAGGATGAGAGGAGGACCAAAGAACACATTACACCGAGAAATAGAGACATGAGAAGAATGAACAAAAAATGGTTAGATCTAGAAAAGAAGGCCCATGACAGAGTGGGTTGGAGAATGCTGGTCGGCGGCCTATGCTCAATTGGGAGTAACAGGCGTAAGTAAGTAAGTAAGTAATAAGGTTAAGTAAATATAATTCATCATTAAACTTACCGTTAATACACAACCATTTTCTAAATAAACAATAATTTCATTGGTTTCTTTATGATTTATATAAAACCATTCTAATCGTATAACTTTTCCATAAACATTAATAAAACCAATAGGTGATAAATGGGTATTATGTACATTGAAAAAGAAAACCGTTTCATCTTTACTCTAAAAAACAAAGACAAGAAAAGAAAGATCAATAAGAGAAGAATCAATCAGTTAGATTTAAGTCAGACTATCATCGAAAATTTGAAAGCATTAGATGGACGTTTCGGCCTAGAATGGAACTCCTCAGCAGTATATAACCACATTCTCGAAGTCTAGTGTATATAGGCTTTCAGTAGTGGTCTAGCTTAGATCAACTCATGAATTTAACTGTTAAATTTACTAGAATCTTCATAAATCCGCACTCTGATAATAATCATGTGCTCACTAGTGACTGGCTTCAAGATGTAACTATTGGAGTTCCAGTGAGAAGCCGTGACCAAGGGAGTCCAATCTGTGTCGGGTATGAGACGTATATCTATCACAGTCAATGAAAAAGGGGTTGCGAAAGATGGTGGATTGTTTGAAGTTAGATATTGATGCCATTAGATGCCGGCTTAGTGGTCTAGATGTTGAACGTTCGTGCGAGAGACTGGAGTTCCTTAGTTTCAGTCCCGCTTGAGAAATAGAGGACGCGCGCTGATGAGGATGAAACGGCCATCCTGTGCTTCAATGAATTTATTGATTTACCAATAGATATATATTCGTGAGAGAAAGTTGTTTTTCAAGCCAATGAGTTTTTCAATCTGTATGAATTCGCTTCTATTGGATCACTACAAAAATGTTTCATTTGAAATCGGTGATCTATAAGATCAACTAAATCCAAATCAAAGACTTATCTCAACTGATGATCTTTTAATGATAAGAAAAAAGTAAACAATTCATTTCAAAACTGATGTCTATAAAGTAAAGTGTTCTCATTAAAATCTTTGGTTATTTATCTCATACTATAAAACTTATCTTAGATGTTCATTGTTATTCACTGTTAACTTAATAAATCATAAAGATTATCATTTATGGACGACCTTTGAACGTGTCTTAAGTGACCTTAAAAAATAGTAGCCAATCAGGAGACAGCTAGTAAAGTGTAAAAATACATTATACAACATCAAGGAATTAGAGTGGGTACACTTCTTTTATATGGTCCAAAAACTTGTCAAGGTTAGAAAAAGGTTCAAAAGTTCCAAAATCGTAATGCATAAGGTAGAGGAACTCATTCATATGGCTCCATAATAGTTGGTCTCTGGTGCCATGATAAGGTCACAAAAATCCTCTCAGCCTCGACCACATAGCTTCGATATTGTTGCTGTGTAATCCGGTTGTGCAAGTTTATCATTTTTATTATGGATATGTCCCTAAAATACTTATACCATTGAACAGCCGAAGCTTCAGTAACATCTGCGAATATCGCAACCAATGTTACTGGTGCTTTTATTATACAGTTTGCGGCAATTATTATAATATGCCTAAGTCTCAATCTGGATCAAGCGATAAAGGTTCCTATTTTAGTAAACCTCTTACTTCAACATATATTACATCGAGGGACAACATCACGATAGTTTACACAAGGTTTACAAGTCATTTAATAGTCACAATTACAAATACGGGAACTTAATTGTCAATCTTCTCTAAAATTCTCTGTGAACCGATCGTACATGAGGATCGGGTACTGAAATCGGAGCCGTGGAGATTTTAGTAATTTTATATAGTTGAAATCATGAATCAATTGAAGTTAGACCATCATGGAAAACCTGAAAGCACTGGACGGCCGTTTCGTCCTATTGTGGGACTCCTCAGTGGCAGTGCGCATCCATGATCTCGACTCGCGATATTCGAACACAGGGTCTACCAGTCTCGCATCAAAGCACATAACCGATAGACCACTGAGCGGGCATCCGACGGTGTTAATTTCAAACTCCAACCAATCCAAAAAGTCGAGCAACCATTCACCAATTGTCTTCAGTGAGTTCCTATCTCACAACATACATGGTTGAACTCCAAATGTAATTCAATACGGATTTCCATAAATCATTGTACTATTAAGTATATACACTAAACATTTTTCAAAAAAAAAACTTCGACAACTCTGAAATTTACCCCAGTTATAAATAATTTTCCTGATGGACTATAAATCATTGATGTAATTGCTGATGTATGCGGTTTAATTGCTTGTCCAAGATCTAATAAAGCAAATTGTTTTGTACGTTTTGTTAATTCTTCAGGATTTTCACCAAATTTTATGACACGTAAAACACCATCTTGATGGCCAACAATTAAAATTTTACCTTTTGGATCAACCTTGGTTATGAATGTGAATAAAGGACAGAAAGTAAAAAGAGAAAAGAATCCAGATGATTAGTTCCTTTTCAAATAATCAATCTATCATATTAGTAAACAGAATTCACTTAGTATTGTTTGTTTGAATCTTCCCATTGTTGTTTTAGGACTGCAAATAGTCAGTCTCTAATTGACATATGTGCATATGTGCGTATTGACTCGATATAGCCTAAATTCACAAGCATAGTAAGCAAAGATGAACAATGGCTAGCAGTGGAATCCAGGACGCGCACCACTTCGTCCCATTTGGGACTCGTCAACTGGATGTACTTGCATCTCAGAGTTGATGTTCACTTTGGGACTCGAACCCAGTACCTTCCGCTTCAAATGCCATCACGTTATCCACTCGGCCACTGAGTCCTGATAACCACTTGCTTGTGCAATGGGGTGAAGTTTAAATTCACTTAGTGTTGTTTGTTTGAATCTTCCCATTGGTGTTTTAGGATTACAACTGGTCAGTCTCTAATGATTCATTAGTGGTTAAAAACTGTATTCAAACTTATCTCAAAGAAAATATAAATGACTTGTTACCATGGATATAAGTTTTGTAATTTATTTATTTATTTGAACACATAAATATTGGTACAGGAGGGCACCAGATACATATGCGCTATACAAAACAATGAGAATGGGAAGAGAAAAGGGGTAAGATGGGGGAACTGAAATATACAACCAGAAGATCTCTTTCAGTTAGGGAAGTTATGACCAATCTTTATGGAGAAAGTAAAAAAAGGTTACAGAAGGATCGCGACTGGCTTCTATGGTGAGCCATATCTGATAACGTCTCTAGCTACTGTGTTGTACCATCTCTTAGACCCCAGCCAGGGAATCGTAAAGGACTAACAGATAAATGTAATGACGCTTTCTACTGACAAGTTTTGTAAAGATGTACCATGTTCGGGGTAGTTCTTTTTATTGAAGATTTGTTATGAGGTATGAAAGAGATTTTTCATAGAAATTGATGTGCGTAAAAAACATATGTAATCGAATAGCTTACTTACTTTAATTACTTACTTACTTACGCCTGTTACTCCCAATTGAGCATAGGCCGCCGACCAGCATTCTCCAACCCACTCTGTCATGGGCCTTCTTTTCTAGATCTAACCATTTTTTGTTCATTCTTCTCATGTCTCTATTTCTCGGTGTAATGTGTTCTTTGGTCCTCCTCTCATCCTTTGACCTTCAGCATTCCATGTGAGGGCTTGTCTTGTGACACAATTGGGTGATTTCCTCAAAGTGTGCCCAATCCACTTCCAGCGCTTCTTCCTGATTTCTTCCTCCACTGGAATCTGGTTTGTTGTCTCCCACAGTAAATTGTTGCTGATAGTGTCTGGCCATCGGATCCGAAGCATCTTGCGTAGAGAGCTGTTGATAAACACTTGTATCTTCTGGATAATGACTTTTGTAGTTCTTCACGTCTCCGCCCCATACAGTAGAACTGTCTTGATATTTGTATTGAAAATTCTAACCTTGGTTTTGGTTGACAATTGTTTTGAGTTCCAGATGTTCTTCAGTTGCAGATATACTGCTCTTGCTTTGCCGATCCTCGCCCTCACATCTTCATCTGATCCACCATGTTCATCAATGATGCTGCCCAGGTATGTAAAGGTTTCCACATCCTCCAAAGCATCTCCGTCAAGTGTCATTCGATTGGTGCATATTGTATTGTATCGGAGAGTCCTGCTTTTCCCTTTGTTTATATTGAGACTTACTGCTGCTAAGGCTGCTGCTACACTGGTCGTTTTCTCCTGCATTTGTTGTTGCGTTTGTGATAGAAGAGCCAGATCATCCGCGAAGTCTAAATCGTCAAGCTGCATCCTGCCTGTCCACTGTATCCCGTGATTTCCTCCAGTCGTTGACGTCTTCATGATCCAGTCGATGACCAGGAGAAAGAGAAAGGGTGAGAGTGGGCAACTTTGACTAACATCGGTTTTTATCTCGAATGAGTCGGTGAGTTGTCCTTCGTGGACGATTTGTCAGTTTAGTCCATCATAAGAGTTCCGTATGATATTGACTATCTTCTCAGGCACGCCGTAGTGTCGAAGAAGCCTCCATAGTGTCGTCCTGTCCACGCTATCAAATGCTTTCTCGTAGTCGATGAAGTTGATGTACAGTGATGAATTCCATTCGATTGATTGTTCCACAATGATACGTAGAGTGGCGATTTGGTCTGTACACGTTCGTTCCTTACAAAATCCAGCTTGTTGATCTGGAAGTTGGGCGTCTACGGAGTCCTTCATTCTGATTAACAATACTCTGTTGAAGACTTTTCCTGGTATTGAGAGAAGAGTGATGCCCCTGTAGTTGTCGCACTTGCTCAGATCGCCTTTCTTTGGTATCTTGATCAGAAGTCCTTTTTTCCAGTCTTTTGCTACTTGTTCTTCATCCCAAATCTTACTGAAGAGGATGTGGAGTATCTTGGCAGTTGCCGCTACATTTGCTTTCAGTGCCTCTGCCGGGATGTTGTCTGGTTCTGCTGCTTTGCCACTCTTGACTTGTCTAATGGCCATGCTGATCTCTTCAATTGTTGGTGGGCCAATATCGATTGGGAGGTCCGTGTGTGCTGCTTCGATGTTGGGTGGGTTCAGTGGAGCTGGTCGATTCAAGAGTTCTTTGAAGTGTTCTACCCACCTGTTTCGTTGTTCTTCAATGTCGGTGATTAATTTGCCTTCCTTGCTCTTCACTGGTCATTCTGGTTTACGGTAATTTCCAGCAAGTTTCTTTGTTGTATCATACAGTTGTCTCATGTTTCCCTCTCTTGCAGCCTTTTCCGCTGTCATCGCTAAATCTTCCACATATTTACGTTTGTCGGTCCTGATGCTCCTCTTCACTTGCTTGTTTGCCTCTGTGTATTCGGCTTGTGCCTTGGCTTTTTCCGCTCTTGTTCGGTTGATATATTCATTGCTGCCTTCTTGTTCCTCCTTTCTTCAATTTTATCCAGTGTACCAACAGTGATCCATTCCTTGTGATGGTGCTTCTTTTGGCCCAGAACCTCCTGACATGTTGAAAAGATTGCCTCTTTGATACCTTTCCAGTTGCTCTCCATGGTAGTTCCCTCTCCATTGAGTAGATTATGGAAGGAATCGAACCTGTTGCTGAGGGCTATGTTGAATTGGTTGAGTTTGTCAGAATCTCGAAGAAAGGCCGTATTAAACTTTTGTGGTGTTGTCCGCGCCGTTGTCCACTGCTTCTTGAGTTTTAGTTTCATCTTGGCGACCAGCAAATGATGATCGAATGCTATATCAGCTCCTCTTCTGGTTCTCACATCCTCCATCGTCCTCCTGAACTTTTTGTTGATGCAGATATGGTCGATTTGATTCTGTGTAATGTGATCCGGTGAAATCCAAGTGGCTTTGTGTATGTTTTTGTGTGGGAATATGGTGCCACCTATGACCAGTTTATTGAAGGCACATAGGTTTGCAAATCTCTCACCATTTTCGTTTCTTTCTCCCAGTCCATGTTGTCCCATGACGTCTTCATATTCAGTGTTATCCTTTCCAACCTTAGCATTGAGATCTCCCATCAGAATAATCAGGTCCTTGGTTGGGCACTTCTCGAAGATCAACTGCAGCCTATTGTAGAATTGGTCTTTAGCGTCTTCATCGTAGTCATTGGTCGGAGCATAGCATTGGATGACGTTCATTGTAATGCCCTCTCTCTTTGTTTTGAAGGAGGCTTTGATGATCGTTGGTCCATGAGATTCCCATCCTATAAGTGCATTTTGTGCTTTTCTGGACAGCATCAATGCAACTCCTTGTGTATGTGGGGCATTTTCTTCTTCATGACCGGAGTATAACAGAAGTTCCCCTGAAGACAGTCGTTGTTGTCCAAGCTGCGTCCAATGTGTTTCGCTAATTCCAAGAACCTCCAGGTTGTATTTTCTCATTTCTGCAGCAATTTGGAAGACTCTTCCGGTCTCCCACATTGTCCGGACATTCCATGTACCTATAAAATTTGTCGCTCTGGTTGTAAAAAGGTGCATCGGCCTCATGACTTCCGAAGGAACTCGGATTTCATCATGAGACGTCATAATGATTCCTTCTACTCCCAGGGCAGAGTTTAAATGGTTTGAATAATTTTTTCTGGTTAGCGTTTTTTTAGCGAGTTGGTTTTCTACGGGATGGGGTCGCTAACCCCATGCTCAACCCTCCTCCTTTACCCGGGCGTGGGACCGGCAGTAACCCCCGGAGGAGCTACAGACGGATAGATATTCTAGTCCAACTTCTTTTAAACTTTGAGGCAATTCACATTCATGTTTTATCAATTAGATAAAAACAAGTATTATGTAGCAGACGTAAAGGTGAGGATTAGGAAAGTAAGAGCCATATTCCTACAATTGAAGAATATTATGCAACTCAAAACAACTGTCAACCAATGGCAAAGCCATAATCTTCACTACGAACGTCAAGACAGTTAGTTCTACTGTAGGGAACTGAAACATGGAGAACTACTACAGCCATCATCAAAAATATACAAGTGTTTATAAACTATTGTCTACACAAGATACTTAATGTCCGTTGACCGGATACCAACAACAACAACGTTACACATAACACACGTCTCAATTTCCTTGGTTAGTGTAGATTCAAAGCGTCATCTACATACCAACCATCTTTTTATCGTGCCCCACACTTAACCTCAACTTTACTCTCTCTGTAGCTCCATGATACTCGATACATGTTGCAAAAGCGCCTATAATCAAAAACCAATCACACTGACCTCACAGCCACGAGGTAGTACATAAAAGACAGTTGCGTGGTGCAGTTTTTCATTGATTTGGCAAATGTATATTTCACTTACATCACATCATCAAGTGTTATCAATGATAGTGATCTTACACTCAATTTGGTTGTTTTTAGTTTGAAAAAAAGTAGAGAAATATAATTTAATATCAGTAAGGGTTTTGTGTGTATTATAGTAATTTTAATAGTTGAGATCATGAATCGATTGAAGCTAAACCACCATGGAAAACCTGAACATTAACACCATTGGATGCCGGCCGGCACAGCGGTCTAGAAGTTAAGCCCTCGCACGCGAAACTGATAGGTCCTGGATTCGAATCTCAAGAAGCAGGATCGTGGATGCATACTGCCACTGAGGAGTCCAACAATAGGACGAAACGACCATCCAATGTTTCCAGGTTTTCCATGATGGTCTAGCTTCAATTGATTCATGATCTCAACTATTAAAATATAATTTACTTTTAAAAATAATTTTTAAATAATAATTCATTTACTTGTGGTGGACTCCAAATTATTGATGAACCACCTGATGGAAATCTTCTTGAAACAAGAACTTTTTGTTGAACAATATCATAAATGAATACTTTTCCTAAGATAGGAAAAGAATAAAACATAGAAAGAAGATACTAATGGGAAAAACCATAATATGTTTCCCATCTTCTATTGTTCATATGTCAAGTGCGATTTGATGATTCTATTTTCTAATCGAATAATAATCATTATTATTATCAGAAGGGGGTTTTGTGAAGATTTTAGTAATTTTATATAGTTGAAATCTCCACAAAACCCCCTTTTGATAATGATCATATGCTCACTTGTGACTGGCTCCATGAAGTATTTCCTGGAGTTCTAGTGAGAAGCAGTAACCAGTGGAGTTCAAACCACGTCTGTTGTGAGATATCAACTCACTGAAGACAATTGGTGAATGGTTGCTCAACTTCATGGATTTGTTGAAGTTAGACATCAACACCGTTGGATGCTAGCCAGCTCAGTGGTCTTGTGGTTAAGCGCTTGGGAGCGAGACTGATAGGTTCTGGGTTCGAATCTCGTGAGGAGGGATCGTGGATGACTACTGCCACTGAGGAGTCCCACAATAGAACGAATTGGCTGTTCAGTGCTTCCAAGTTTTCCATGTTGGTCTAGCTTCAACTGATTCATGGTTTCAATTATTATTACCTTTATTCAATATTATATTTTTCTGGTACAATATCGAATTCTCAGCACAGTGTATTTTAACAAGTTTTCGTTTCTTGTTTCTTGATTGATCCTGACGACAAATATTGAGTGATCACCAGTTAGATGTTAGCAGTCCAGTCAGTCAACATTTGAATAATGTACATTTCTTTTCGCTGCATATTGTCAACAACCACAATGTCTCTGATTGGGTCTTTATGACTTGTACAACAAAAATTTGTACACTTTTCAGAAACCTATCTGAATAGGTTATGCGATTAATAGTCATAATGATGTGTGTTAAAACAATCAAGGAAACAGAAAACTTGTTGAAATATCTAGATGGTAGGAACGGATAGTCCAGATATTCGAGCAGACCGTTTTACGCTATTCAGTTCCTAATGTTGTTCATAGTTTATAAGTTAATTTGAAATGGAACTACTCTAGATTGAATAATTTAAAATTCCATGACATCTTAGTTCATTATTAAATGATGATAAGCTGTCAGAAGAATTCCAACAGTACTATTGTGGTGCTACTTATATTGATATAAGTAGTGTATATCGTGAGTCAGGAATAGAATGTTTGGCGGCAGAAGATTGAGAAGAGAATAACAGAAAGTGAAAGAAATCTGTATGGAGATGAAAGAATTGTGAGACAATTGATTGACATTTGCAAAGAAACAGTCAAGTTTGATTGATATTTTGAAAATTAAGAATCTACTGTTTGGTTCTCAGATTTTACTAAAAGATTCTGTATTGTGTAATCGCTCGCAATCGGTTGTCACTAATGGTGTTTGTGTTCACTATGCTATGTACTAGGTAACATGATTTTCTTTAATGAGCAATAGAATTGCTCAAATGTTATCCATATTTAAATTCACTTGGTATTGATTACTTGAATTTTCCCAACGTTGTTTACGACTCCAGTTGATCAGTCTCTTTATTGGTATATGTGCATCCTATGCGGACTGCCTCGATATTGCCTTAAGTCAAAAGTTTTATAAACAAAGATGGATGGTGATTAGCAGTGGAATCCAGGATGCGCATTTTGTCATCAAAATCGAAATTTAGTTTTGTCTTTTTATCCTGCAGAGCATTCATTAGGAGGGTTTTTGTTGTTGTTCTTTTTCACACACTCCGGGATCTTCTCTCCTGATTGCGTGGTTATATCCCAGGTTTCAGTCAGGCTTCTATTTTCTTTAGCTGGATATTCCATTAGTGTGTCTCCTAGCAAGCTTTCAAACTCTTGAGTAGCTACAGAGTTTTTACTCTCGTCTTTTCATCTGATTACTGTAGTTCGTCCAATTGAGTTCTCTAACTTTCATCTCATACATAATTGCTCCTGTCCTTTTTACTGTTCCACTCGATTATCGTTGTCTGGAATCACAGAAATCCCGCGACAAAACTGCTTCGTCTTGATGAAAACTTTTGGTTTTGACACGGTGCTGCTCACTGAACTGTGGCTTTTTTATTTGTATTTCCTTAGATCTTGGTATCAGATATTATTACACAATATAAATTTTTCGCCTAAACATGTTTCCTTCTGGCGATAACCCGTTGAATGCTGCTGGACTGTGTTGAACGGTTACTTGACAAGAACCTTGGTATAATTTTTTCTACTATCTGTTCCTCTTCTCCTTTTTAAATAGCATTTTTTATGAATTAACAAAACGTTCCGCCTGACCATTTGATCAGGGGTTGTATGAAGGAGATCTGACATGATTGATACCGTTTTCTCTGCAGAACTTATCAAATTGCAGTTGAAGTGAACTGTGTTCCATTATCAGAAATAATAGTATGTGGTAGTCCGAAACAGCTAAACACTTCTGTAAGTTTTTGCATCGTTGCACTAGTGGACACACTGGTTATTACAGACACTTCTAGCCATTTCAAGGATCCATCGACAAAATTCAGGAATTGTTTACCCTGAAAAGGTTGAGCGAAATCTATGCGAAGGCGTAACCAAGGTTCTGTCTGTGCTGTCCATGATCGAGGTTCATCTATAATGGGTAGTTTAGATGACTGTTCACACTTGTAGCACCGCCTTGCAATTTCTTCAATATCTTTACCGATATTTGACCAGTATACGTAAGCATGTGTTATTCACTTTATGCGACTCATGCCAGAATGATAAGAGTGTATAAACTTTACGATCGACTCCCGAAGATGACTAGGAATGACAACCTGACCATCAAGCAGGACGCAGTTATCTGTGGAACAGTTTCAGGTCTTCTGGCTGAAGATGTGGCGGCCAGCCACAATGAAGGTTGTGTGTTAATTTACAAATTATTAGATCAGTTTAACTAGACTATCCAACTTCCCTGAATATTGAATTAACGGAATGAATAGCATTTTTGAAAATTTGGCTGTCAGACGAGAGAGCGTAGGAAACTGCACCATGGACTAACAGTCAATTAGTGTTACTCTGGGCTTTTTATCTGACATATACCACTCCATTGTTTAACTGAAGATCACTGGTACTAGATAGACAATCTAAGAGACCTAAGCAATAATCGAACTCGATCAGTACAACTGTTCTCCTACCTTAAAATCCAATCTCCTGAGCCAAAAATAACTAAACAAGGAAATCTGTTTATTTTCACTGGTACTTTAATAACATTACATGAATTAATACAATGATTAACAACATACCATCAAGACCAACTGTAGCTGCACAGTAAGTAGATGGTGATGTTACACAATCAGCAATATCATTTGCATGGAACTCTTCTAAACATTCTGGTGCTAATGATGTGTGTGAAAAGGATAAATCCAATTTCCATATAGCTCCATCAGCATCCTTTTTAATTGAGAAAAAGAAAGCATGTATGTATTATACAACAATAATGTGATTCACTTAGTATTGTTTGTTTGAATCTTCCCATTGGTGTTTAGGACTGCAACAGGTCAATCTCTAATTGGCATATGTGCATAATGTGCGTATTGCCTCGATATAGCCTAAATTCACAAGCATGGTAAACAAAGATGGATAGTGGCTAGCAGTGGATTCCAGGAAGCGCGCCACTTCGTCCCATTTGGGACTCGTCAACTATATGTACCTGCATCTCAGAGTTGATGTTTACTTTGGGACTCGAATCCAGTACCTTTCACTTCAAACTCCATCGCGTTATCCACTCGGCCACTGAGTCCCGATAGCCATTTGCTTGTGCGATGGGGTGAAGTTTAAATTCATTTAGTATTGTTTGTTTGAACCTTCAAATTGATGTTTTACCACTACAACTGATCAGTCTCTGATTGCCAGCTGACAAGTCCCAAATAGGACGAAACGCGCTTCCTGGATTCCACTGCTAGCCACTATCCATCTTTGCTTAACAACAATATGAGATTTGTGACCATTGACTTGTCTACTAGTTATTCATATCTTCAGTCACTTATCTTGATTACTACTTGTATCCATAATTTACTTATTTCATCCACCCATAAATAAGTTTCTATTTCAGCTTAGATACTAAATATTGTTCTTCATGTTTTATACCTATGAGTGTCCAATGTCTTTTTCAGAACTTTTATCTCATTTCAATTGGTTAAAGTACTTTCGTATTTTTGCACTATGAACTGAACTTAGAGAGCAAAGAAGTGTAAGACAACCGTTTCGTCTTAGTTCGAAACTTCTCAGGAGTACACATCCACGATCCCATCAAAGGTCTATCTAACCTGAGACTGTCTGGCTTCGTTCGGATCTCTGAGCTAACATGTAACAGTTTACACTTCTAGCTTAGATCTTTAAAAATCTCTGTACTAAAACATTACTATGTCGATCTTCGGCTTGAAATCATATAGTTCTTCACACATTTGTACTATTTCCAATTGGTGATATTCATAATGACAATGGGAAACCTTGAATTATTATGATAATAACTTACTTGTGCATACCACATTGTAGAATCAGGTAATGGAATTTTTACAATATGCATTAAATTAGCTTTTAATCCAACACGTAATTCATTCATTGGTTCTAATTCATATATTCCACCTTCTTCTGAAGATTCTGCTGTATCTATAGTTTCAAAATCCCATGTCTATTCATTAAACAAGATGAAAATTTATGTAGTAAAATAGTAATTATCAGAAGGAGGTTTTGTGGAGATTTTAGTAATTTTATATAGTTGAAATCATGAATCAATTGAAGTTAGACCATTATGGAAAACCTGGAAGAACTGAACGGCCGTTTCGTCCTATTGTGAGACTACTCAGAAGTGCGCATCCACGATCCCGCCTTTTGAGATTTGAACCCATGACCTATCAGTCTCGTGCCAGAACACTTAACTGATAAACCACTGAGCGAGCATCCAACGGTGTTGATGTCTAACTCCAACCAATCTACGAAATTAAGCAACCATTCACCAATTGTCTTCAGTGAGTTGATATCTCCCAACAGACCTGGTTGAACTTCACTGGTTGCGCACTGCGTAGGAGTCCCACAATAGGACGAAACGGCTTTTCAGTGCTTCCAGGTTTTTCATGGTGGTCTAGCTTCAATTGACTCATGATCTGAACTACATAAAATAGTAATTGTCTAAAAACAATAGTACTTTCATTTGGTAGAGACTTTAAACGTAATCGAGAGATACGTTTTAGTGGTAAGAAGTAAATCAGTCATCTTCAACAGCTGGTCACATTACCTCAAAATATAAAGGCTACACATCCACTATAAATCAACAAACCAGATTCCAGCGGAAGAAGAAATCAGGAAGAAGCGCTGGAAGTGGGTTGGGCACACTTTGAGGAAATCACCCAATCGCGTCACAAGACAAGCCCTCACATGGAATCCTGAAGGTTAAATGAGAAGAGGAAGACCAAAGAACAAATCACGCCAAGAAATAGACAGACATGAGAAGAATGAACAAAAACTGGATAGAACTAGAAAAGAAGGCCCATGACAGAGTGGGTTGGAGAATGCTGGTCGGCGGCCTATGCTCCACTGGGAGTAACAGGCTTAAGTAAGTAAGTAATCCACTATAAATAAATATTAGCAAACCTAATTCTGAGTTGTTAGGTACAGAGCAGTGTGATTATCAAATATGACTCAAAGCTGTGATTTATCTTTTGTCTTCGTGAAATTTTAACGCGTTGTTCATCTAACCTTCTAAAAACGGTTGAGGAAAGAGTTAGTAGTAGAAACTCTCATAAAATGCTCAATATGAGTGTTTTCGTCTATCCTATAATTAGGTAGTCTCTTTGTTGGGCCTTTATTGATATAATCAACATCATTAACTTGATCTTGACATATTGAGTACGATATTTGTAATAGGAATAAAAAAGAACAATGTAAAGTGGTACTTAAGTTAGTGACAAAACAGTTACTGATACCTTGTCCCCTTGACAGTAGTATTTATTGTGATTTGAAGATGCTGTAAACTTGTGATCAACTTGTTTATAAATATCAAGTTCTTCATAAGAATATAGTATTTACTTGGGGTTAACATATGGGTATAGGTTTCTTATTCTTTTGGGTTGTTCTTATTTAAAAAGATATGGAGTCAATTAGAATTCAATAGAACTTGGTGATCACTGAGAATGTAGTACCGTGCTTCGCTGATCGTTCTTGACGAAAGTATGAGATACCGAAGTTTCTTCATCGATGTAGGCTGCTGCGTTAGGTTTGTCGTCGGTGTTTTCATTTTTGGTTCGTGTTCGCCCGTTGCAGTCGCCAATTTTGTTGCGTGTTCGTACGTTGGGATTATTAAATCTGTAGTGCCGTGCTTCACTAATCGTACACTTCGATAATCGTTATAATATAAATCTTAATGGTGCATAAGAATCAGAAGGTAAAGAGAAGTGGCAGCTACAGTTTTATTGACAAATGACGCAGGCCAGAAAGATTTAAGCATATGAGTAAGCATCAGCGAGCGAAACAAAAATGACACGCATTGCAGATGGTGGGTAAGCCAACTCACTTTAATCAAGCGTTAATCAATACTTACAGTCAGATAAAAATAAATGACAGACATGTGATAAATAGGATAAGAGGTGTACACTCACCTACGCTCATAGAAAAAAATAGTCAGGGTCAATAAGCGAACAATTAACAAGGTCAATACATGACTCATGAAGGATAGGTGAATTGGCTTGTCCAGAAACTAGAATAAGGGTATATGAGCTTAACGTATCGACTGATACTACAAGAGATTGTTTTGTCTTTATTTAAACATCTTCAATAGTGTGGTATCAACTACTTTATACAAGACTTGCAGTTTCAGCCCCCCCCCACAGACACACACACACCTTATAATAAAAATCCATTAGTCAATATATACAATTAGAATCAGTTTATCATTATGAAGTAACATTGATTCAATGCAGAAATCTGCCTTATTTTGATATCTACCTTCTTTTCAAGTTTAGATTGTAATTTCATTTCAATTACAACACTTGTTGTTACTGATTAGTAACTAAACCATTTTATCTGAAAGATAAATAACTGTTTTCATAGTTGAAATCATGAGTCAATTGAAGCTAGACCACCAAGAAAAACCTGAAAGCACTGGACGACCATTTCGTCCTGGAGTTCCAGTGAGAAGCAATGACCAGTGGAGCTCAAACCACGTCTGTTGTGAGATAGGAACTCATTGAAGACAATTAGTGAACGGTTGCTCAACTTTATGGATTGGTTGAAGTTAGACATTAACACTGCTGGATGCCGGATCAGTTGTCTATCGGTTAAGTGCTGTAACGCGAGACTGATAGGTCCTCTGTTCGAGTCTCGCGAGGCGAGTTGGTGGATGCGCACTGCCACTGAGAAGTCCCACAATAGGACGATTTCAGCTTCTCCTTGATGGTCTAGCTTCAATTGCCTCATGCTTTCAACTATGAAAATACTGAAATCTCTACAAAACCCCTTCTGAAAATAGTTCTTTGTTATATCCCGTGGAGAATAATGAATGGTAACTTTTGAGGACTATTTGTAGACCAAAACTATGTGTATATTTCCTATTGTATAATTGCTAAGTAACTAAACTATCCATATTGGTGCCCCTCTTATTATAAGCTTTATTTTGACCTATGAACTATTACTATATGATTTACCATTCTTGAGTTATTCCCAGTCTATTAATTACTGTTCCCCCCCCCTATTCACAGCCACATTTGGCTAAATCCTATACAAATGTTATTTTCTATTTTATGGTACGATGTGGTCAGTTTGTTTGGTATATAAACCCAATTTGTTTCAGAATAATGATTCATATTGCATAGGCTTTTATTGGTGTTCTGGACTTAACTGGGTGGACTTAGCAGATAGCAGGACCGACAAGTGCTCTAGACTGCTCGTACCGGTTTCATTTGTCATTGGTTCGATCGATAAATCACTCCTCTCCAGTTGGCCGTCTTATCATGTCATATATAAAACAGGGGACTCAGGCCACACGATATAACAATGCTTATCTAAAATTCATTAATAGTTAAACTATTAATAGACAATTCAAGAGAGAAAATTGTCTCCTTTATATTTAAAAAGAAAATATACGTGATTATTCAGTTGCTGGGAGCTGTAGGGTGATAAAAATATGCCAAAAAAGAAACGATGTTGTTATATCCTTGCAAAGATATGAGTACGGGTGTTATGACTCGTATATCAATCGTTATTGTATATGAAACGTGCAATGATACAGAAAATACGTACGAGCAGTCTTGATTGCTATTCGGTCCTTCCTAACTGCCTAGCCCAGCCAGTTGAGTCCAGAACACAAATAACAGCCTCGGAAATATGAATCATTATTCACAAGCACACTGGGTTATATATACTAACCAAACAGACCCAATTATACCAAAAAATAGAAAAATAACATTTGTACAGTAATTGGCCAATGTGGCTGTAGCTAGGGGGAAAGTAATCAATAATAATAGTTCCAAGGTCAAAACAAAGGTTGTGATAAGAGGATCACGGAAACGATTAGGTCACTTATTTAACAACTATCCAATAGGGAATGGGCATATTGTATTTGTCCATAAATAGACATCAGATTTAGGTTACTCATTTAACAACTATCCAATAGGAATAGGCGTATTACATTTGTCCATAAATGGACATCAGATTTATGATTCATAATTCGCCAGGGGATACAACACCTCCCCTTTTTGAGAAATCCGGAATTTTAATTTCCTCGAATTCACCCTCCCCCACGAAAGACTGTTGGATCCTCATATAGCCAAGTTACTATTAATGCGATATGTTTGTCACCTTTAACAGGGAATGCATTAGAACTGAAGAGATCATGAGGATCGACGACATTTGATTCGAGGTCACCAACATTTGATTCTTCTGAAATAGTTTTCTTGAATTTCCTCGGAACCTCATTAGTAGATAATGAATCATTAGGATAATCAGTATCTATGAGAGTTGTATTGGATTCTTGATTATCATTAAATACATCTGACAATTTTCTCTCATTTTTATAAGAGAATTCAACAGAAACATATGAATCATCAAAATAATCTAAATCTGGTAGAACAATTACAGAATTTTGATCATTAGATTCATTAGAAACATTTTCCGTATCATGATTAATTTCATTTGGTGCCACTGTATTCCATATACTGCTCGATTTGTTTCCCGTTTCTTCGTGGGCGGGTACTGCAGCAATTTCATGAGCATTTTGTAAGACATTTACTTTCTGTGAATAGGATAATTCATTGTTTGCACGTCCGTTTTCGGGATTAATAAGACTTGGACCGTGTACAGGGCATGTCTCTGAAACAGGTAGTACTGGGTTACTGGGCTGATCATGTATAACTGCTGCGCTTAAAATATTGCTTTGTATGGATTCATTGAGGCTTTCGCCGGCATATTCATTAGTTGTGTAATTGTTTTCCAGCTCTGTACGCAATTTTGAAATTATTGCGTCCACTTCCGTTTCACCCCCAAAGCATGGGTGATTCAGCAGCTTCGCGTGTAATTTGTCAATGAAATCCAATTGACTCTTTCTGAAGCGCTGCTCTTGTCGCTGGATTAGCAACTGAAATTGGTCGGAAGTTAAGGCCATTTTTTTAAATGTAAATAATAATAATAAATCCAAAAAAAACAACGGCAATTATTATGGATTATTTAATTCCGAAATGACGTCAGCGGCTGCTGTATTTTTTTCCAGAATCAACGTCGCCAATTGTTATGGTTCGTATAACAATTCGTTATTGTATATGAAACGTGCAATGATACAGAAAATACGTACGAGCAGTCTTGATTGCTATTCGGTCCTTCCTAACTGCCTAGCCCAGCCAGTTGAGTCCAGAACACAAATAACAGCCTCGGAAATATGAATCATTATTCACAAGCACACTGGGTTATATATACTAACCAAACAGACCCAATTATACCAAAAAATAGAAAAATAACATTTGTACAGTAATTGGCCAATGTGGCTGTAGCTAGGGGGAAAGTAATCAATAATAATAGTTCCAAGGTCAAAACAAAGGTTGTGATAAGAGGATCACGGAAACGATTAGGTCACTTATTTAACAACTATCCAATAGGGAATGGGCATATTGTATTTGTCCATAAATAGACATCAGATTTAGGTTACTCATTTAACAACTATCCAATAGGAATAGGCGTATTACATTTGTCCATAAATGGACATCAGATTTATGATTCATAATTCGCCAGGGGATACAACAACGGGTAACTCTCGGGACCTATGAATGGACTATTATTCTATATATATTCTTATGGTTTAGCTATTCAGTGATTACATTGTGTATATCTATATTCGTCTTATTATAAGCTTCATATTGACCTACGGATTAATACTGTACGATTTACTGTCCCTAAATTATATTCAGTTTATTGATTACTGTAACCCATATTCACAGCCACATTTGGCTTGATCTTGTACAAATATTATTTTCTATTTTATGGTGTGATGTGTTCTATCTGTCTATTATATAGACAAAATATGCCTGAAATAAATGATTCTCATATCAGAAGCTGTAATTCGTGTTCTTAGACTCAATTGGAAGGGCTAGGTGAACAAGTGACCAATAAGGACACTAGACTGTACATACTAGTCGAATGTCATTGATTTGGCACAGTGCCAAGATTAGACAAGTCGTATTTCGATTGATGGATAAATCACGTGTCAAAAAGCTGGACATAAAATTATGACGAGGTGGTGACAGCCTTTTTTTAAATTCATAACAGATATCCACCCCTTTATTAGTTTAATAAAACAATGAATGTTTTAGAAACAAAATTTATTACTTACTCTAATCCAACCATCTTGTCCAATAGTTATTAATTCACCTTCATCTATAATAATTTGCATTATATTACCATAATGACATGTTTGTTTATTTTTACGTGTTATTTGTACTTTAATTAAATCATCATCCCATATTAATAAATTACCCCATATTGAACCAGTTAATACTTTACCATCAGGTAATATAATAAAACCTTCTATATCTGTCAATTCAGTTTTACCAAATTTGCCTAATTTCCCTTGTAGCTTTAAACCAGTAAATGTATTAGCTATTTGCCAAAATTTAATATGTCCAATACCAACTGTAGTAAGTAGACCAATTAAATCATTTGACCATTGAATTTGATATATATCTTGTGAATATGCTTTAGATTTTAATATAATTTGTTCATTTTTCCAATCCCATATAGTTAATGTATAATCAGGATTTGAACCAACAGTAGCTAATAATTCACCATCTGGGCTAAAGAATATATTAAAGAAAAAACAATAGTATTTGTCATAGTTGAAAGCGTGAGTCAATTGAAACTAGATCACCGTGGAAAACCTGGAAGCAATGGACGACCGTTTCGTCCTATTGTGGGACTCCTCATTGACAGAAGGCATCCACAACGTCGCTTCGCGAGATTCGAACCCAAGAGCTATCAGTCTCACGCCAGAACACTTAACCGATAGACCACTGAGCCGGCATCCAGCAGTGTTAATGTCTAACTTCAACCAATCCACCGTTCACCAATTTTCTTCAATAAGTTCCTATCTCACAACAGACGTGGTTTGAACTCCACTGATCACTGCTTCTCACTAGGTCCTGGGTTAGAATCTTGAGAGGTGGGATCGTGGATGAGCACTGCTACTGAGGAGTCCCATGATAGGATGAAATGGCCATCCAATGCTTACAGGTTTTCCATGATGGTCTAGCTTTAATTGATTCATGATGTCAACTATTAAAATTTATTATGTAAATCTTGTTTATTTACTTACTTATTTTTCATACTTGCTAGTGGAAAATAACACCGTACTTATCAACTGTTTAAAACAAAACAGCCTGAACAATGTATTATTCTATGATTTTCATTCTGTAAGACACAGTGATCGAAGTTACATAACATAAAAAAACGAGGAAAAACCGTTTGTCGAGACTATAATTTCTGAACGAACCAATCACGTATAAGATAACAGGTCTCGAATTTTGGCGCAAAATTCACCCATCTATTTGGATAAATACAGTTTTGGTATTATAGCTGATGTCAGTTCGAGATGAAAAACCATAAATCTAATTCTTAACCTTAACCATAGACTGTAAATCATAATTCTAATTCTCCACACAGGTTTATAACCCTCATTTGGTCCTAGATACTAGGTGGACATTCTCAAGGTTAATTTAGTGTCCCTCAAAGGTCGTCCCACCGCACATGACAAAACAACATGCTAGTTATAGACAGTTTATGGTTAGTGTTAACAAATGAAACATCATTTAGTATTTAAGAAGGGTTTAAATTGCTAAAAATAGATATTTACATATGAATACGAGGATGAAATGACTGTTAATGAGTTTAAACAAATTGGAAGAAGAGTAATAGTTCTCAGCAATGTTAGGATTGTGGATAGAATTCGATATATAATTCTTGTTAAGTCAGAATTACGACTTACTTTTACAGTGATAGGAGGAGTATGTTACAGTTAGGTTGATAAGCTTAAGATTTGCGGTTATAATGTGTATAAACTAACTCCGAGAATTGGTCCTAAATCTAAACTATTGTGATTACAAACATGTTTGTCTAACTTGAATCGGTTCGTGATTTCGATGAAGTTCGACAATTTCCACAAACCCATAATAATAAAAACATATAACTAACCTAAGAATGGTAAACAAAGAAGGATAGTGGTTAGCAGTGGAATCCAGGATACGCGTTTAGTTCTATTTGGGACTCATCGGCTGGATGTACCTGCATCTCAGAGTTTATGTTCACTGTGGGACTCGAACCTAGTATCTTTCGCTTCAAACGCCATCGCGTTATCCATCCGGCCACTGAGTCCTTATAGCCACTTGCTTGTGCGATGGGGTGAAGTTTAAATTCACTGAGTATTGTTTGTTTGAATCTTCCCATTGATGTTTTAGAACTGCAACTGATCAGTCTCTAATTGGCATATGTGCATACTGTGCGTATTGCCTCGATATAGCCTTACGCAATACGCACAGTATGCACATATGCCAATTAGAGGCTGACCAGTTGCAGTCCTAACAAATCGATGGGAAGATTCAAACAAACAATACTCAATGAATTTAACCTAAGAATGTTCAGTTATATAAAACTAATATATTCTTAGTAAATTTTCCCACTTTCTATTCACAGTGACTTTTTTCTGAATGCCTAAAACAGATTATGATATCAAGGTTATTCTTCAATATTACTTACTTACGTCTCTTACCCCTTGTGGAGGAGCATAGGCCGCTCACCCGCTTTCTCCATCTAACCCTGTCCTGGAAAATACTTTCCAGTTCTTTCCAGTTAACATTCATCCTTTTCATATCTGCTTCTGTTTCCCAACATAATGTGTTTTTTGGCATTCCGATTTTCCGCTTCCCTTCACCATTAAAAGTTAGAGCTTGCCTTATGATGCACTTTGGTGATTTCCTCAATATATGTCCTATCCACTTCAAACGTCTTTTACTAATTTCCTCTTCAGATGGAAGATGGTTTGCCCTCTCTCATAAAATGCTGTTTCTGATAATATCCGGACAGTGAATATTGAGTATTTTGCGTAGACAACTGTTTATAAATACTTATACCTTCTTGACGATTGATGTAGTAGTTCCCCACGTTTCAGCTCCGTACAGTAGAACTGACTGTCTTTACATTCGTATTAAAAATTCTCACTTTGACATTAGTTGACAGTTGTGTTGAGTCCCATGTTCTTCACTTGTAGAAATGCTGTCCTTGCCTTGCCGATCCTAGCCTTTACATCTTCATCAGATCCTCCTTGTTCATCAATGATGCTGCCTGGTACGTGAATGTTTCTACACCTTCAAGAGTTTCTCCATCAAGTGTGATTGGTTTGGTTGTTGTTTTCCGTGTTGTATTTGAGAATCTTTCTTTTTCCTTTGTGTATCATGAGGCCTTTTGATGCAGAGGTTGCTGCTACATTTTTTGTCTTTGTCTGTATTCGTTCGTGTGTATGAGATAGAAGGGCTAGGTCATCTGCGAAGTCCAAATTGTCTAATTGGTTCTGAGATGTCCACTATTCTTTAATACACTTGATGTTTATTAATGTTCTTAAAATTTTTCAATGAAGTAAGAGAATTTTTTTCGTAATTCACATAGACCCTTACATCAAGCGGCTCCAGTTGTGAGATTGAAGTATAGATCAAACTATACAGAAAGTTATCATTTAGGTTAATCAATTAAATTGTTTCATTGCTATCTTTAGAATCCAGGTAACATCTTAGCAATAAAATAGAAGACGAATCACTTAGATCAATGATAGAAAGCGTAATATTTTAGCTTGAGAAAACAAGATCAGTTTTAGGATTTTAGCCTGTTTATTCTTCTTTTTAACCTATAAGATTAACAAACATTGAGAGAATTAATGATGCACTGACTAACTTATGTTACTCTCAGAGTGTCCCAGAGTAAACATCAACTGTGAGATGCAGGTACATCCAGCTAACGAGTCCTAAATAGGATGAAACGTGCGTCCTGGATTCCACTGCTAGCCATTGTCCATCTTTTCTCATAAGTAAACAGCTAATTTGCAAACTATCAATCAATTGTCTCAATCTTGACTATTCCTTCTGTAAATATCAATCCATCATCTCTGATTTCATTGTCCACGCATTTTCATACCGATTGCGTTCCATTCCTATTCTTTCCTTATCGATCTTCTACTGAAATACATTCAATGCCCGATCATCGTTATATACTACTTATGTGGATATAAGTAACCCACACCACAATGTGATCTTTGACCCTGTAGATTATAATAAGCTTTTTTTCAATTCTTTACGTACTTACTTACATCAGTTACCTCTTGTGGAGAATAGACTTGCTACCAGGATTTTCCAACCAGCTCTGTCCTGGGCAATCGTTCCTGGTGTTCCCAAGTGCTATTTATTATTTTAGTGTCTGGTATCAATTCCTAGTACATCATGTTCTTTGATTTATCTCTTTCCGTTTTAGCTTGAGGATTCCTAAATACCGCCTGCTTTGAGATACAGCTTCATGATTTCCGTAATGTATGTCCAACCCACTTCCAGAATATCTTCCTAGTTTCCTTTTCATCCAGTTGTTTGTTTGTTCTCTACTATGGTGAACTTTTTTTGATCGCGTCTGGCCAACAGATCTGGAGTATCTTATACAACCATCTGTTTATAAATATATGTACTTTTTAGATTATGGTCATAGTAGTTCTCCAAGTTTTAGCTCCGTACAATAGAACTTTCTTGACGTTTGTATTGAAGATTTCGACTTTGATATTGGTTAACAGTCGTTCTGAGTTCCATATTTTCTTCAGTTGTAGGAATGCAGTCCTTTCTTCTCTAATCCCCGCCTTTACGTCTTCATCAGATCCTCCTCAGATACGTGAGAAGTTCCACCTCTTCCAAAGTTTCTCCATCAAGTGTGATTGGGTTGGTGTTCTCCGTGTTGTATTTGAGGATCTTGCTTTTTCCTTTGTGTATGTTGAGGTCTTTTGATGCAGAGGCTGCTTCTACACTAGTTGTCTTCATCTGCATTTGTTGATGTGTATGAGATGGAAGGGCCAGATCATCTGCGAAGTACAAATCGTCTAGTTGCATTGAAGCTGTCCATTGTATTCCGTGCTTCCTCTTAGATGTGGTGGTTTTCATAATCCGATCGACCACCAGAAGAAATAGAAATGGGAGGGGAGTAAACAACCTTGTATGAATCCAGTCCTCACTTGGAATGCATCTTTCAACAGTTCTTCATTCACCGATTAGCACTATAGCCTGAAGTATGAATTCCGTGTGATGTTGACGATTTTCTTATTTACACCATAGTGTTGAAGAAGTTTCCATAAATTCCTTTTATCCAGACTGTCACAACTTTCTCACAGTCAAGAAAGTTGATGTATGTTGATGAGTTCTATTCAATTGATTGTTGAACGATGATCCGTAGTGTTACAATTTGATCTGTGCACGATCATTATATGATCACCTCATTGAAAATGAATCATTTCGAATAACTTATCTTTAAAAACTCAAACTATGAAGCTGGATAATTTGGGTTTTAATCCCAATAGAGCATCTGTTCTGTAAAGGTTACAGATATACTTTAATGATGAGTACCAACTAACACAAAAACTAGGTCAAACATTTCATGCAGATTACTTTCCTATTACATTTACTTTTCTTTGATCAGTCTATTAAGTAAATGATGTAGCTCAAATTCAACTTTCACTTATTGAGTAATAAGTTTAAACTCCACTTCATCTTCGACTGTTTTAACCAGCTAAATAGGGATTACAATTTAACTGAGACTTAAAGTTTAGGATATAAATCTATCAGAATGGGCTTTGTGGAGATTTCAGTATTTTCATTGTTGAAATCATGAGTTAATTGAAGCTAAACCACCATGGAAAACCTGGAAGCACTGGATGACTATTTCGTCCTATTGTGGGACTCCTCAGCAGTGCGCATCCGGTGGAGTTCAATCAGGTCTGTTGGGAGATATCAACTCATTGACGACACTGATGAATGGTTGCTCAATTTCGTGGATTGGTTGAAGTTAGACATTAACACCGTTGGATGGCGGCCGGCTTAGTGGTTCTAGTGGTTAAGCGCTCTGGCGCGAGACTGATAGATCCTGTGTTCGAATCTCGCCAGCCGCCACTGAGGATTCCCACAATAGGACGAAACGGCCGTCCAGTGATTTCAAGTTTTCCTTGAAGGTCTAGCTTCAATTGACTTACGCTTTCAACTATGAATTATTTATTATTAAGATTACTAAAAAAGATAAACCTACCTAAATTGACAAGCAGTATAAGCAGTTTGTGTACCATTTCTTAATATACGATATAATTTGATATTAGGATATTGATATATACATACATTAGGTAAATCACCTTTTTCAGCTAATGCAATATATTTATCTTTTGTTTGTATACAATATGTACCAATACCAATCCCATACATTGAACGTATCATTATCTTTTGATGAGTATCAATATTCATGATAAGTAAATAGTTACCATAGATACAACATATAACATTATATTCAAGTAATTGTAAATTCTCTCTACGTACTACATCCATACCGAATAGATATGTAACTTTTAAAAGATTTTCTGGTATACCAGAATTCTCAGATATTAATGGATGTACAATACAATCATTATAGTTATAAAAGAATTCAGGATCCATTGTCTTCTTAGATTGTTCATTGAATGGTTGGGTAAGATTAGTTTGATTGTTATCATCAGATTGATCTTGTTGTTGTGTTGTTGTTAGAATACTGTTAGGTACTCGTTCTTGTTCATTAGAAGATGAGGATTCTATGATAGAGATATCTTCTTGTTTATTTGTTAAGTTAATAGTTTCTTCATTGTCTAGTCTACTAATGCCCTGTTCTTCTTGATTTTCATGATCTGTGAGGATAATGAGTTAGTTTTACTTTTAACCCATTAACATTACCGACTGTTGAAGATTCATCTTCAAGCTGAATATCATCTTCTTCTTTTTGTTTATTAGTATCTAGATTATCTTCGTGATCAGACATTTTGAGTGTTTAGATTGAAGTACATTGCTAAATGAAAAAGATGCATTGATAAATGAGTGAATAAAAACAAAGTAAACAGTTGAAATTTGCTTAGTATTGTTTGTTTGAATCTTCCGATTGATGTTTTAGGATTGCAACTGGTCAGTCTCTAATTGGCATATATGCATACTGTGCGTATTGCCTCGATATAGCCCTAATTCACAAGCATTATAAACATAGATCGATAGTGGCTAACAGTGGAATCCAGGACGCGCGTTTCGTCCTATTTGGGACTCGTCAGCTGGATGTACCTGCATCTCAGAGTTGATCCAAACAAACAACACTAAGTAAATTTCAACTTCACCCTATTGCACAAGCAAGTGGCTATAAGGACTCAGTGGCCGGATGGAAAACGCGATGGCGTTTGAAGCGAAAGATACTAGGTTCGAGTCCCGCAGTGAACATCAACTCTGAGATGCAGGTACATCCAGCTGACGAGTCCCAAATAGGACTAGACGCGTATCCTGGATCCCACGGCTAGCCACCATCCATCTTTACTTACTTGTGAAAGTAAACAGTTATTGAGCAAATGTTTAGTTTAAAATCTAATATCAAATTTACTTGACTTTAGGGAAAAAGTATGAGACACTACACTTATCAACCATAAGAAGCAATAACAAGTGAGATTTTGAGTAAATAGATGATGAATTCAATCATCAAAACCAAATTAGTTGAAGAATATTCTAAACTGACTTTCTCGGATACAAAATACATTTTAGCAAGATGAACTGCAGCTCATTTGGAAGAAAATCAGAAACTATTAGATTGTATTGCAAGGAAGTGAAAACTTTGCCTGAAATACTTTTTGACGAAGGTTTGCATTAAATTATAATATTTGCTACAAAACCATATGCATTAATAGACCTCAACATACAGTAAGGAAAAAGCAACATTCTCAAGTACGACACGGAGAACGCCAACCAAACCAATCACACTTGATGGTGAAACTATGGAAGTGGTGGGATCATTCACGTACCTGAAGAGGATCTGATGCAGATGTAAAGTTGAGGATTGACAAAGCAGGAGCAGCATTCCCAGAGTTGAAGAACATATGGAACTCAAAACAACTGTCAACTAACGTCAAAGTGAGAATCTTCAATACAAACATCAAGACAGTCAGTTCTATTATAGGGAGCAGAAACGTGGAGAACTACTACATCCATCGTCAAGAACATACACGTATTTATACACAGTTGTCTATGCAAAATACTCAACATTCACTAACCGGATACTATCAGCAACAGTCTTTTATGGGAGAGGACAAACCATCTTCCATCTGAAGAGGAAATTAGTAAAAGACGTTTGAAGTGGATAGGATATACATAAAGAAAATCACCAAACTGCATCACGAGGCAATCGCTAACTTGGAATCTGGATGGGTAGCGAGAAATCGGAAGGCCAAAGAAAACATTACTTCTGGAAATAGTATCAGATATGAAAAGGATGAATGTTAACTGGAAAGAACTGGAAAGTATTTTCCAGGACAGGGTTATATGGAGAATGCTAGTGTGCGGCCTATGCTCCTCGACTAGTGGCAACAGGCATAAGTAAGTAAGCAAGTAACAAAATGATATGAATATGTAACAATCTCATGTTCTCTGGTGACTCATTTCAAAGTGGAAATTTTGTAATTTTATTGGTAAGTTGTCACAATTCCGAAGTCAGATATTTAACACTAATAACATTCGTTCAGAATCATCCCATATGACGTTACGTTAAATAAATGATAATTTTTTTTAAGATTGCAGAATTTATGAAACTGTCATAAGGATTTTGGAATTTAAATTAAAGTTATGAAGTCTTTATGTCATAATGCTTCAATGTTGATGGATAGATTTCGAAAACTTCCTGACTGTTCTATTTGCTACCATTAGAATACATTCATGGCAGTATCAAGTACCATTGTTTCTAGATTGATGTATTTTGCATTGAAATAAGTAACTTTTAATGCTATTTTAAGAGACGATTACTGCTAAAATATTTTTGTCATTATATGAATTTTAGGTTGATGAAAGGAAAAATCTGAGTGAACTTAAATGCTCCTTGTTGGTCCGTACTGGAAGACCTATACAAAAAAGTCTCTAGTGGGTCTGCTATTTATGTTATTCCAGATTGATCCTTCTTGACGTAGACTTGAATGAAAATCTTGATGAACATAGAAAGTTTTTGATCAGTTTCACTTTTAAGATTTATGTTAAAAAATATTGGTCACTACTTTCAATTGCAAAGCTTGTATGGTGGGTTTTCGAATTCGTTTGCAATCTACAAGCAGCTGTAACCCAGCTTTTTTAAATCAACTAATCATGCTTGTATTTTTCAACTGTTTAAGCATAAGAATCAGAGGTTCACCAGTTATTCGTTTACTGTAGCAAATAGCGAATTTCATAAAGTACGGTGTTCAAGGTGTGGATTACTGAAATAACTGTGTAACGAGATACTCATATGGGCGTTATACAGAGTTAAAGACAATTTAAGAATCAATTTCTCAACCTTTTGGTATAATTTTAAAACTTATAGTTTTCAGTTCCAGCACTTTATACATCGAGGAATGCAAGAGTCATTCCAAAAAAGACAGCTGTAGCGATAAGTTTAACAAGTATAACTGGACGGCCACTATTCATAATTGATGTGAAATGTGAATTTCATTGACTATGATAGGTATGAACTTTTGCACAGTGTGATAATTACGTTCTTTCTATTATTCGGTGTGTAATCCGTTCGTGCTTTACGGTAACCACGCGTATAATTTCATTTATATAATATTTACTCACTAAACATCAATTATGCGTAAATTCAGTGCACAAATGTGTGTATTTGGCTTGGTAATGGCATTATTTTGGACAACTTATTCTAGGGAATCAATAGACCTTAATTTTTGCCAGTCCCTATGTGTTCACTTGGTACCGTGACAGGTGAAGTGGCTCGCTTCCACATGTATAAACAGTGGGACCGCAGATATTACAGTTAGTAAACGTTGGTTCAAGCCATGGTGATAGATATGAACTACCGTATTGAGATAAGCCACTTTAATATAATTTATCATTCAAATCCCAGTGACATCGTTGACGGTTGATTGTAATGTTGCATTTAGGTTTACTTTTAATCTTCCACTCTATTTCAAGCTGAGGAATATTTGATTTTTTGTTTTCATCCTGATTACCTTCTGATGAACCTGATTGCTTCCATTTACATTTTTACTACAACAAACATTATTATTTATCATACATTTTCTTGTTGTTGTTATGTTTGCCGCGCTTACTACTTATACTCGAAAAAATGTGGAACCATTGGAATTCTCACAACATGAAGTACAAACACCAAGACTGGTACAATTGAAGATTTATTGACACCAAAACACGACGGCAACTCGTGTCTAAAATACACTCATCATATATTGATTGTACACTCATTCTGATTATTACTTAGAATAAAATCTCAAATATGAAAATCCTCGGAGTTATAATAAATCATATGCTATGTGTTGTGCTGAGCACAGTTGACGTTAATTTCATACATGAGTAACTTATCTTGAATAAACAAATAAATTAATGTAATAACGAATGAAATATCACAATGAAAAAAAAACAAATACTCAAATGAATAAGCCTTACATTGAATTATAAAGAAAGTCATATTGAACAAAAATCAAAATGGGTAAAAATATGTAAATTTGCTTTAAATTCCCGTAATATCAGTTTTCCTAACCATCTTCCGTTTAAGCGTTAAGTGTGAACTTTGGAAAACCACATTCTTGTCAAGTCTTATGTTTAAAATGCATAACCCAGAGTAGATACTTTATTTAATCATAAAACTGAGTTAATTATAACAATAAAATGACCCATCGTTAGTCATTTTGATATTGTTTGATATTTGTAAAGTTTTTCATTTCTTTTACCATGACTTACAAAGTTATCACCATTTTCATAGTGTCAGATACTGACATCCTTAAATGTAACTTAATACACATGCTGCTGTAAACTCTGATATAGTTACCAAACTGCAGTATGCCTACGGTTAGGAGGCGAAGAATGAAAGTGGATCGTATCAGCTGCGTGATTAGGCTGACGATCAAGAGTGATGTAAAATAATGATACTGTATTAAGTTGACAACTACCAAAACAACGCTCTATAAACATCTTCAGCTTCTTATAATAACCAGCCTTTTATTATTGATATAAGGAGTATATAAGACTCGTTTAAGTGTATGTTTTAATCTATCCGTAACCCAGGGTCGTCTACCAAAAGACTGGAAGAACGCCATATTAAGTCCAGTCTTCAAAACAGGTACAAAACATAAGCCTGAGAATTACCGACCAATTAGCCTAACTAGTGTGGTTGCTAAAATCTTAGAAAAAGATTATTCAGAAGGAACTGTTAAAGTATCTCGATGAAAACCGGATTCTCTCCGAAAAGCAGCATGGTTTTAGAACAGGTTACTCTTGTCTCACAAACTTATTAGTCGCTCGTGAAAGCTGGTGCGCTCTTAAGGACCAAAAATTACCTATAGACGTAGCTTACACCGATTTCAGCAAAGTTTTTGACAAAGTTCCGCATAACCGGCTGTTATATAAGCTAAGGAATGTCGGGATTGGAGGCAATCTATTGATGTGGATAAAAGACTTCCTAGTTGGGCGTCAACAAAGAGTAAGCGTGAACTCCAAGTTGTCTAGCTGGGAAACTGTGCTTAGTGGAGTCCCCCAGGGTACAGTTTTGGGGCCAGTGTTATTCCTCCTGTACGTAAATGATTTCCCTCGTCTACTATCGTCATCGGTCTTACTCTATGCTGATGATGTCAAGATATAGAGAGCGATTCAAAGCAAGGGCGATGGCTTAGAACTTCAAAATGACCTGGAGAGATTATCTGAATGGTCTCAAACCTGGCAATTGCCGATAACCACTTCCAAGTGTATTGTGATGCATATTAGCCACCAGGGTACAGATACATACACGATGAATAACAC